TTGATCGAGAGATTTACATATTTAGCTGCGTTGTCGGATTATCTGAAATAATTACATAACGCATTTGTCTCGTTACTCGAAACGTATTTTGCTTCATAATGATCGTCTGACCAGCATACGATTCTTCTAAATATTTAAGAAAATGTCGTAGTTGTTATAACATAACATGAGTAGAAAATTTGACGATCTTGTCAAATTGTTGAACACCCAAGTTGTAAAAGTTTTGTGCTGGAACTGAACACTCGGAGAACACCCAGCATTGATTGACCTTACAAATTGAAGGCGGTGGCCGAATAAATCAAGAGTGTTCATATAGTTGTCAACCATTCATAAATAAATGCTTGGCTACACCCTCGTGATAAAGTGATCTGTATCGCCAACTTACTTTTTCTTCGATTCAGATATTAATAAAAACATGTCCACGTAGGCTTCCAACTACCCCAAAAAATGGGAGCATTGACATCAAGTCAAATTTTCAATAGCGTCATTTATATAACTGTCAGCAGGACTCGTGCACGCAGCAGTTAATGCTTTAGATATCGCATTGAATGTACATACAGCAGTCTTGAGTTACCGATACTCCTGTTCATTTATTTATTTACGCCATAGATTGTTATGTTTTTCCAAGTGGGATGCAAACTAATTACTCACAAATTTATAAAACTGGACCCTTGGTTTTCAAAATGTTTTCAGTTTTTGCGTGACAACTGCTTGTGGTGCTGACGGTTGGTTTTATTATTCTTCATGTAAACCAGTTCGGAAACCAGTGGTCATCACATTACAGCCAAATTACTTCTAATCATACGGTGATGGCAGGGATCAGAAATGTTCATATCAATCAAATAATTTGGATGCAAACGGTATAACTGAAGCAGTAAATTGGCGGCATGTACATATTAAACCACAAGTTCAACTTTATCGTCGCCGAAAGATTGCTACCAGGTTTTCTTGAGAGATTCAGTAGCTATCTTATTATTAAAGGTTAGCTTGCGGTCTTTTTACACTTAAGCTCAGCTCTGCATCCAACAACACTAGTAATTTGAACAAATTACCTACAACGGGTTACAACGAGGATGGCACGTCAAGTAAAAAAAAATCAAAATCAATGTTTATGTATGTATTTCATTCAACAAGAGTACTTGATTGCCAAATTGCTGCTGTGGAAAAGGTCTACAAAAATTTATTTTGCTTCATTCAACCAGAAAGCAAGTAGACATGGACTATGAAATTGAGAGAGCTGAGCCAATGCACAATCTTTATTCTCAACAGATCCACCCCTGCCATTGTTTTAGAAAAAGATTCTTCGAATGAACGCCTATTGAATGCTGAATAGGCAGCCAATAAGTAGGCAAACTTGAAAGAGCACACATCAAATGAGCCTCGTTGGATAAGGCAGACTTAACAATGCTCAGCAACAACATGTTTACAATCTCTTTAGATTGACTAAAAAGCTTCATCTCGAAAAGACTAAAGGCGAGAGAGAGAGACAAGTATGGTCACAGAGGAAAGTTGGACGAGGTATATGGCAGGATTGCATTATTGCTGACTATTGTAGCAGAGACACAAGAATACATAAGAAGAAGAAGAAGAGTGAGGAGCAGCAATAAATAAGTTGCTCAATCATTTTTCTTCAACAAACTATTCTTCCTAGCTTTGTGTAAACCAAAGATTTGCTTCGCACACAACAACCACACAAGTCATTTGGTTGTTACTTATCTTATTCCAATTGTGGTAATGAGCCTGTTTTTGCCCATCTTCTTTACAACCAGGCTACACAGAAGCACCTCATGAACAATAAATAATTTTTCTTGCAACGGCCTTTTCCCATTTCTTTTCGCAGTTTAGAATCCATTACTTAAACATATATTATTTATGAAGGACCTGCAAAGGCAAAAACCAACTTGAGCTTTGTCCATTTCACTAACAAAAACGCGCATTTATGAATAGTTAATTGGGTGTAAAAGTGCAAAAGAGTTTTCTGCCCTGTCGTTTGCTTTGGGATTTGATTATATAACACATAGATTTTAAACTATGGTTTTAATTAAGCTCTGACTCTACCTAGCTGAAAAAGATATGACAGAGCGGGTGTGAGTTTGCTATATTGTAAAGTACTTAATTTTTATAAAATTTTATTGAATGGTACACGGTGGCGGTGATGGAAAGATCTTGACCTCCCAACCCTAGCGACAAGTTCATTGATCACCGCAAGATAAGCTACAATATAAGATACAGATGACGGAGTTAAAAATACACAGAGAAAAGATTAAATGAATACATAGTTGGATATGTGAATATGTAGAAATGACGCAAAGATGAGTGTCAATCGTGCTCTTGTTGTTCCAATAATACGTACATAAACAACAACAACAATAATCTAATGGGAACCCCGATTCTATAAGTACTAATCAATAACATTATTTACTGCGTCATATTTATAATGCGTTTTCTTACTCTGAATTGTTTCAGGGACCACCCGTTTAGGTTGGTTGGTACTCATGTGATATGTGAGCCGACATAAAATCTGGCTTTATCTCCTGTCTTGTAAAATTCTATTAAGACAGTTAAAGGTTAGTTTTTAGTCAGGTTTTCATCTTCTCCTCTCATGATTCGTATGCAATTCATGAATTGCATCTGACTTGAATTCTGTAGTTTTACCATGAACCGTGTGCTGGCAGAGTATATGTCTTATGGCCACTGAATCTTATGCAAAATTTCTCTTCGCTCGTGCAATCTCTCTCTTTCTCGTATCATTGTTGGACCGTGGGAATGGAACGCGTCGAGACTTGCAGCTTGTAAACGTATGACTGACTGACTACTGCAATACTTATTATTGCCAGAGTTGAATTGATGCCGTGGATTTGGCGATATGAGTACGCTTTGAAGACGTTTAAAAAGAATCACTGTTTAACAACTACGTTGGCCTCAGGAGGTGATCTGCCCAACTGATTGGACTCACAATTAAATATTATGATGGATACACCATCATCCGATGCTACTGCATACATAAGTACGTGAATTCGTGTGCTTGTTGCCTCCGTTAAGCCCCCGGCCTAGTTTTTCAGTGATCTTTTATATAGCCGACTTTAAATGCAAAGCCGATAATCTAGGAATAAATTGTTTATTGAAAGCCATAGAGAACTGTTGTAGTAAATTATCCACGGGCTGAATCCATTTTCAAATGCAATAATTCTAATGATCAGACATATTTGACAGGTAACATGCATGTGTGCTTTCCCCTCATGAAGCATTCTTGTGATGCAGGTACTGATAACAGCCGTGATTGACGAGTTCATCATTTGAGGTGTCAGAGAAAGAATTATTATACTCTAATAACGCATATGCTTTATTTTTCTAAGGTGAGGTAAAAAACTATGGTTACATTTACACCTTAGTATGCATTCACCCCCCCCTTCTAAAACCTTGACCGCCTCCTACAGCCAAGGGGGTGCGTTTTAGAGAAAAAAATAAAGAGAGCAAAAAATCAATTACGGACATAATCTAGTGCTATTGAAAGGGATTTTTCGATATGAGGTCCTAGAAAAAAGTTTTGATGGTGGTGAATGGTTGCGTTTCGCAATTTAAGTACCAAGGAGACTACCTACATAGCTGGGTATCTAAATTTATGAAAGATCGCCCCCACTTTACTATAAGGGGAAACAAGAATTGGGTCGATTGGTTGAGAAACCAGCGACTTTTCCCTATAACGAAAATTTCCGAGTGGTTGCTATATAGTAACTATATAGTTACACGCTCGCCATGGAGTAATTTATACTCTTAGCCCGTGCCCGGACTTATGGGACCGTCATGTCCGTCCGTTAACACGACAATTTTACCATATGCATATCGGACAAAGCTAGGAAACGAGTTCGATGGTGGGAGAAATCGGTCAAATGGTTGACCCGTGGGGGTTATGTAAGTGAATGGGGTGCTATGCACCAGATTTAAAATTATTATACAAAGCTGAAATTTGGTACATAGGTTGATAATGGTTTCTAATGAAATAATATGAAGTAAAATTGTAAAATTTTCATCTTGACGGACCATAGGGGATGACCCATACCGATTTTTGAAACTCATCCAATCGAATTGTAATTTGGTACAGCGTTTTCTAGTCGCACCTAATGGAAGAATATGAACTGAAATTGGGAAAATTTTTGTGTGGAGGGACCCTTTGAAGTCACCCATACCTTTTAGAAATTGTCACAAATGGTTTTCTAAGTCGAAGAGCAAATTTGAGTCGGTTAGGAATATCGGAACTGACACCTATCAACTGGCACTTTTAAAAAATTGGCCACGATATGCGCAAGACTAACAGTGTAAATGTTTCGTTGCAAATAGCGTGTAATAGTGGTTACATTCTATATTTGCTTTTAAAATTCAAACCTAAAAAAGAATTAAATAAAATATAGCTTCAAAAAGTAAAAATTCTAAGGTGAGGGAGTGCACTAAAAAGTATTAAACAAGCTCCCTCCGCCACCCAGATAATTTTACTTCGCCTGGGCTGTCCACTGCATGCGACAATAATGTTTCGGCGTAAGAATTAATTTCTTGATCCAAAGTTAACTTTTGAATTGGTTAATATCCAGATCAACATTGCTGGGTGGTATGGGTATCATTATTATTATTAGCAATTATGATAATTTGGTACTAATTAACCTATGGTTCATCCGTCCCTAAATATTTATTAATTATTTGTATAACTAGCTCGACATCGTGCTCGTTGTACTGATAAACCAATATTTTAAACTATATTATAAACTATATTATATTAAACGATATTATATAGTATACAATGCAAGACCACCATTGTTTTTAGATTTGTTAGGTGACTCTATGAGCGACTTTTTTATGACCTGCATATTTTTATTTACAACAGATATTTTGCATGCGACAGACAGTCCAGGCGAAGTAAAATTATCTGGGTGGCGGAGGGAGCTTGTTTAATACTTTTTATAGCACTCCCTCACCTTAGAATTTTTACTTTTTGAAGCTATATTTTATCTTATTGTATTCCACACCGTGTTAAAAAATATTTGCATTGAATAAAACTGTTTCTATGTCGGAAATGTATCAACATATATGTAAAGAATTCAATGTGTGCAGGAAATTCAATAGTTTCAATTCTGCAACCTAAATACATATTCACATTTAAGGAATAAAATACCCAAATTTGGAAAAGGAAAGTAATGAAGAACTCAAAAACATCAAAAGGGAAAAGTTCCCCAAAGTCATTTAAATACGTTCTTGACAAGGATTGGATTTTGACCAAAGTATCGCACGTGAATCAAGCAATGAGTGATTTTCAAGCAGTGGTGCACGACGAGCATGTCAAGGCATGTCACTTTCTCCGCATTTTACGACTAGGACATGGAATCGTAGATAAAGTATAAACAGTAATTTTAAGTTTTTTGGAATATTTAACCTAAACTGCTTTGCTATTTTCAGAAATGTGTTGGAAAGTTAATTTTGACTCACACCGTATCCGGAAATTACTTGGAACGCTTGAGCAAGAAATATGGAGAAGAATACTATTTAATTCGAGAAGATGACATTTTAGCCTTTGTTGATTTGTAAGATCTATGTCACTGTCTGCAAACCCCTGTCACGATAATTATAAACCAAAATAAGGCTTGATACAAAAATACAATTGAATAATAATTTACACTTCATACGCTACATATAAAATCGTCATTAGTCAATACACATTAGAATAATATATGCATAATCATCATCATCATCATGATAGGAAGGCAGTAGAAAAAATCAATCAATTCTTCTCAATCAATGAAGCATCTCATTGTTCCAACCTGTTCCTCCTCCGCATCGCAAGGCACCCGAAACGTGATTAATAATAAAGAGGATGAGACGACTCGGTAGTTTGATAAGTAGTGGGCATTACTTACACTGTGGTATGTGATTGAAATGCGTTGATTAAAGTAACATGCGGGAGACGCTGAGTGATTTCCCACGGTGTGGTGGTGTTGATATGGTGGTGGTGGTGCTGCAGTGTAGCTCGGTAGCTGGATGGGCGAATCATTCAAACCCAAAGGCTAAATTAATCCCCCACTTTATTTCCATAAGTCGATTTACCACCAGGCAATTGAAAATGAAATTTTACTCCCAACTACGTACCACCACCACCATTATGGTAATGATGCCCAGGCTGAAGAAGAAGAAAAAAGTTTACAATAATCGTGTTCAAGAGTGCTTCTCATTCCGCTCCTCCATTTATCTGCAATACCATCTTGGTCGGCAAAAAAGCAGTTGATGGAGATGAATCGTCTCTGCTTCCATCCAACTCCTTCATCTTCTCATCATTTCCCAGTCTCCAATGATTAAGTTGCATCTCAAAACTTGGTCCTACATGCATACGTACCTAGGTAAGTAATTGAACATGGAAATGAAAAATAACTTTGATTCCAATAAGCAATTTATAATTGAACTGAAACGCAGAAATTTGAATCTACAAGTTTAAAATTGCCCTTAATTATTGAATACGGAGATTATAATTTCTTGATTCAACAGCAATACATAATTTGTGTTTTTTCTAATACTCCTCTAAGGAAGATTGGGTTTTCTAATTAAGCATTTTTGCATTAGCATCAGAGTCGTAAACAAACGTTAAGTTCAGCTCAATTACAAAGATGCAGGCATATTTACAAAATCCCATTGAAGGTCAAAGGTACTGAAAAGGCCCACACGGTTCATAATGCATACTTATGAACTCGAAAGAATAGTGTAAAAATAGAGAAATAGAAGACACATATGTGGGTACCTGCCAGTACCTGGAAGACTTGAGCAGCATTGTTTCTGATTATTCAGTACCCTGACATAATAGTATCTCGTACATGATAGGATTGTGTTCCGGGTCGCTGCACGGTGAGTGAAAGCGTGTGTGTGTGGTGATCTGAGAGATGACTAATGGCGAAACAACGCCACACACAATCAGAGAGGCTGGCTGGCTACCGAACTACCGACTTGAGGAACATTGAAGAACATGCAAGTGTGCAGCAGGTGGTGGTGATGGTGAAGCTCAGAGGCAACGAGCGTGGGAACGAAAAAGTGATTCCCACGCATTCCTTTACGTCTGCTGCCGGTCTTGCAGCCAGCCAGCTCTTTTCTTCAGCTTCTTTTCAATCCCACCTTTCATCTCGAGTTACAATAGGTCAAAGCGCAGGAATGGTAGGGACCAGTCGTCGTAGTCGTAGTACTACGACTTTTACTACAAATTTTACTACTCCACACTTCTCCGATACGCAGACACACCGCCCAGCCACCGTCCGCATGCTACCAATAATCCGACCAGAATGACATTTATTTAATCAGTGTAGAGCTATGGAGAATAAACACGGGCAGTCATGCATAGATGTATCTAAGACCCCTTAATAAGTACACTGCATACATACACATACGTAAACATGTAAACCAACATGCTTTCTCCAAAATGGTTTTAAGTGCATGCAATGTGCGAAGGAATAATGTAGTGTGGGATACACATATACATTTATGTTGGGTTTGGAGGCTTTTAAATGAAAATTCAACAAAATGAAATTAGTTGGAGATCCTAGTTTATTACGAGTGGGAGTGATTGCGTAAACCATTTCTAATTTCTTGTTAACCTACGTTTAACGTTTACACCCACTCGGATGTAAATTTCACTATAGCTTCAGCAGTGATAATGTGATAAATGTAAGACCACCACGTCAACAATGGTAAACTACATAAAAGAGGATGAAACTCCACTGCATCATCAATAACAATAACATTATCGTTTAAATTTAATTTCTGAAAGTCAAACTATGTATATTTGTACGTTCTCAAAACTATATTTCCAACACGCCCTAATAACATGGACTATACAGGAAAAGTAGTCACATTACCCCAACACGCTATCGTACAGAATTAGGCTTACTCAGCTACTAATTTGTAATTTCGTGCATATTAGTGAATAAAACCCACTGTTCTAAACTATGCTCTAAAATATTCCTAAGAAAACAACTGGGACCAAATTACCAGGGTATGAATAATATTTTTGGCTGATGCTAGGTATATACTTGATGTTAAAAGAGCTCATCATAAACCTTATCTAAATGTTTTGAAGGCATGGCTTCGTCTGAATGAATTTGTTTACTCATAGTAAATTTTAATTCATTGATTAATAAATGCTAGCAATTGACGCAGTAGTTGTGTGATGATTCTCTGGGGTCACGTCTGGTTATGCAATCCTAATTCATCCTTTGGTTATCTATTTACTAGTTGTGTCAGACATTGGCTGAATATCGACCAATGATATCAACGCGAGGTTGTTTGCGTTGTGCTATCAATAACGTGCATAAAAATTCATACGCATCTTTGCCTGCCTACGTACTACATACAGGGTAAAGTATTATGTCCCACAGACCTATTCAACAATTATTATATACCTACTTGCTGCCATAATTATTATTGTAATTAAACTAAATATATGGACATGGTTAACCCCTCGAGTCTTTGACTTGAGTTGACTTTTATCCTTGAATTAAACTAAAGTTCTTTGGCACAAAGTTATGCATGTGCGTGTTAATTTTTCTGTGAACTCGGTATCCGTCCGTGTGGTATGAATCTTATGTATTTACGATTAGTCGATGAACAGTATTATTCCACTCATCCTTTCAAAATCGAAACGAATATACATACATACACAGAAATTTGATAAGCCAAGTTCCAAATCAGATTAATAAATCTATGCATATTATTATATAAATATAATAATCTCAAGTATTATTGTCGCCTAAGCAGTTGCGTCGTCGTGGGTCTGCTCTGACCTAAATCATCAATATAATAATTCATAGAGGGTCACGAGAAAATGCCCTCCCTATCATGTCTGTTGTATAACTCTCGCTCTCCCTCCCAAAAACCATGAATTAATTACAGTACTGCTGTCTGAGCTGATAATGTGACATTAAACGTTCAACTCCTTCCAATTCCGAAGAAGTGACTGACAAATTAGTGTTATCTTTGCAAAGCAAGTCAGCCACATGCCAATTCTTTTCGTGGGAGGGTCACTTGTCTCCGTTGCTGACTCTGCAAACAAGTGGCAAGCAAACCTATTCACAATTGTTGTGTATTTCAACCCATGTTGCCTGTATTCAATCCATACATACATTTTAGACTCGCATACGTTTTTACATATGTACAAATGTATTTCTGTCCGAGTCGCAATTACAACTCGTGTGGTTCTCTATATCAACTAAGAAATAGCAGAGTGACCACAAATTTATCATTAACTCTCCCAGCGTGAAGGATGAGTCCAGAAATAAAAGATAAATGAGGATCATACGATGATGGCCAATAATATTTTCCATTACTTCCTTCCAATGTTGCTTAATTATCCGAGTGTGTAGTAGGACAACAAAATGTCCATCATGCCCTTGTGGCGACGGCATTTATAATAAAAATACAATCAAAATTAGCACGTACATATAACAGGCAGGCGGTCGTACCTTAATGAATGGCACACGCACGCAAATTTCCTAGAGTCCTCTCAAACAACTAATTAAGGTTACCCAAATATTGCTGTCTATACATATATGAAATTTCACGGGCGATGCTTTAGGTTGTCAATGATAGTAAAATGTCTAATTGCATAATTCAAGATGATTGTGATACGCTAATTGGAATGAACCCTGGTGATGATACTTTTGTATTTGAATCAGAGAAAGTAGGTTAAAAACAAGCACCTTATATATCAGCTAAATTTGACAAGTGTGACCTAATTCCTAAACAAACAACGTTTCCGAACCAACTTGCAAATTTTTAGGTACATATCCGAAATTTTTTTGATCAAATCATCATTCGCCTATTGACACGCTAGGGAGAACAACACAAACAATCACCAACGAGTGCGTGAATATAGAGAGCTAGCATTATGTCCAAATTCGAAGGGTTCAGTAGTATCCAAAGAAAAATCATAAACACTTTCAGCTATTGTCCAATATCTTTAACAACGGTTGAACATCTTGATAAGGGGGGTCACTTTAGACTCGTCTCAGCGTCTTGGTGGAGGATTATGTTCTACATTGCATTCAATTTAAATACTCTCGTGAAGCTCATTTACCTTGTGCTCTTGGTATTGGGGTGTTTTGGACCAGTCAACTTCCTGGATAAAATATCTGCACTTTTGTGGATTCTAATTTGTCTCGAACTATTGCAAGAGTTAATTTTTTGGGTCAACAAATATCCCATCTTTGAGGTACACATAAATACAGTAACCAGTAACTAAGAATATGCAAATATGTAAATGGTAATAAGTCTAACTTTTTCCAAGGTTCTATCCAATCTATGGAAAGTCGAGAACAAGATATTCATGCGCCTTGGACGGCCTATGATTCTGAAACAAAAGTGCGACAAGATCAACTATTCAACACTTCTCATTCATGGGTACTCATATTAAGCTAAGACCATAAACGTTAAATTCGTCTATTAATTTGAAAATACTGCATTTACACGTTGTTAACATTACAGCGGGATTTTGATAATCGGCTGCGTCTTGTTGGGGGCACAATTCATCTATTCCCCAAAATACTCTGTCTACACCTACGCTGCATTTGAACACGAGAACGATTTTCTCTTGGCGGTCTTTACCTGTCACGAAGTATTCTTTATGTACAATGCTTGGAACGGCTACTTGTCCATTGTTATCTTGAGCTCAGTCAATGCTGTTGAGCTCTCTGGTATTTTGGAGGGAATGACAAGTTATCTGCTATCACAGTCAGTGTCTCTGTCATGTGACATTGAAACAGCATTAACACAAGATCTGAATCAGTGCATTATTGGGGCATCTAATAATAATAACAAGATTGAAGGAAATCGAAAGAACATCACTGACCTTGGAGCAGTTTGCACTAACTCGTCGTACTATAATGTTTACGATGTTATCGCAGACTACAAGAAGCTCATGCTGGCTTCCGACTTGCTAAATTCTTGGTGTTCCTACAGAATTATCGGGATTCATACAATTGGCTATAGCCAGTTCATTACTGACGTATTTATCATGATCCAGCTCGCAAAGCTACCCAATACTGATTGGTCCGCAGTAATGTGGTTCGGTGAAGACGCAATGGTAATTTTTAATTTTTAATATTATTCACCAAAGTATCAAATGAATGCGCTTGGACTTGGATAACTTTTACAGGTTTGCATTTTCATGATCTTTCGAATGTTTTCTCTAATGGCTCGCGTTGCTCCGGCTTCGGAGAACTTCATGAGACAGGCAACCGAATGTTTGAGCGTGGATGCTCTACACCGAAAGCGAAACAAAAAGGTTGCAAAAACCATGCGTCTTGTTGCATTGAAATTGGGACCTTGTCCAGTTAGACCTTCGTCCGTGGGGTCGTCAGTTATGATGCTGATGAACTATTACTTATGCGTGGCATTGTGGAAGTAAAAATAAACTGAATTTACATAGTTTACACAGCAATAAATAAAATAAACCTATAGAGTAGCGTACAAATTGCTTACATATCAACTGTATGTATGTACTGAAGCATTGTGGTTAATTTCTCCATGATTGGATTCATGCACATCCTGTTTAGTTCCGCATATCTATTAGCAAGTTAGGTTCATCGTCTTTGTCAAAGTTTACAGCCAACCAAAGAAACGGCAGCTCCAGCTCCCTGGACAAAAAGAAAGTGTTTCTGCGCAGCCCTTTCCGAACCCTGTTCCGAAATATACTCGTTCGAGTGCAGCGAAACTCAAACGGTGGGTACCTTCCTAATTGTCCTTAACTTTCCCCTCCTTTCTAACTGACCCACTCCCCCTCTCCCTCCTCCTCCCACTGCTTTATCCTCTGACCTGCCTGCTCGTTCTTGGCCGTCGTTTGCATCCTCAACTTCAACACTGCCTTGTTAGTAGAAACCCATTAAACGAAACTACATACTAAGAGATTGACGTTACATGCAAAGATTGAAGCGAGAAAATTAGACACATACATCAATAATCATCAACATATCATGTTATGCACACAATTACTTATTATAATTCGTCATGTGATAGAATACATATCAAAAACAACAATACACATATGAGTAAAATGTAAAAGTCACGAGTGGAGTGAGTGAAATATGAGGTTCATATCCTTGGGATATAGAAAAGTGAAAGCAGTTCAATGTTACATATTCCTTCTCATTTGGCTTATCATTGTTTCAATCGGTTCGTGCATACTTAAAAAAATAAGAGTACAATCAAATCATGTTGAAGAATTTTCTGAATTTATTTCTTATGCAAATTTTCTGTAGGATTCTACTGGTTTCTTAACCGAAGCGGAAATGAACAACTTGCAGCAGGTCTCACCCAATCTTATCAAGATAGTGGAGAAAACAATAACGGTGGCCAGGTGAAAGACATATCAAAAACTGGCTTGGATGATGGTGGTGCCTTGTTCACAGTCAATAAACAAGTGCATCCTCATGAAAATGTATCAAGTACAAAATTACATGAAAAAGCTCAGCAGAACAGTGAAAACATCGTGCGTCGACTATGCAACCCGATACATGCAATCAAGGCCAAGGAAGAAAGTAGGAAATATTCAACTAAATATATGTAAACAGCAAAATATCATCTGAATCATATCGTGCCTTTTTTATAGATGTACAACATCCTGACTTTAAATTGGAGGGAGTTATTATTTTGCTCAGACACGGCGATCGAGGCCCACTAACACACATTGGACATCGCAATGTAATCTAGGAATAATTTACTTATAGAAAAATGGACATGGTCAAAAACGTTTAATTTTATACACAGGTTTCACATATCAACTGTGAGGCAAAAAGTTCAGCGTTTGAACAACTGACAAAATTTGCAACCGACACGGTGAAATTTCCGGGTTACTCGCAGTTTATTGGACCATTTCATAGCTTTCAAAAGGTACCGTTGAGTCCTTTCTGCAGTCTGGGCCAGCTTACTCAAATTGGATCTGCCCAACTTTTGACCCTAGGCAAATTAATTCGATCGATATACAAGCCTAGCTTGGTCAATGTCACGTCTTTCAACGATCACGACATTTCACAACCCTTCAAAGTGGTGGCTTACTCAACCAGATATCGCAGGACGTTTCAAAGGTAACTTCTATTAAATTTTTGACTAAAAGTTATAAAATTTAACTAAAAGAAGTTAACATTATTCTTTTATTGCCCAAAGTTTGTTTGCTTTCTTGTATGGTCTACTGGGTCCGAGACATTTGATTCAAAGCACAACAATTTATGAAAGTCAGAGCATAACTTTTTGCTTCAAACATTGCTCATGTAAAGCTGTTGATCGCCTCAAAAAAGTTGCCAACAAGAAATTTAGCCCTAAAAACAATGGTAAATCTCAGAGTTTTTTATTATTAATCATATTAAAGCAAACCTAAATGTTTTTTTTACTTTGCAGTAAAAGCAATCATGGCTGAATTGGTCAGTAAACTTAATTCGGTGCTTGGGACAGAAAAATCCAAGAAAACGGGTAATTCTCTCCTGGATTCATTGCTAGTCTACCCGTGTCATAATATTGAGCTTCCATGTCATCATAATAATCACAAGGATACCAAAGTTCAACTTTTGTTCAAAACTATTAAAAACCTCTCATTGTATAATCACTACCACCCTCCTCCAAATCCAACTTCCTCGTCATCATGTATCACAAATTCCAACTTGGAAAATCTTGTCGAGTTAATTAATCAAGAAAACAAGGGTTTAAAGCAAGTTCCCGAAAGTCGCAAGTACCATTTACTCAATTCCTACGGATTGTTGAAGGAAATTGTTAATCTCGCCTTGAGGATGACAACACCTCCTCCTCCTCCCCAATCATCGGAGGCCTGGAGAAAGCACCAGCAAACCCCGATGTTTGCCCCTGACTCGGCTTTCACCTCTTTTACGAACAGTAACAACCGAAATTTCGTCCGCGGAGGTGGGGACGGGGGCAGCAAGCCGTCAAGAATCGTCATATTTTCTGGTCATGATACAACTTTACAGAGCATATCTGCAGCATTGGGAATACTCGAAGGAAGCCAGGATATTCATCTCCCACCCTTTGGAAGTCGCCTAATTTTCGAGTTCTATAGAAGGACCCAGGTTGACTCCAATTCACCTCGGAAGCTCTACTTTCGGGTGGTGTTCAACGGAGTGGCGGTGACACATTTAGTCAGTTTTTGTAGGGAGTCCGAGAATTATGGGACAACCAACAGTGATACGAATAAGACAGCGAAAAAATTCAGTAATCTTAAGAATAAGTTGAATAACAGTTCCTCTTTTTGCCCAGTAGAGAATCTAGTAAAATATATTCACGACACTTATTTTGACTCATTTGACAATGCAACTAATTTTAAGGACGCCTGCAAAAGATTGTAATATTTTTACTGCCATTATTTCCCGTTAATCATCAGGAATAGCAAGTTAGGTTCAGAAAAGTGCAATTGTGGGAAAGACACACACATATCAAAGAGATGCTCGAAACTTTCAGCGTAAACGATACATATCATGTAACGGAAAACTAATAAATGTTGTTCTTATGAACAATCAACTTCAATGAATATTTATCATAAGTAATTAAATGTTAAGTAGGAAATTAAATTACATCACACATTAAATCTGTTTAATATATAATTATAATTCACTAAATATGAATTGTGATTTGTATTTTTACTTTGAATAAAGTATCGAATATTCGTAGTTGAGAAGCAGCACACAGTTTTAACTTGATAACCCAGAATAAAATAATAAGCAATTTAATACAATTCTCGGCAATTTTGTTCGAGTTTTGCATTTTTTCGAGTAAACAATTTGCTTAATTTTAATACAAATTATGTAAATGCGCGTGTGGGTGACAATTTTTTATGTTTTTGCGTTGATACATTGAATTGGAATTATAATATATAAGAGTGGCATGTTTGATTGCATGAAAGGCAGGCAAGGAATTTGGTTTAAGGAGAATTTTATGGTCCTTTTATTGAATTCGCATCAATTGGAGTCTAGTAATAACAGTTATATTTGATTTTACTACATACTATTTTGCTGGTCTTCGTATTCCTATTGACTGATGCTGCTGAACGAGGAAAGTAAATTCGATTGTGGTGGCATGTCTGAAGAACAATTGTCTATACTAAAGTAGGTACTTACTATATGATTATCATATTCTCATACTCATGATCACAATATACATACATATAACATAACTATTGTCGCGTGTGATTTAGATAACAATATACTATACATATACATGTACTTTCCGAACACATGCTAAATTTCTTCCCTGGAAATGACTGAATTGAACTCTAATAGAGTTCGGCAATTGGCATTACATTAAAATCTTCAAAACATAACTGGGATTAGTACAACAAAATACACTGAACAAATGTATACATAACAGTAAACAAAAATATTTGATCGTTCTAATTTATTACAAACAGTTAATTTAGTCCGGGTCATACAAATGACTAAGATGAGAATGAATATCTTGTTATACCGCGTTAAGTATGTTTAATCATCAGCATTGCAGACATGGACTAATTTTTGATCATATTTGGTTATTTCACAGGACATTGAAGAATATGTTCTCATCATTATTACAAACCACCGCCTTTAGCTCCAGCAATTCCCAAGATGTTGCGCTTGTACCAGCCAGTCATACTAAACACAAAGATTGTTCGATTAGTCATTTCATACCAAATAGCATTTCAAAGAGGAAGGAACTTACTATTCTAGTGCGATGAAGGTAAGGACCTGGGACGATGTGAAAAATAAAAAAATTTAAGTTCATACACTTATTTTCGAATACTACTGAAGTGATGTAATTTGAAGCAGGAGTTTGATTTAAAATATGTACATCTAATTTTAATTAATTAATGCATAATATTCTCACCGTGTGTGGGCCCAATCTTGCGTAATATGGAGTAAAACCTTTCCATAAAGCGAAAACCCCCTCGTTCTTGATGACTTTTACGAGGACATCGGCAGCTCCCTTCACATAATAATTAATTAACTTTGTAATTTATGTTCCATTTGTGGTATTAGTTGTTGTGTTAAGTAAAAATTAATATAATGGATTTGATTTTTTATAAGAACGGATATTGCACATTTCTAAAAAGTTTCTATGATGTTGTAATCCCTCATCCGTTGTGATCGATTAAATAAAGTTACTTATGAATTTATTTTACCCATATTTAAGGTGTTAATATTTTCAATTTAAATACTACACATGTATTTAATTACCTTATACTCTGGTTTTCCATCAATCATTTTCATATTCTGGATTCGAGTTTTTGCAATATCCACAGGCATTGATGCCGCAGTGGTTACCAGACCAGAAATCATGCTTGCACAAAAATGCAAGAATATGCCTTCACTAAACCATCCTAAAATTGTAATAAATAATTATAATATAAAAATACCTATATGTTTTAGTAAATTACACGTAAAACGTGAAATATGTACCTGTGCTCATGAGCCCTTCTTTGGCTTGGGAATATGACGAAAGTTGGGCAGCGTTCACGACAGCTATTTAAGTAACAAGTTTGAATACATACATGATGAATGTAACACTGTAAAAGTGTTATCAAAGAGGTATCATAGTATTTCAATACCAGCTCGGCCCTTAAAGATAAAATTAAGAAAATAAATTATATTTTCTATATAATATTTTTGATGTATAGAGTCTTTTATGTTTTTACCATCGTTGGAATTGCTCCTCTCCACAGAGTTAAAACACCTTCCTCCTTGACCATTCGAGCCAATGCATTAAAAACGCTCGTGTAATTGCGCCTTTCTGCGGCTGGTAATTTTCCATCGGCAGTCATACGGATAAGGGAAACCTAAATGCACTCATAATTTTAATCAACATTATGCATTCTAATTACAGTTATGAATTTTGTACCTCAGCTGGTGTTCCCACAAATGCACCAATGACTCCAGCAGTCATGCCTAGGGCCGCTTTTATCAGGAAGCCTGCAGTACCACATTGTCATATTCACGCCATCCTGATTATAACTTCATGGCACAAATGTTTAGAAAGTATTCAAACCTGGTGGCGCTCCATCCTTTCCAGAAAAGTTTTCGAAAAGCCAGGTATATATACCGAGTCGTGTCGTGGTGTAGGAGGCTTGTCGCAATAGACCAGCGGAAAGACCATTATACCTGTAATCCATCCATCCATCCAAGACTGGTAAAATATATCATGAACTATGAATTAAGGCAAAATAAACACATACATGGCGAAGATTCCCTCCTGTTAAATAATAAAATAGAAGTTAGGTTGTTGCTTGTTAATTTCACACCTTAATTGCTAACCTGTTTTAGAATTGCTCTCGCAGCGTGGAAGCTTGTCTTATACTCCTTCTTTCCTGACCCTGTTCCACTCAGTTGCATCCGTGTCTTGACCAAATCTAAGGGCTGCACGACGCAGGTCGCCGCCATTCCGGATAAACCTAGTATAAACAAGGGCCAATGATCAATAAAAGATCCGATCGATTATGTGTGACGTGTATACGCTTAATTACCTCCGAATGCAAATTTGATGACATTTGGAATGGTTGCAGGGGGTGACGACTGAGACATGATTATATATTGGTGATGGATCAAAGTATTATATTGTAATTAGGGAATTCCAGAGCAGGGGATATGGGTAGGAACTAGTTAAGAGTATTTGTATTTCCGGCAAAGAATTTGTGAACTGATTGGAGCGTAGAGAAAACCAATAATAATATGAGTGAATTAAAGGTTTCGATTTGTGAATATTGAGTACTTGAGGTCAAGAGAGGAGTAAGATTTAACTAAAAGAGTTTGTTAAAGGAAGGAAAGGACAATTAAGGACGGGAGGAGTGAGGAAAATGAAGCAGGATCTTCAAGAGTGAGGAAAGAAATTGTGCAATCGAAGACTTCCCGGGGTGGAAGTGACTAAAAAGAGAAAGTCTCGTGGATTCCTAGACGGTTGATTTTTGTAATAGTTCATGTGGAGTGGAGGAAAAGGCACGTGAACAAGCAAGATCATCATGAGTTGACCTTGAGCATGACCAGATTGAGGACACGTCCATAAGTTCATTAAAACAATAATCTCTCAATGTTCTTTTGGTCACTAACATGTCATGTAGAGATGCAAATTTTTTGTTATCCTCGCCCCATCCACGCGAAGTGAAAGTTCGCTTCGAGCTTTCACTATCATCAAAATCATAATTATGACAGAATGACACATATCCTTATGAGAAATGCGAGACGGAAAGATTCCAATGATCGGCCATATTATCACAGCTTAGGTTTTTAATGTCACGAATGTGAAAAATATAATCGAGGACTCCGAGTCGTTCACGTACCTCATTTATTTTTTTCTTAATGAGTGGGGCTTTGAATCACGATCGGATGCATGCACAATCCCGTCCATAATAAACTAACTTTAACTGTTGCTCATATACAGCTTTAACTATAATTTAGCCTCTAGTTGTTATATAAATGTTCTAATAACAAGTGTACGTGGCTCTTCGCTTGCACACGGCTTGGCACGAAGAAGACCGGTCCATAAGATGAGCGCATGCAACCAACTCCACGTCTATAATTCTCCAGTCAGTTGCCATTTTACCCTCAGCTCTTGTGAACCAACATCACTTCTTCTCTCCCACTTTTCGTAAGTCATTTTATTTTTTATTTTATTTTTTATTTTATTTTAACAACTTTCACCCATTCCTAAAATACATAAAGCCTTCATAATTTCATAAGTATCAGGATCGTGACTAGTTGTTGTTCCAGTAGTTTCAATAGTTGCATACTACTGACTGGTTTGTATAAAATAGTACTTACTTACAGTTCATATGTCTTATGACCTTGAAATAATTTAGTTGGCGTCGTTTGTTTGCCCAGGGTGCGACAACACATTGAATGACAGCTAAGTCTGCTTGTCAATTAATCTCAATTGGTAGAGTAAATACGTGAAGGTGTTGGTTCAGTAATTATTAATCGAATTTATGAGGACTAGAAAATTACTACCGGCTAAAGTGTTACGCCTAAAAATCCAATATACGATGTAGAGTGGGCGTATTAACTAGGTGCATTTAATAAAATATAAACAATTTCCAAGTTCTATATATCTTCATCTTGGCTCATTGAAATGTAACGACCTTGTGAAAGTTTATTGAATTTACTTCACACCATCATCCTTGCTTGCCCTTGCTCTAACCGGAGAAAGTTATTGCATCAGGATATAGGCTACCAGTTTTTAAACGTGAGTCACGTGACACAGGAATTAGGATGACAACAGATTTGCCTTGGTAGAATTTTAACTAAAAGTAAGAGTACATGGATTTTATTCGAGGATTTGCAGTCGAGATTTGTTACAAGAGTTGCATATGTAGTACGAAGAGAAGAAACTGAAAATAGAAACGCGTTCTGCTCATCTCCCGAATCTTTTTAGTTTTTGTCATTGGCATTGAACCCGAAATGTTCTTGTATAGTAGATTAAACTTGCTTGTGTATTAGGTTTATGGAAGAATTACTTGACTATGAGTGATAAGAATTAAAATTATATTCAATATTTGCATCGTATTTGCATATATCGTGCATATTTAATTGAGTATACACGACGACTTCCTTTAATGTCTCATTTGCATATGTCCAGAAGTGCATGCATTCTCAATGATATGCGAATCCTATAAGCATTTATGTGTTTGTTTGACCTTTAACAATAATACATATATTTGCAGGTTCGAACACTACCAAAATGTCTAAAGTCGGAATCAATGGATTTGGCCGAATTGGTCGTTTGGTTCTTCGAGCTGCCATCGCCAAGGGCGTGGAGGTGAGTCATTTGAATTAAAGTAATTACTTTACTATATGTAGGTATAAGATCACTTAATGTATCACATTTCTAGGTCGTTGCTGTAAACGATCCATTCATTGATTTGGAATACATGGTTTACATGTTCCAATATGACTCCACACACGGAAAGTACAAGGGAGAAGTTAAGGTGGATGGTGGCCAACTTGTTGTTGATGGTAAATAGGAGAATTGTTCCATCTCTGCATTAAACTTTATGAGATAATTTGGACACTGTTATGCAAATACATAATTACATATTTTTCAGGACATAAGATCTCAGTCTTCCAGGTAAGTATCGCGTTAATTCAACATTGATGCATTTCATTTTACTCTACCTTAGATGTACGTTAACGTTAGCGAATATTTTAAATCTTTTGCTTGACGCTGAGTTTGTGTTGGATCCATTGCACCTCTTCCGGGTCTTGTTGCAACAGATCTGATGGGAGAGGAATGAGTGGCCTGTTCTGCCATCCAATCCGTTTTGCTTTCTCTTTCGCTGCATCACTCAATATCCGCTTGTAGGAATTCTTTCTTTGCAGTCCTGCATTTAGAATGTCAAAGACGACTTTCTCCTCATCTAGTGGCACGAACTGTTTCTCTAGATTGACATGCTGCAAATATACAAATGCGATTTATATTTGTAAATGTCTGATAAACTTCACACTTTCTCTACATTTGGTTTACCTTATAAAAGTGCTGCCAATCCATAGCATCATCCCTGTTATTTTCTGCAGTTTTTCCGGAGAAAGTGAAATCCTATATGAAATTAGAATGCATGTTATCGTTATAGTCTTAGTTTGAGTAGATTTATTATTATTATGTCACTCACCTTACGCCAACAAATTTGTCCATCTTTCATCAATTTGACGAGCTGGGATGTGCCAGGTGAGGAGCCGTCGAGATAACCGCACGTGCGTTTCCCTCGTTTTGCCGTCGCTGTTCCAAAATACACAGAGAAAGTATATTTAACTTTCTCTTTCTCACTAATTTTCTTCTTCAACCTCTTCAATTCTTTGTTTCTTTTTGCGTATGTCGCCTCTGGTCCAATATCCAGTTTCTCAGGAACATATGCACAAAAGAAACTAGCATTGTATTGTGCGTTGTCTTTTGCATAATTTTTTCTCTCTTCGTCATCAATCTTCTTTCTGTCCTTCCTAAATTGAAGTGGGACGTCATCCTCCCAGTCAGAATCCGAGTTGTACTCTTGAATAGGAAATAGTGGGAGTAGGCCTTGTTCTTTTTTATTGGACACATACGACGTGAGACTGCTTTCTCCACGCTTCTTTCGTTGATATTTTCGGTTACTTGCATTCTTTCCCTCTTTCCTAACATTAAAAACCGGAAATTAAGTTCAAATACTTTTAAAACTAAATTAATTAAATTAATTAGCACGTTCTACTTACTTGTAATGGGCATGTGACTGATGGCTTTGGACATCATTTTTAATACGGCTTTTGAACCCTATTCGACACTTTCCACTTCCATCCCCCTCGTCCTCAATGCAGAAATACACCCCCTTCGTTTTATTTATTTTCTGTTCTGACTTTTTTCTATATTTTCTCTTTTCTACAACTTTCTTTTTATCTTGTTGACCTGCCATTTTCACTATCTAACACACCACTACGGCTAAACTATAAAAACAAATCATATAAATAAAAAACAAGTGTAGCTGATGACTCTTCACTTTGGCGGCTCCTTGTTCTTTCGTTCGCGATCAGTGAAGCCATGGGCCAGAAGGGGCAGACCGGCCCATTCTGAAGCAGGGATGCTGTACTGCATGAGGAGGCTAATCATCTCCTTGTCTTTCATATAACTTTCACTTTCATTTTCCTCAGGAAAGGGATCCTAAAAACATTCCATGGGGAAAGGTTGGAGCCGAAGTTGTTGTTGAGTCTACCGGTGTTTTCACAACAATTGAGAAGGCTGGGGTAATAATAATACTTACAATTGTTACATTGTTGTCTTTATGCATGTAAACTGACAATTTTCAGTTTTGTAATAAATTTGATTTATTTTAGCTCCATTTGGAAGGTGGAGCTAAGCGAGTTATCATTTCGGCCCCCAGTGCAGATGGTGAGTTCATAAGTATTTTACGATTAGCCTAAGTCATCACACCTTATCTTTAGCTATGCGGTGTTCATTTTCTATGGGGTTGGCTTGGATTAATATAATTCCAACCTAACTATTATCTATTTTCTAGCTCCCATGTTTGTGATGGGCGTCAACGAGGCCGCCTATGATCCTTCGATGAAGGTCATCTCCAACGCATCGTGCACCACCAACTGCTTGGCGCCATTAGCCAAAGTCATCAACGATAACTTTGAAATCGTTGAGGGTCTAATGACTACATGCCACGCTATTACTGCCACTCAAAAAACTGTTGATGGACCTTCAGGAAAGGTAATATATAGATTGAAAACGTATATTCTAGAGTATTTAGTGAAAAGTCAGAAAATATGACTTGATGCATAAATTATTGCATAAATCTAGATGTGGCGAGATGGTCGTGGTGCTGCCCAAAATATCATCCCAGCTTCAACTGGTGCCGCCAAGGCCGTAGGAAAAGTCATCCCAGAATTGAATGGAAAATTGACCGGTATGGCTTTCCGAGTGCCAGTCCCAAATGTATCGGTTGTTGATCTGACCGTGAGGTAATAAAGACATTCCATCTTAAATATAATCACACGGAACGAATTAAAGAATTAATAACTTGTGCTTGTGCATAACTTTAGATTGGGCAAGCCTACATCGTACGATGAAATCAAAGCCAAAGTGAAAGCCGCTGCTGATGGTCCCATGAAGGGAATTCTTGGATATACTGAAGATCAAGTCGTTTCTAGCGATTTCATTGGCGACAACCGCTCGTCCATCTTTGATGCCGGTGCTGGAATCATGCTGAATGCCCAATTTGTGAAATTGGTCACTTGGTACGATAATGAGTTTGGATATTCTTGCCGTGTTGTTGACCTCATCAAGTACATCAAAACTCGGGAATAAATTCAATCGGCTGTCTCCGTATTATATCACAGCAACAATTCCCATTGAAAGTACGGTCTAAGTTAAACAATTATAAATCCGTATAAAATGTTTAGTACAGAAACAAATTCATGTCTGATATAATAGTTATTTTGTCCAATGTCGATCTAGTGAAAATTAAAAATATAAAAATAGTTGAAATTGTGTAGAAGTTAAGCTGGAATTGTGAATGAATGAACAATAAATTTGTCTTAATAAGTCAACATCTGTATAGCATATTTCTTTTAATCTTACGCTCTGCATGCTTCAATTGTATAGGACTAGTTAACACATACAAATCATTCGTATTAACATCTATTAGTTAGCAATATATTAATCGGAATCAGAAGACCTGTCTTCGCACACGTCAGGTTAAAGCATATTAATAAATAAAATTAGGGACAAAACAAATCTCGATCGTTTACGAATTAATATTTTAACAATTGACGGAGAAATAAAATCACATACTAAAATAGAAATTATTAGTAGGAAGTCATAAATGTCGCGTCGGCGAATCCTGAGTATCCTGATTGGAGATAACATGTAACATGCTGCAACTAGAAGTCAGTGTACTTTCCAATGAAGAGTTTCTCAGGTTCCATGAAATCGGTGGAATTTGCTCTGCTCACCCGGAGGCTCTTCACTTGTCCCCCCACCCCCGACAAAGGGACGGGCAACAGCTCTTTCAGGATGGAGTGATGGTGAACGACGGCGGTCAGAGTTGGAAATTCCTTTGTGAAACCCTGCCATCAAATAATGAGAAATGGTCATTTATCACCTCATACCATAACGTTAATAACCTTGAATTTTATAGACAAAGCACACGCATCCACTTGTTGAACTCTCTCTCTCTCTCTCTCTCTCTCTCTCTCATTGTCAGTTATAATAATTACACACTTACATATTCCTCAATATGGCCCCTAAACCATTCACTAACCATGGATCAGATGCAGGGAAATATGACTTTGCTACATACTTTGGGTGGAAAAGCACCCAAAGCAAAATGCTTGACCCGACAGGCCATCTCATCATCAGCAGAGCATCTCCTCTAACATAAAATACTGTTTAACATTTAAAGTGAATTTACAAGATTCCACCACCAAAGGCTTATGGATTTGGTGATCCGCCCACTCAAACATTCTTGTAATTTACGAAAGAGAATCTCAACATCGTATTCGGTGCATCAACCAACACCACAATTTTTACCTTTTCTTCAAACTTACTTAGTAAGAAAATGCATAATGATATCTCTCATCGGTTTCTTCCCTCCCTAAAACTCAACATTTATAAAGGATATGAATTTTAGGAATGAATAACACAAGGTATTCTCTAATAACGTATTTAATACCAAGTTTCAAATCAGTGCTTTATTGTTAAAAATTTAGTCCTTTTGAGCTAAAGATTAGTCAACCCACGGTACCAAAGGAACTTACCAAAGAATGATATTGATCAAAAAACGAAACAACAATCTCACCGTCGTGACTTATGGTCTTGGAATTTTTTAAATTACAAAGCAACTCGAAAGTTTGTGAACGTTTATGATGAGAAAGATATGCTGGGTACAACAATTATTATGTGATGTTCAATGGTGGAGAGGATGCTGGGGGAAAACTTAATTCTCATATTTCTTTTGATTTTAAATACTTATTACTGACTTATCTCAATAATAGTCAAACAATCATTTACAATAGAAATGTTGTATGATGATCAACAACGTGCAGTTTATTTCTTCCTCATCGTCTACCCAGTTCCCTCCATTTCAAATAATCAAACAAATTACTTTGGCGAGCGACCTTCGTTTTTTATACCTGAACTTGAACTCATCTTCAGATGCAACTGCCACCGGCAGGTGTGTGTTCGTCCAAACACTTTTTTTATTTGATATTTCTTGGTTTAATTTCATTATATACATCACCTGTCTGTCTCCGGAGATATGGTATATTCATGGTATTTTGGTCATGAGGATTCGAATACAAATACATAAAACCACACATATTTATATTGAGACCTTTTTCTATATAACGCATGCATACAATTGGTATACCATATCATTGCATTGCATTGCATTGCATTGCTGAGAGTGCGTAAGTACGTATAACACTTGATTTTATATTAAATTACCTTGATTTTGTACCCCCGACTAGACTTGAGAATTAGATAATGAGCAATTCCGCATGGCTGGTATTCCTTGGGCACCCTTAGCGATAGGGCGAAACATCCGGGTTTAGTGGTCGATTCTCGGACAATGAAACACCCAATTGGCTCATTTCTCAGTATTTCCAAAGCAATTTCTCTGTAAAACGTATTATACAGTATTAAAACGCAAATATCCATACTTTCAGTAGTGACTAAGTAGTACAAGAACGGTACGCTACTGGTCAATCATACTGGACATACTGGTCAATCACATTATAATGATCTAGTAATTATTAACTCCATGTCAAAAGGTTGAATTATAAGGATTGGATATTCATACATAACTTGCATGAGATGTTCAAGATTTGATCGTAAATGTGAATAAACGTTCTCGTTATGTGCATGCGATCAAAATACTTGACAATAAATGGTTAAATAAATCTCAAGAGAGTTTCATGAATCGAATGAAAAGCAGGTGAATCGAGTTATAGCCAGAATATATATGTGGTCGGTCATACATATTTATTCATTCTTTATACTGTGATTTGATTTAAGATTCGAAATGCCACTCAATACAATGACAGACACTCAATAATCATCATTGAAATTGTATTTTAATGAAGTGCAGCAGCAATTCAACGCAACTGCTGAACCAACCTACACGCTATGAACTCGAGATTCGTTGTTTTGTGGCTTCAGATTTGATCTGTTGTGGTCGGGCTTTGTCTGACATTTTAAAACTAACCAGCACAGAGCACGAGATTGAAATAAATACACGCATGCATTATGAGTATGTACATGTTTTGACGTATAAGCTCATGCTGCAAAAAGAACTAAATATCCGTCCGACAGAATGAAATATATCCATAAAACAAGCGACATACATGCATGGGTTTATTTATTGGAGGAGGTAGCACAACATTACAACAATGAGAAATTCCTTACCTTGGGATTCCAGCTTGAAACCAAAGTGCATGCCGTAGTTCGCCTTCCTTCTCAAAAATCGTGATGGCAAGTTTCGATGAAGGTGGATATGAGTCAAAGTTGAGGGATTTTAGTCTTAACAAATTCGACTTGCTGGTGTCCAAATTGTTCTCCGGTTTGCTACTCTCCACCGCATTTTTATGATTACAAATTTCCACATTTTTGCTTCCATTGTTTCTCAATCCGCGTTTGTTATGACTTGATTTGTTCCTGTTTTCAAGGAGGAGGCTTCTCTCATCCGTTGAGTCTAGGAGTGAGGAGACTCCAGAGTTTGTAGAGTTATTGTAATCGAGTGGTGTTAGTAATGGACCGTCCTTTTCAGTAGTCACAGAACGAGACGCATTGCTGTTGTTCACCTTCTTTACAGACCCTGGATTACTCATGAAGTCACTTTTGTTGCTGCTGTCGTGTTCAAGCTTCTGACTAATGACGAATGGCGAGAAGGAATTTAAATTATGACTTGAAGACGAACTCTCCTCGGTTGCACGATTCCTGTCGGGACAAAGGAAGAGGTTGGCATTGTGTTAAAATAAAAATATAAAGTATAGCACGAATTGTTTCCCAAAGGAAGAAGAATGAGAATAGTTTCATTTCAGGACTGACTTGGACGGAGCGGACGATTCATACAAGAAATTATATTTGTAATCTATGTATAGCCAGGCCTGCGCCCATATGCATAGTCAGACATGGACCATGGTAAAGCATTTTTAAAAAAGTTCAAATTTTACCAAGGGACTACACTGCTGTTGTTGGCAGGTGATGAGTCGCTGACAGTAGGGGATGACAAAGAGCTGCCACTTATACTCGTGTTGGCACTTCCAGTCCCACTGTCGTAAAACAAGTCCTCCAGATGATGAGGTGGTCGCATGTCCAGGATTTTATCTATTTTTTTGTGAATTTCATCTGCTACGGACTCACTTTTATCAACATTATTACAGTCGTTGTCACTCGTCACTTTGGTCTTGTCGATTTCTTCACATGAGTAGGCATGATAGCTTTCAACATTTATCTGGATAATTTTATCCGGATTGGCGACACTGCCGTGACTATGAATTTGAGAGACGCTGGGATGACTCTGCACGATCCTAGCACTTTGGATGCGAGTGTCATATTGATATCTTCCGATTTCTCCGAGTTGTTTCACCATTTTGTTTATAAATTTCACATCATTTGAATCACTGCCACAATAACTAGCATTCCAACTTGGAGGGGTGACTCCTGTGGTGTTCACTAGTTTTGTTGACATATTAACGACAACATCCGGAGAAGTTCTCTTATTTTCATCCTTGTCGTTCAAATTTCGACCCCCATAAACACCACCACCACAGGACTCGAAATTCTCGAGTTTTCCGTTTTCACAAGACTTGCTACAGTACTCTCCACTACTTCCTCCGACCCCTGGTTGGAATGGAATTGCTTTCTCCATTTTCATTTGGAGCCGGGTGATGTTGTTCGCCAAAGTTTTGCTCATCCTTTGAAGCCTATTGTTTGCAGCGGTTGCAGACCATGTCAAAAATTGTTTGGGGTTTCTACCCAGTCTCACCCCAGTCCCGTCACCAATCTTCTTTACTTCCTCTTTCTACAAGCAAACAAAAACAAGGGTTAAAATGGCTGATTGATGGCAAGGAATGTGATAATTATTCAACTTTATTTCGCAAGAGTCTACAAGATAACTCAGACAATGACTGAGGGAGCACACGATGTTACATGCATCTATAGATATATACATATAGATGTACGTAAGTGCATGCAAATGAAGTTTCTCCCACGAAGCAAGACAACTTCCTTGCAGGTATTTACACCAACAAAGGATGTGAACATTTTTCTTGCCCCTCTAACTAAAAATTATTGCTATACCACTTTTATTACTCGAATTTAAACGACGTTTTGTGTTAACCGAATCTACAGGTCATTGCAACTTTTGCTTTTAATGGATTTTGTATGTATTAAATAATGTTTAATCATGCTTGAATCTGTGATTTAACAGCAACTTAGCGAAACCAGAATATGAAATGTAATTCGCTGTTATTTTTATGTAAATTTGTCACATTATTAAATTATTTTAATCAATTGATCGTGATAAACATGGCACGTATGTATGTACATGTAATACATGTTACATATACAGAAATATATAAGGGAAAAACAAATTAGTTTAGTTATCAGTTATCAGAATGAGGTAATTTACAAATTAACCGTTTGTACGGTAGCTTAATTCTGAATTTCTTTATTAGCATTTCTCCTCGTTTCTCATTGTGCAAATATATTTGTACTTGTGGAAGTCAAACATTGGCCGCTGAAGAATTTCTTAATTTACCTTTGCAGCTTCGCACATTTTGGCAGGTAGCAGAAGAGGATTGCAGACTGTCAATATTCACTTTTACGAGTTCGTAACTGAAAATGTGGTAGCAAAAGTCAACTCTGTACAGAAATAATTTTAGCCACCTGTCACCTTCGCACACATCACCGTCAGACAGATCACACAATTTCTGCACTACTGTCAAACCAACCAAGTTTTCTTAGTAAACGAAACCACTGGAATGTTGGCGTTGACACGTTGCAGACACGACACTCTTCTCCCAGCAACCTATGTTGTGTCATCAATTATTTCCAAACTAATGCACAACGAATTTTGTTTAAAACCCACCTTGTCCGACCATAGAACGTCTAAAAACTTTAGACAACTGTCAAACTCAGCAGTGACAACTAATCCAACCGACTAAAACCAAACCGACCAAATAACTGTGGTAAATAATAACTGAACCAAGTGAATAACTGTGAGGACAAGAGAAACTCGACAAGACACTTCTTCTATGCAACAACAATATCAGATATAAAACGTGAAACGCTGCAACATTTGGTCATCGCAATATTATTAAGATAGCCATGAACTTGAAAGTGGTTTGGAAGAAGAAGTTGATATGTAAGAACATCCCATCGCAATTAAAACATGAGATAGAGAGAGTAGAACCAGAAGCCAGGTAAAATCGCTAAAAGTGTAGCAGCAGCGGACCTAACCCATACGTATGTACATACATACGTACATATATATGTACGATTTGCATCACTCGTAGATAGTTCGCAAGTGGTTATTGTTACCACCGACCGGCAAAAGGTTTCATAACTTGGACTTTAAAGTCATATTTCTGTAGCATGCTATAGGAATATGAGAAGGAAAAACAACTGTCAATCACGAAGGGCGACGTAAATGCAATGCAATAAATCCCTTGCATTTTACAATTTGTAGCAGAGCTCTTCCTATTTAATATCAAATAGGTGCACATGTAAAAAACTCGTAATAAATAAATAAGTGAAGAGCATCACACTAATCCTAAGTACTGAAGAAAAGGCAACAATCCGGTTGAGCTTTTTTAGCAGTCCATTGTTTTCTGTTTTTTGCCTTGCCAGCTATACAGCTACACAGCTATGCAACAGTTTTCTATACTGCTCGTGGCATTCTGACCGTTCTTCAAACTGATCGTTAGCAATAAAATAAAATAACGTTAAGTTCAGTGGACGAACCCATTATGCTACGCGTACATAGATATTGGAGCTATGTAAAAGATGCAGTGTGAAAGCCTTGGCTTTTACTCTGTTGTAGAATACCTAATGCAAATTTTGTTTCCTCTTCTATATCACACGTATCTTCTATCCGAGCATGTGGCCGTAGAATGCTTGACTAGTTTGATGACCGTATCATTATTTCAAGAAAGAAAGATAAATGGCTCAGCAAGTTCAATTCAGGACAAGTTTTTCTATTTTTTCTATCCACGTTCACTTGCTGGATGTGTATATGAAAGGTATAGTATGTCAGCAGACACTCCAATGTTAAATAAAAATGCTCGTGTGGCGAAACCTTACAAGATAGAAAGATAAGGTAAAAGAACTTTATGACCGTCTCCCAAATCTAGGTATAGGCCACGCATACCGTTTTTCGAAATTTTGAAACGTTTTTGAAATATGCACCAAAACGTTTTGTTTTACAAAATAACACTAAATACGTAAATGATTTAGGCCAAAGATTAAAAAAAACCAGCGACAGGGTTATATCCACAGGACGAATAGCTACAAATTTTAGTCGGAAATTTTTTTCATATCATGCCTCCTTTTGGCGCGAAAATTCAAAATGTCGATTTTCGGGTCGTGTCATTCTGACAAGGGTAGCATGAACAAGATTGACTTTTTGAAGATATTGCAACTAGATAATTATTCCTCAGAGCTATGTGGTATTTCCTCTCATAAACCATTTTTCGAAATGCAGCTTGTGTCTGGCGCTAAGTTCAAAGCTTTGAAAATTTTCGCAATTTCGGCTGCAAATTTCTTACCAATACTACAGCCAAGATGTTACATTCTAGCGACCGAAGCAAAGTGGGACCGTCTTTGGAATGGCCCACCTTAGATTTCTCCTATTTACAACTTATTCGAAATCGACCTGGTTTTTGAGCTATGGCGGGATATCCAAAATTCGACTTTTAATGGGCATAATCGTGGGATATAACGTACTTAGTGTTAAAAAATAGTTCTTTTCCGCGGTTTTACCGCATAACTTGTACTAGTGGTTGTCAGATCGATACTCACTCACCACGAACGGATAGATTGATACGGACTAAAAGACCTAGCAAAAATTAAAAGTTGTACTGACACGGGCCGAGAACATAATTCATTCTTCCTCCAGGGGAATGCGTCGCTTGTGAAACTTGTTTCGTTACAAAAACCAGCCCATCTTTCCACTTTTGTATCTAATTTTGTAATTTTTCAAGTTTCAGAGGAACAATCAGAAAATGACACTTGGTTCATTGCTTATAAAAATGAGTGCAAATGTATTAATGAGACCAAATATATGGTCATATGTAAATGTGATTTCTTGCGTCATACCGATGTGAGAAAATATTTGTACTTTATTGTTTTTGACAACTGAAGTCCTGCAGGATTACAATTAGACAAACTAATAAATCTAGTTAAACCTGTTTAAAATTTTGTAATGATTTTTGCACGAGTGGACATTATTACGAGTGTGGTATAAAATTTTACCATGGCTTATTTTTATCAGACACTTAGCCAAAGTGTCTGCTCAGCTAAACATAAACTCACATCTCGCGAGATTGTGTGGTATGATTGGTGACTTTGCATCAAGCAATTTAAAACGAGCGTCTGGTTTGGAGTAGAATCGTCCGTGAGCGCTTCGTGGCATGCTCATATGACACTGATGAAGATGATCCCATGATGATAAGATACATAACATGTAAGTAACGGTTAACAAGCAATTTGCGTCGTGACCATTGTAATTTTGTGTGGAATTTTTACTTTACTGTTGTCGGTAGGTGCACCACCATTTATTCATTTACAAGTTTCTTTCGTACATGATAAGTCATTTTACAGATTCTTTTCTTGGTTATTTTGAAAATCTATGAAAGTTCCTGAGAAAGTTCCTTATCAAAATCCAGACCAAAAAATACAATTTTTACACTACAAACGGATAAGTAAGATAGCTGATAACTATCTGTTACGCAACTTTTGAAGCTAAACTTGTACAGTTAATAAAAGTACGCCGTTCTTTCTTTTTTGTCTAGCCACACTTACTGAAAACAGCGTATTAAAAAAATATTTACAAGTTTCAGTATTTCTGGACTATCTAAAGGTTTTGCCTAAACTTTTATTTTCTGACCATAAAACATATCTACTGTGTAGATAACTATATGAATCTAAACTACGAAAAGTATTTTATCTCATCCACGTAAATAATAGATCTGTTATGTAAATTGAAGAAAGACGACATCTAACATGTAATAATATTTGAGGCAATTCGAGCAAGAAAACAACTAACCTTTTTAATTGTATCACAAAGTGACATGTTGAAAGTAATTCAATTTGGCACAAGTATAAAACCAGAAGCACAATAATATGCCAACATCATGAATTTTCTTTAAAATGATTTTTAATAACCCCAATTGTTTTTTAATGACGTTCTATGCAGATCATGATTGGAGTATTAGAGAAGCACATTCCTGTTTTAAGTGACGTCAAATGTAAAATAGCAAGCAGTGATAACCAGCTTCGTATACAATTTACTCATGCACAGGTCAGACCAGCTTTGAAATTGGATGAATGGCGAAGTGATACTTTCCTCTTCGGTTGCAGTTTACTTTTCTGAAATATCTGACATAATTGCTAGAAAAATAAGTTAAAACTATCTCACAACCGTTATTCATCTGCGTGTTAACTAATTTTCAACTTGATGCCAAATTTTTAATGAATTTGCAGGAAATAATAAGAATTGTTTATATGAAAGCATGCAACCATATACTACTTACTTGTGCGAGGTTAATATATGCACAAAGTAGGCCAGTAGGAATTTGGTGAAAAGTCAAAAGCCATCAGAAATTTAAAGTCTTCTTTCTTACAGAGTACAAATCAAGGAATGAGGCAGGTGTTCATTCACATGGAAGAATTTCTAACATATAACAATTCAAGGGGTGGTTGTATATTCCTTCGCTCAGCATTTCTACCTGGTTACGGTTCCAACCGAATCAAACCAAGATTACAATAAGACCTTTTGTATTGCTCGAAATTTGAAAAGTGAACTTTCGAAATAACAACGACTCACACTCGACAATCGTCATGAGCCTTATTTTCTTCTATACCCGTGTCAAACTCAAAATGACAATTCAAAGAATGACGAAGGATTGTGTGTATCCTGAACACAAAATGTCATTCCAGGGCGATTTTTTTTTTACTTGTTGTCGTCTTTCATTCGTATGTCCTCGATCCATGTCCATGACACGGTGCTTCTTTTAATCCGCTTATAACATGTACATACATACGTAGCAGCGTTGGTTTTGTGGTTATATTTACTGAGAGTCTAAAAATCCGAAACATTTTCTACGATTTATAAAGAAGCGAAACATTTGAAAGGAGTTCTTATAGAAAAGATCAACTGGAGGGAAATGAGAGAGTTCATTGGTTGTATTGTTGTGCAATGTGTATTATCATGAAAAGGAATGGGACATAATACAAATGGTTCGAGTACCCCACTCATTATTTATGCTATTTCAAACTTTGAAAGTGTGTGGGGGTAGTGAAAATCTCGTTTGTTAAGGGAATAATAATGTGCATACATGGTTGGTCTCAAAATTCAAGAAATTATGTGGAAGAAATGATACAACATCTCAGATTTCCAAACTTCAAAAAGATTGGAATACTAATGGAACGTGCGGCCCACAAGTTTGGTGGAATAGTTTTAAAACCTGAAGGTGTACATAAGTGGTGAAGGCACTTATTTACTTTGTTTATCGCGTCCAACTTTAATTTCACCATATCTTCCATTTCTTCCCAGATTAGCCTCTAAAAATTCCTTTGGTACGAAAGGTGGTGGGTAGGTTGGCAGGTTGTGTGCAAGTGTAAAGCTAGTTGATCAGGGAATCATTGACATATAAGATTGTTGTTACTTAAGCACCACTGCTACGTACAAATGTACATACTGGCTGCTCCATAATAATCGGTTGGAGAGGAACATTTCGACAAATAAATCTCCTACGGTCTAGGACAATTAGCGAGTTTACCAGGAGTTGGATTCACTTTTTAACATTGGCGTGGAGTGGGCTTGACCTGCTCCTGATAAGGGCGAGCTTGAAATATGGGCGAGATTACGTTATGGGGTAGAAAATTAAGGGAAAAGTGGGAAAAGTAATATAACCTCTGCATCTCTGAGGTAGTTAGTAGCTCCATAAATTAAGCCAGGTATGAAATCAGTTGACTTTAATGAGAGAAGTGGTTGCCCACAATACGTCTCTTGGGGTTTCCTGGAAAAATAGGAAAGGGGGAGATTCATGCGTCCAGGGGAAATCTTCTACTCAAATTGAAGAGCAAACAACTAACTCGAGGTTTTACTAGGCTCAAGGAAATAAAATATTGACTTTGACAGTGAAATCCTGCTTATTAGAGAGAATCATGTATTCACCATGTAATCCTCATAGGACAAGATTTTATCCTCAACTCCTTCGTGTTCGTTCGTAACACACCTATTTCAAATTAGCTGGGATGCTGGGATGAATTAGTGGAATGCCGGACGTACAGATGTATGTGCATTACCGACGAGCTTTAACGGTCAAAGGTCCAAACCTTATGCATAAATTTTGACATACGGCATACAGAGTATTAGCGTCGTCTAACATAACAAAGTAGACTAAAACTTTGCATGTCCACTACTTTTGAAAAATATGAATTACCAGGATAAATACTTGAGTGACATTTGGAACGAAATTGATTAAGGGAAGTCCTACTACGAGCAAAAGGATGGCTATGCACACACCACATAGGCAGACGATGGAATATGTATTCCATCCGATCTCTCGGAAAGAATGCGGATAGACCATGATGAGAAATCACTCAAGTATCTCATCTCATCGCATCACCGATCCCACAAAAAGAGTTAAGTCAGCCTCATCTCATAATAATATTAGAGGGGATACGCTACAGCTAAATAAGTAGAAAATGGTTATAGCAGCAGAAGGGGAATGTGCATATACTATTACTTGTACATATTTTAGTTACACACATGCATCGACGAAAAATGAAAAGTTTCGTAGCACTATCACTCGACTGAATCACATCTACGGGAATTTTCTTGGTCACAAATTCTCCTCTGTAGGTGCAGGTCTCTCGAAGAGAATTCGTGTGATTATAAGGTGAGGAATTGTGAAATGTATAAAGTTCAAGAACACACAGGTGGATTTCACAAAAAGAGAGAGACAAGTCTGCGGGATGGAAACATGAGCATCCCGACTAGGATTACATACATTTTTACAATTTATGAACTCAACCATAACAAGACATACCCAAAAACCATAAACCAAACTCGGAAAGGGCTGTTGTTGTGGTGAGATGTCGACTAGAAATATGTTGATCTCTGGTATCTCTTACAAAAAATGGATGAAACGGAAATTATGGGTGCCACTCACACACAATGAGAGCCAGTCAGATTTACTCGAGACGCGTCTCATCTCATCATCATGGTTAGTTCCAACCAAATGACTTGAGATTTGATATGAGCCGTAAAGTAAGTTGGACTTTTGAGATTTTGGACAAGATTATTCACCAGTCATCCGCATTATCTTGGTTTTATCGCTCTATTCAGGAATTTCAACTCTTTTTATCTCTTAATCCTAAATGCATTCTTCAAAATTTGTTTCAACAATATGCGGTCGCTATTGTTTAACTATTTGTCTACAAAATGAAATCTCTTTTGAAAAATTTTAATAGTTCCGAGTGCTATTTTAAAGTTTGGGTCAAAACTGATTGGCATCTTAACTGTGTATGTAACAGTTTCTTAGTGAAATACTTTCTTATATAGCGGAAATATTCGGACTCTTACTGCATATCGATATCGTTCAAATTTGGTATACAAGACAATGAAAGTTATAATTAGAGATTCTTAAGTGCAGAAAACAATATAAAGTTTTTAAAGGGAATGAGCACTAATAATTTACCTGGAAGAAATCATGTGCATATATTTTATTAAGCGGTCTTAAAAACGCAGTCCATAAAAGTTGAATGAATGGTCTGCATTGCGTACTGTTATTAATTTATATGTGAAAGGAATACTGCGACGCACGTACATATTGGGTTTTAATATAAATCTACACATGACTAAATATGGGAAACAATAAGTGCCCAATAATTCTCTTTCATAGTCTATTTCAACCTCTGAGATGAGTTCACATTCTCAGGTTCTCAACTCAACCCAATACCTGAAGAGACCGTAGAGCGACGATGACGACGACGTAAATTAATGTCCACCCTCCTCCACCGTCTCCGCACTACACCCACCCACCTACTCAGAATGAACGGGAAATGATAATAAAGTGGCAATAAATCCGGTAGCAATTTATTTTCACTGCCGATATTTCCCTGTTTACCCAAGGGAAATTAGAATACAAAACAGACTTTCATTTCTCAATTACACTGCTTTACAGTCTATTTTAATACCGCTTAACAGCCTACGGATTTATACATCGTAGCATTCCGGATTTAAAATATTTAGTGCCCTTTCTTACCTTGCTTGAATGGCCACAGTTCCGACAAAGGACGAAGATCGAGTCATCCAATTTGTGGTATCTTGTGGTCACATTTACAGACTTTCCACTTCCACAGCCACCACTGTGACCATGCTCGAAATGAAAATCAATCAAACCACTCAATCCACTCCAACGCCCCATGATGATGGCTATTTTATATAAATATGCGTAACTGGCTGCTTTTCGAGGCTTCTTCACTTAATTATTTTACGATATGAAATAAACTGGCAATTAGTTCACACGTGCCGTAATATTATTTTCTCCCAATCCGGTCATATCGAACCGTCTTTCGGGACTATTTTAGGAAAGGAATGTGAGTAGAATTCTTTTAGTGTTCAAACAAACTTCCTTTAACAATTGTTGTAACTTGAACATCATACCGGTCGTAACTTTATAAGTTTCATCCACAACATGAAAATAATACAAAGTAACAATGCTGATGATCATATATTTGACACTTATGTCGTGAGATAATATTTTATGACATTTTTTGCACAGCTTATTGTTTCACAATGACACCGTTCACACGTTTTTTGAAGTGTCAAACAAACCAAGTGCTAATTAAGTTGGATTCATGTATAACTTTCTTAACACCTCCCGTCACAAATTTAACATGTTTGAACAACTCCTTTTATGCACAATGTTGCAATTTGTAATCAATCAAGAGAATTCCACAGCATACACCAACGTGATTATCCAAACGCGTGGTTTATGTAAACCTATGTACGTGTATTACACATACATGGGAGCAAATTCCACAAAATGATGAACCCACTTTCTAGAGACAGTATTATTACGGGAGTTAGAATTGGGTATTTATTTCAACAATAATGAGCGTCACTTAAATATTTGTAAGTAAGTACCAGCCACATTATGATGGGGATGGACGCGTAAAATAACGAGGGATACAATACAGCAACAGGTAGGCTCTTCTCGGACCGAGTTTCAAACTTTGACTGGAAGGAAGTTTCAACCCCAATGACGAGCGGTAAGCTCAGGTATGAACATACTACGAAATACCTGAGTTCTCAAAGAAGAAAGGTGCAAGGCAAAAAAGGCAAATCAAGGCAGGTAAGCAGAGGAATGGTAAAAACATTGGTGTTGTGGGGTATGTACGTAAGTTGTACATAGTTGGTAGGCAAAAACCAAGTCAGTTCTCTTACATTACGCCGGACTTGTCTCAAATAAATGAAAGGATTGGGCATCTAGCAAGTCGTGACGACGAAAAGCCAGAATGTGTGCGTCTCGTCTTTAATAAAGTAAGAAAGGAATTCTTTAAGTTGTTTGTTGAATAGCTTTGCCACCACTCCATCCATCCCACTTCACAAACGCATACGGGAGGGACGCCGTGATCTTGTACGAGCTGAAGAAAAGTATGCATAATGTAGAAGATGGGTTTTCAGCCGATGAAAGTACCTGTGTAAAGTAAATGTGGTTGTGGTGTGATGTTATATTAAATTGGATGAGATAGACTCGACGAAGAATTTTCTGCTGCAGGGAAATAAATAAAACACCTTTATTACGTTACTTTTCGAGTAAACTGCATGCAGCTTGTTAGATAACTGGTAAAGTCACCAACATTTGATCATAACAACCTGAATTTCAAATATGTAGATTCAATTAATTTAAAAGTTATATGTAATACAGTCACCTCTATTAATATTAATATACAGCATTTGTTGAAAATACTTACCGATTTTATAAAATGACGAATTCAAAATGTGTTGGTATTCTTGGGAGATAAATAAGCGTACATCGGATAAAAGAGAAATTTATTTCGTAATAGAATTGGATACATGATGCATTATTACAAATAAAGTTTCTGAATGATGTCAAAGGCATACTGGCAACTTGCAAAGTTACAGCTAAAGGCCAGTTTTGATCGTTATAAAACTGTATCTAAAAATGAACGAGCAATTGAACATCTGTCACTGGAACAGGTATTATAGAATAAAGATAAGCGATTTGTGTAGTAATGATACAACAGGATAGTGAAGTTGTGTCTGCATTCCTGTTCGTCACTCACTGGAACTGTTGATTAAGAATATTATCTCCAAGACAGAATCTCTATTACTGCAGGGTTGACTAATTTACTCGAGATTGCTACCAGCAGTTACGACAATCATCTAAATTTTTCAACAATCAACTTCCAGTTGGAGATGACCACTACTCTGCTTTGAATTTTAAGTGCTCAATATGTCTGGTAATAATGAGCAAATGTTAGCGGTTACAAATTCCGAAGCCAGTAGCTAATAAAATTTAGGATGGGCCATTTGCATTAACAAATCTAACATTTTGCGCTGAATGTTATATAAAATACACAATATATAATTATGCCGTTGAAGTATTATGCAAAACATACTCTCGCGTAACTTATCCTATGTATGATGATCCCATGAACCCTATTCTATTACTATTGGCTAAAATATTTATAAATACACAGTAAACTATGGTCATCATGTTTTCTTTAGTCGTTTACTCTTTTGATACTCGCCTTCTTGATTTGCTAAACTTCCAAGAATTTCTTTCACTTTCCTCTTCCTGTCAGCATCCCTATTTTTAAATTCAAAACGATATTGTTAACTGGTTCATAAATGAATGAGTGGAATGTCATAAATACGTATTTTCTGTACGTACTTTTCTAATTGTTCTCGCAATTGTTGCGTAGCTAAAAATGCAGTGTCCTTTCGTATTTCCCGAACAGCATTTTTCATCTCTTGCTTTACTTTGTGTGACAATCGTGCAGTTTCTTGCTTTCCCTTTGGAGCCTTTTTCTTGCGAATTCCATCAAAGCTGTACAAACATGGCGCATTAGAGTAAAATACATAAATGGAATGGAAGTGAAAAATTTATTTCAATATCAGTGAAGGACTTACTCTTCCTCTATCAATGGTTCGTAAAGTTTTAATGGCTTCGGTCTATTGGAAACTTGCACTGTCAATATTTCTTTCTTGAGTTTCATACATGAAATGACATCAACGGTTTCACTCAATTTATCGACAATAATTTGTGGATAATGACAGCTCATTTTCAGTTGTAAGTCCACAAGAGCCTTCTTGGTGTGATGAAATATTTCAATTGCTGACGGAAGACGTTCATATACACCTACAAACTTTTTGATGTACATCAGTGTAACATAGAGTACCCCCAGCTTGTCAGGTAGATCAGGGGTTTCCCCGTCCTCGTTATCCGATACTAACTTCCAAATCTCCTCATTAACAAGGGAGTTTTTACTGAAAACGTTGATCAATTAATTTACATCGAATATATGATAACAATTAATTAATATAATGAAGTAATACCTGCATTGTTCTGGAAGAATATAGAGGTATGACTTTGCATGTCGTATCGTGGGAATCGCAAATCCAGCCCAGCGTGTTTCATTTCCAGAAAAGCATTGCAAGATAGAATTTAGTAAAACGACAACTTCGGGTGTATATCTTTTCGCTTCTTCGCCAAGCTATCATGAATAAAATTTGAAATATATGCTAAATTAAGTTATGTATAAAACAGATAATCATCCTAGCTTACCTTATACACAATATTAATTACAAACAGTAGCTTTGCTAATATTTTTATATTGGATGCTTTGGTTTGACTTAAAATTTCAAGAAGCCTTGCTTTCATTGACGAGAGGACTTTGTGATGAAAGTCTGTCACAGAGAATATTTGTGAGCAAATACTATAGTATAAAATCTAGGAGAAATTTTAGGATATCAATTAGACATTCACATCAATTGTGCTAAAGGAAGTGGTGATAAATTGAAAAGACTCACTTTATGTACAGGCAATCCTATTAGGGGGTAAAAATCGTCAAATATTTCTCCATCTTCGACTGCATTAATACATTCGTTTGGACATAAGACAATCAATGAGTGCAAGTGTGGAAGGGCAATGTTCAGAACTCTCAATAAGGGCATTGATAATTTTTTAGTTCTCTCAGCCATATCCAGCACATATCGCATAATAAAATTGAATAATTTTGGTAATCTTGATTTGTCGCCAGCCTTGTTATATTTTACCATCCTTGTTAAAATTAGATTAAAAGCTTCTGAAGAAGACGAGGTATGAAACTTGAAATGGGCTCTATGCTTTTTAAGTATTGCTTCAAATTCCTTGTATTTTACAGGAATCCCAATAACGAAGGGGATATCTTGAAACTTTTCTTCTGGACTTTTGACGTTTGTTGTTTCTTCCAATTCTTCTAATGGAAAGTCTTCATTTAATTTTGAGCATCCTTTTGTCTTTTTCTCACAAGAGTCGTCGTCTTCTTCCACGTCTGATCCAATGTCACTATAGCCGTCACTAGTATCACTATTATCTTCATCTTCATCATCCTCGTTATCACTATTTTCATCATTATCAGAATCTTCATTTTCTTCAGCGTCTCCTGATTGACTAATCTTGCGAGTAGGTTCAATAAAATACCTAAATCCATTAGTTCCAATTAATTGGTAATGCAGTTTAGACAGAATAATGCATGAAGCATATGAATTAAAGTCCTAATTAAAATACCCATCATCAAGGTCATCAGCACTTCGATGTGGACGGGAACCATCAGTAGTGTCACTCATCTCCATCCGCTTTAATCTATCTCTTTCCAATTGCTCCAACTTTTCCTTTTCTTCCTGTTCTAATTCATTCTCGGTTTTCAGCCTATCGGTTGCTTTTCCAGTTTTTGTTTCAAACTGGAGCTCCTTCACAAGTTTGTCATACTCTTCTTTTTCTGTGGTTCCACTGTTGCCTTCTGCCGGTTGCTTATTGTCTTTTTTACCTCCTCCCATCAGAAGAAGATTTCTGATGTCTGGATTTTTGAATTCATCGTCCAGTTTGCAAACCAGCTCATAACTAGCATCTGCTTCTTTCGCTTTTTCAAACCTTTTCTTTTTCGATTCTATAATTAGTTCTTGAATTATCTGCTTGTGAGTTTTCGGTTTCCCTTCATCGTCTAATTCAAAGTCATCAGGTTCTTGGTTTGCTTGCTTCTTAACTTTCATGAATCCACCAAAATTTGCATCGCTAACAAAGTCCGCTGCAAATAATTAGTTATTATACAGATAAATGTACAATGCAGGTATAATTAAACTCACAATTAGTGTGATTCTAATTTATAATTTATAATTCATAACCAGATTCAAAACAATAAATACTAATACCCACCATCAAGCCTTTCTTCCTCAGAATCCGAACCGTCTCTGGGATCTTCATATCGGTCAATTTCCAAGAGCGGTTGGCCTCTGTGAGTAAAAAAGTCGTCTGTTTCTTGAAGATTAAATATTGATTTCTAAAACATAACAAGTAAATTTAAAATTCAACCACTCCTGATCAAAGATTTAAAATTTTATTCCAAATTAACTATAAGAACATGCACCTTTTTAAACTGACGAGCCTTTTCAGCAGCACTGCGACGATTTATTTTCTCCTCTTCAGGCATTCCCTTCCTTCTTTCTCCAATTCGGTTATCCAGCAGCACATTGGTTTTATTTCGCACTTTATACTCCTGGAGGAGCGTTGATTTTCTCTGTACTTGCACAAAATCCAGTTAGATTTATTGTTAGAATTAGGTAATAATGGGTTATTATTATGGTCATTAGTGAGGTGGTTGGTGTACCTTTTCGACTGCTCTGCCCCTCGAGACGCCGGGGACACCTTGTTCGTTCCTCCCCCTTCGTCCCAAGTTGTCGTGCTTCCTCTTGTTCACTCTGAGCTCGAATGGGTTGTCGAGGGGGGCGGGCGTGGTGGTCACAACCTTCGATTGGAAAGCTGACTTTGTGGACTTTCCTTTGCTCTTCTGCTTCTTCTTCAGATTGCCTCGCTTAGAGTTCTTGTTCTTGGCCATTTTGTGTGTGACACAGCTATAATTCTAGCTACAAAAGAAGTAGTAATGTGCTACCTGAGGTCGTGAAAACCAATTTCAATTTGATGTGTCCATCATAATAAGTCCAAGTTGTTTTCAGAGAGCACGTGTTTAGAAACAGAGGATGTGAATTCGAGGGTTTGGGTTTCCCAGAGTTGAGTTGGGTTTGGGGCATTGAGGTCTCGATGAGATTGAATTCAGTCTCAACAAAATAAATTTTGAGAATTTGTATGAGAATTTGTATTATCTTCCAAATTGCATAATTTTTACCGTCCATACTAAATTTAGGAAAACTGCATCCGCGTACTATTTTTTCATTCAATAGCAATTTGAGCCCCTGCGTATATGTAAATCTGGATTTATTGATGTAATGTGAAGCTACGTATGCGCATTACATAATTAAAGTTTAATTAAACGCTATATGAAAATTAACAATTTTTATAAGTTAATAATAATAAACGTTAAGAAACGTGAAGGATACTTGATATGATTATTGTTGTTTAAAGTTTAAACCCTAATTTGATCATTAAACGTGTCTGATTCGCACATATTTACGAGTGTGTATATTATTGGTATGGTGGTACAATATAATAATGACCACGTTCAATGAACATCATTCGCAAACGAATTTAGTGTTTCGTATTCGCAAAACAGCATCATCAGACACTCTCTCGCATCGTCATAATTGGCATGAGTTGTACACAAGTAGTGCAATATAACGTTTTCCATTTACGACTGTACACAGTAAAAACGTTTGTTGTTTGCACACCTCACATGCAACATGCAACAACTATTTGTCAGTACGTTATGAGATGTATATAAATGCTACATATTCATCCTGTTAAGGCATACGCAACCAAACATTGGTCCAAGCAACAACAACTTTTGTAGTTTTTAAATTTCTAACTACTTGACCACATAGAATAAAAAAGAACTGATTCTTCTAGTCTCAATGGGAAGACCACAAAAAAACTGCGGAGCTGAAGACTCCGTTGCAAATCCAATTTCTGATCTCGAATTCAGTAGTACAAAAAATCATAGGCATCCTAAGTCCTTGAAAAGCAGTTCGTACCGAGAAAAAGAGATCAAAGTAGTGAGATCCGTGGCAAAGGAATTGTCCGGAAAATCGTTCCAGGCAGAACTCAGCAAATTTCAACCCCAGAATGGATTACTCGAGAGACGCGTAATTTGCCAGGCGGACCAAGTGAAGGTCAAATTCTCAAGCCCCTTGAACGGAATCTCGTCCCCATTCTACGTGAAAAAGTGGAAATGTGAGGGTATGACTTCTGAGGAGGATGACACCCTATCAAATTCCACATCCGTGGTAGCTGTCAAACTCAACTGGAGAAAGGGAGTGAAAGTGCAGCAAAACAGCAAATATAGCCGACAGACAACGTTTGTGGAACCGGGCATGACCACGACAGATTTTGACTTTGAATCAAAACTCAAATTTCAGAAACACCTTCAATCACAAATTCCAGAGCTGTTTCCAAACGGTGATGTCAAAATTCTTGATGGGAACGAGTGTCATGGAAGAACTACTATCAAATCCAAACACGTTCAACCAGAAGGTTACAATCCGTCATCATCATCAGATGACCACTCCTATGTTCAGATCTATGATGACAACGATGAACATAAAATCCTGTTGGTTCCCTTTCACTCCAAGAGCGGTTTCGACACGGATATCTCAAAGTCGTACTCATTCCCATACCATGCAAAATTTATAATCAACAACAAGAATTTTGAACACCAATTTCAACTAAGATTCCTCCCGTCTCAATCTCCACAACATTTTGGACTGATTTTTACCTTCGCCAACCCAGATGGAAGCGGCTTCATCACAGTAAAGTCTTTGTTATCAGTGTACTCCCTTTTCCCATCCACTCCTAAACACGCATACCTTGTCACCTACGCAAATAATGAGGACGACAACCACAACGCAAAGTATGACGGTCGGAGAGGATTCCGGGGACAATTTGTTAAGAACGTAAAGGACACGGTTTCTGCAAACTTGATGGATGAAAAATTGGTTAACGGAAGCTCGTTTGGTTCATGGGATGGAAACAATGAATTTTCAATTGGCTCCACCCTTGCTCATCCTCACCAGCGTTCTCTCGGAATCAAGCTCAATAATTATTCTGAACGACCATCATCAAAGCACAAAGAGAAAGTCAATCTGATTCAATCTATCAGAGCAGACGCAAGAACGGCCACAAATTCTGTACTGTAATTAATTAGGATAATTATACACGAATTATGTTGTACTGACCAAATATGTAATAAATGACAAAAAGATTTTTTTTTGCTTCAAGATGAAATGAAACAGTTTATATGTAGCTATGAATTTATTGCATTTTGTGTTTGTGAAGTAAATCTATTTCCGTCATAAGACCGGGGAATTATTAGTCATCACATTTCCATTCACTCTTTTCTGGTGGGAGCGGAGCCGGTCGGAGAGCAAACTCGTACATGCACATGTATTTAACGGCAGCTACTACCACCGAGACAGATCGCTCGGGTTGTTTGGATTTGCAAATGTGTATCAGTGTCACACATACCGGAATTGAGTAGCGTTGGCGTATGAGGTCACTCAGTTTACGGTTCAGATTTGAATGGCTGATGTCCAAATTTTCTTTTACAACACACAAATACAGATGTATGTAACACGCCTCGTCCAAATATGCACTGGTCTCTTGGCTCTCGATCTTCCCTTTGGAGTTGTACAAACCTTATCATCATCACCACCATCAATTCATCAATAGTTGTAAAAAGAAATGTACTAATTAGTGAGATTGAATATGAATAAATTAAGACTGCGTTGGTTTTAGTCAAAATAGGTTTCTTGCTTGTTATTTAATTCACATTATCTTGAAATACACAACATGCAGACTAATTTAATATTCTAAATAATAGAATATTTTATATGCCTTAATTAGGTACATTAAAAGCATTTAACATCTGAGAAAAAACTCTAATCAAAAGTGGGAATAAAATAAAATATGCAATTTGATCTCCGATAGAAGCACAACAGCAGAACGTTCTATTTTGGAACGAGACTCCATTTTTGGGTTTCTGTAGTGGAGCAAGAATTTGCATGCAACAGGCAACTGCAGACCAAATGAAGTTCGGTAATAGGAGCGTCTCCGAATTTGAACCCAACAGCAGCAGCATCAGTTCTAAAAGTTATCTCTTATAAGTTGAGCCCAAATTGTATTAAATAAAAGTAAAAATATGGGCATCAGGATTACGAACTCCTTTTTGGGAGATGAAAAAGTTCCATCAAATTTAAGTCAATTAACAATCTCAAATAGTTGTAGGTGCTCTCAAAGTCCTAAAAAATCAACCTTTTTGAAGTAAGTTGCTAGTTGTGAAAATATATACATGCTCGGAATTCTCTACCTTAAAATGTGTTCATATGTACTCGTACACGTGAATTAACCTTCATTGAACAGCGCTTTCTTTCCGGGATCTTGCCTTATTTGGTCACATCTCAAGCCAATGCACTTTCACGGCAATTCTCATCATCTACCAATAATAAGTAGTATATATGCATACGCAGTCTGTTCATGGTTTACCACCCTCGCTTTTTGTGAGCAAAATGGTCTAGGCCAAAGATAGTTTCACAAAGAGTGCGCGTTGTTCCGGGGGAGATGTTCGTATAAGTGCTGCCACTGCACTTTCACTATATATGTGCATATCTACATATGTACGCATGCACGCACTGAGCACGACCCCACCACCGCACCCCGCCGCCACCGAATTATTATTAGTGAGGAGGACGGATGCGGAAGTACACCAGAAGAAGTACATCATTGGAAAAATGCATAAATGAAATGAATTTGTCTTAAAAACAAATGTTTAATCTTGTTCAAAAGAAAATATTCTAAAATCTTCGTTAGAGTTTCACATAATTCCATTCCACGTAACTTTTGTTTTTGTAAAATATTAAAATACATTTTACATCATAAAAATTAGACGCAAGTTTTGAGTATGCAATTTTTGTTAAGTTGCAATCGGCAATCGTGTCATGTCATGTCTGCGTATGTAGTCATTGCATATAGTTTGCAGCTAACTGAGTAAATAATTTAAATACCAAAGCAGTGCAGAGTCTTTTCGTTTCAAGCAAAATGCACACAAGTAAAGTTGCATCTGAGAAATGATGATTTCCATGTAAAGCAATAGTGGAATGGTTAACGTACTGTGTTACCGCAATTCGAATGAATATGTGCAAGGAGCCGGCAGCCAGGCGAAGAAGCTCTGCATTAACTATGGGCATTAGGAAGGAGTGTTCCAATGGGCGATAAGATGCAGCCCGAGTACGGTGTACGAAAGTGTGTGTGTGTATTTCACTTGTATGCAGTAAGCTGTGGCGCTATATGTTTTTTGGATGGCCACCATATAAGGCCAAGGGAGGTACAGTGGAGGGCGGCTGTGGGTTTATTTTTGGTCTACCCGGGTGAGAAAATACGCTGGGGGAACGCCGTGATTTAAAAAGAAAGGACGGGTGGAATAGCGACCTGATTTCGGATCTGACTCGCTCGTGAGAACCATCTTCCCTTGGCTTTTGAGGTAGTGTGTGCATATTTCAAAATTTCACAAGTTTGGAAACACAGTTTTGGCTTTTGGAATTATTTTGGAATTCAAATTTGAGATTTGCAATAAAAGCTCATCCATTTCATCAATTCTTAAAATTGAATTCTCAGTGAAAATTGTTTTTTCAAGTCTGAAAAAAATCAGTGAATTCCTGAAACAACAGAGGGAGAGAGAAAAAAGGTTTCAAAATTCATTCTGTTAATTGTTTCTTCTTTCTTATTGTTGTTCCAGTTTGTGAGGTGTTAACCCATCAAAATCAATCACAATGTGTGACGATGATGTTGCCGCGTTGGTTGTTGACAACGGATCCGGAATGTGCAAAGCCGGATTCGCTGGGGATGATGCTCCCCGAGCTGTGTTCCCATCCATTGTCGGTCGCCCAAGACATCAGGTAAACAGCCACACCCACCACACTCGAGGATGACTACGAGTCCTTGTACACAACCCTCCCCACTTTTCCCGAATGGAGGGTTTAAATAACTTGTGACACAAGAACATGTACACATACATAAGTCACTTATCTAGATTATAGGGCCATCACAACCTGCAACAGTTGCAATGATTCTTAAGATATTTGAAAAATAGTAGCCCGAATAGTTGCAGTATGAAAATATGATGACGAAGAAGAGGTGAAAAGTGTTTGTAGAAATTTGAGAAAAGTTGTAAAGGAAGTGGAATGAAAAGATCGAGTCCATATTTGGGGATGATGCCGAATCTATTTTTGGCACAGACCCCCACATCCGACTACTACACACTCGTGGACCCTAACACACATCATCATGGGCAGGACATTCCTTCCCAAACTCCGAGTTCTTACTTGACTTGACTTATTATGCGGATGTGTGGATGAGACATGGAGTTAAAAATAGATACTCAACTTTCAGTCTCGACTTCTTAGCTTAGCCATCTAAACAAACAGTAAAATCGAGCAAACTATCAAAATGAGACAAAATAGGAAAACAACACTTTCTCCCTTCTCCTACAAAATTCCTTTTGCACCTTTACTAATGATGGCCTTTCTTTGCTGTTCTTCTCAAATAGGGTGTCATGGTCGGTATGGGTCAAAAGGACAGCTATGTCGGTGATGAGGCTCAGTCCAAGCGAGGTATTCTCACCTTGAAATACCCGATTGAGCACGGAATTATCACCAACTGGTAAGCTCATCAATTCAAGATTTTCATGAAAAATTTTCAAAATGTTATATCTTATGAGAAATTAATTATTTTAAGGGATGACATGGAGAAGATCTGGCATCACACCTTCTACAATGAACTCCGAGTTGCACCAGAGGAACACCCAATTGTAATTATATTCTTACATTATTCTTACATATCTACAAATGCGAAACTAGATTAAAATACGATTTTCTCATGTATCTTATATATAGCTCCTCACTGAAGCTCCTCTCAACCCAAAAGCCAACAGGGAAAAGATGACTCAAATCATGTTTGAAACTTTCAACAGGTAATTGAATTCCCAATTTTTCCCAATTTCCCAATTTTTGTAAACTACGATTTAACAAACCCTTTTAAATCCGGAACAGCCCTGCCATGTATGTCGCCATCCAAGCTGTCTTGTCCCTCTACGCTTCCGGTCGTACCACCGGTATCGTGTTGGACTCTGGAGATGGTGTTTCTCACACCGTCCCAATTTATGAAGGTTACGCCCTTCCCCATGCCATCCTCCGTTTGGACTTGGCTGGTCGAGACCTCACTGACTACCTCATGAAAGTATGACTACAATTACAATTGATATACATTTAATTGTTAAATGGCATAATTTTAATTGTTATTATTATTTTTCTTCATGAAGATCCTCACCGAGCGTGGTTACTCTTTCACCACCACTGGTACGTACCAGCAGTATAACTTTCTCCTCCGGTAGCAACGGCTAAAATTTTAACATTTATTTTTCGACATCTGCAGCTGAGCGAGAAATCGTGCGAGACATCAAGGAAAAGTTGTGCTATGTTGCTCTTGACTTTGAACAAGAAATGGCCACTGCCGCCGCCTCCACCTCTCTGGAAAAGTCATACGAATTGCCTGATGGACAAGTTATCACCATCGGAAACGAACGTTTCCGTTGCCCAGAGGCCCTCTTCCAACCTTCCTTCTTGGGAATGGAATCTTGCGGAATCCACGAGACCGTCTACAACAGCATCATGAAGTGCGACGTTGATATCCGAAAGGTACATACAAACTAATCTCATATTGTGCTACACAATTTGTGTAACAGATATTTCAAGAAGCTGGCGCAGTTCATTTTTTTAATCCCATATTTTTTGAACTTTTCAGGACCTCTACGCCAACACGGTCTTGTCCGGTGGTACCACCATGTACCCTGGTAAGTGATTTAATAGGAATTAGCAGTCATTCATAACATCAGATTTTTATGCGCAGCATTATTTATGGTTATTTGTGGACTGATTCATCATTTGGATAATTTCTACAGGTATTGCTGACAGAATGCAAAAGGAAATCACTGCCTTGGCTCCATCCACGATTAAGATCAAGATCATTGCTCCCCCAGAGCGAAAGTATGATTTTTATTTATTTATTTTATGAATTGCAACATGTCGACTTAAATTATCTCAAGTTTAGTTAAATTGTGATGAGAAAAGATAGATTACAACTTTTATTTGAAGTAGACGTGTATAACATTAGCAAAATTTAACTTCCTTCGTATTTTTCCAACATTGGTTCAAATCCCCAGAATAACTTCACAAATTCACAAATTTCGCCCCATGAAGTAGAATCGGCTAAACTAATAGATACACATTTATTAACAGAGTAACCTATATCAGACTTAGGACGAATAGGATTACGCAATCCCAACAAGTATGCAACATATCCAGCTATTATCATCTTAGCTTCGATGGTTCTGGTCTTGATGGTCTTCTTATCGTCATCCTCACATTTGGCGACAAGATAGGGGATGATAGTAGGAGCCTTCAGTGGGGGTGGATAGATGCATAACTCCTCTACTTCACCTAACTCTCTATTTCTCTGTTTCAGTCCCTCGATCTCCAATTGCCTATCTTTCTGTCTCTTATCTGTAATGCGTTTGTACTCCCTAGCACCATCAGTCCCCCCTGCTGAGTCCAAGCGCTTTTTGAAATCGGGGGTGTTGCTCCAGCCGAAATACCACATATCTCGACTCATGATGGTATACAAAAAGGTCTTCCCTTTCTCCTCTTGCTGTTGTGTTGCCCCTACTGTTCCAAGAAGATATTCTCCCTGAAATGGGTACTTGACCTTCTTCCTCTCCGTCGGTGTTAAGTGGCGACGAATCTTGAGCTCCATACCCAACTCCTTTAGTCGCGCATCGATCTCACTCTCCATGCCGTAACACAAGGGGATCAAATTATCCAAATTGATGATGGGTTGAGATCCGGAGGCCAGTTTCATAAACATACCGATGGTCTAAAAATGCATAATAATAATAATAAAATCATTATTTAGACATTATGTCCGAGACAATTTCACTAACCGATTCAAATGACAGCATCCTTAGAGCCTCGCCTTCGTTGGAAAAGTGGTGTAATAATATACATTTGGGGATTGGTCGAATTGATAGACCCTCCGTGGCACAATACCTTTTCCACCCTTCGTAGGTGGTAATTAAGTTTTGAAGATACAGTTCAGTCTGTTCGTCTTTCTCCTGCTTGGATGCATTTTGCGCTACAGATATTGCTGGCTTCGTGTGAAGAAGAACCAACACGTCCCTCCTATTGTAGTCAGTCACTTTCACCATGGTATAAATGCGACTGAATCGATGTTGAATGCATTTGGGGAGGACATCACTTGCGAGAGTTTGGTTGTATTGATAACAATCTGATTTATGAGAATGACTTACTTAAATGAGTATTTCACCATGATTAATGTGAGATACTTTGTTCTAGATACTCCGTCTGGATCGGAGGTATGCAAAACTTGACGTTTATAACAACCATTATTTATTAACCAGCTCATTCCATCATTCTGATCAATTTTATTATTCCTTCCTTCACAGGATCCATCTTGGCTTCCTTGTCCACCTTCCAACAGATGTGGATCTCCAAGCAAGAGTACGACGAGTCAGGCCCAGGCATCGTTCACCGAAAATGCTTCTAAACTATCATCACATTTTAAATACTGTTCAACTACATCTCTTATTATTATACTACTATCTATCTACTTACTATTGCAACACAACACCACCGCAACACCTGTCTACGTCAACAGCAACATCCGAAATAAAATTTCCATCATCTACTAAACATTGTTCACGCTCATCATCAGGCGTCATAAAAAAGAACAATTCACCATCCGAATCTTTGAATAGTAAATATCATCAGACGAAAAAAGAGCAAGAAGAGCAATCAGCATTATCATCAATAACAACCGTTACCAGCAATTTTTATGTAAAAAAGAAATACCAACACTACCACAAACATGATTTCCATCATGAGTAACCACTCTTTGTTAATTATTATTGTAATAATTTTATTGTAATCTTATTTGTTCAGCTATAATTTCATATTCTACCCGAATGTGGTAATTGTGTTGAATACTCGACAATCTCAAACACAATCTCATTCATGTTTATTGTACTTGTGGTTTTACGGCTACCGGAATAATACAACACTACCATCATCATCATCTATCAAAAAAATACTCAATTTCGTCCAGTTTCATTTTCATTCAATCGACTTTGGTTACACATGCATAAAACATGCCACAAAAGATTTAGATTCCTCATAAAAGCTTTCACTCAAGTGCATACCTCTAATCATAAATTGAGACTAACTGGATTTCGCTACATATATCCTGGCATACCTGCATAAGAAGTTACTTATGCACATTCATCCGCATACTTGAATATCATCCCATAATTACTTTTAAAAAATTCTCTATCAAATCTTAAGAGAGGATAAGTGGATAAAAGGTGATAACATATTCGTCATCCAAATAATATCCATAAACTGATTCAAACTGCCTTTGAAGGTCAGCAGAAGGGAACTGCTTCACATCAATGGAGGCGTAATGATATTTAAACAAATAAGATTATGAATCCTTACTAGAGTTCACAGACTTCAAAATCATTGTGGACAAATGAGAACAAGTATATGTACATACCACTGAAACATAATTGACAATATTAAACTGTATTAAAGTAGACTTAAAAAATAAGGCGCACTTTATTGTAATTTTCACATATATGCTATAAATGCTTATTCATTTTTCAGGAGTCGTACTTATTTAGTACATACATAACAGAATGATGCTGTATTAACGTCATTAAAATATATAGCGTATTGATGAATTACAAAATTCTCATTCAGCTCGGAGCCTTCGTAACATAATCGCTTGCGACGATGCAATTTAGTTTAAACTGGCGACATTTGCAAGTGACACAAAAATTAGCACATGAAATTGAGATTGCAAGCCCATTTCATGTTGCATAGTCTCCTCAATTTATCAACACGAACTTTTTTAAATTTGACATGTACTCGTCAATATTATTCGCAATTTAATTAATACTTGTTTATTACTTGCGAGCAATGATAATCTGAAGTTTATGCTCTTGCCTGACTGAAATTGCGCTTTGATAGGCACACTTGACACACACGAATTAAATATATAGATGTTACGTGCATGAAATATGTAGGCAGTGGTCAACCAGGAAAATTTCAAGTAATGATGTTATTCCAGATTAGCATCTCAATTCACTACTTAATTGATGTCATGGAGGTCATTATTACGCATCAATGAGTAATGAGTTGTCATCATCGTCACCCAGCTAAAAATCAGGAGACGTCGAGACCACGACTCAACAACAGTTCTATTTCCAACATTGTCGCCTCTTCTCAGAACTGGATGGAATTGTAAGAACTAATAAAACGTGTGGTCATCTCACAGCATGCCATTCATAAATGTCTCATTTATTATGTAGTACTCACAAGGGACACTCACGACCTGTCGTTTGAGTCCAGGGTACCCACTATGTTTTTTAGAATCTACTAGGACCCCAGATGAAGGATTCATTCTTATTTCCGTGTAAAACTCATATTTGGCGCCATGGCGTGGCGCCAAATTCGCCAAATTTGATGGTTTTTCATTTTAAAACCGCCATAACTTTTGAAATCCTGGACGGATTTTCAAAATTTTTGGCAAAAATCATGACAAGGAGTTCAACTTTGGTATTCTATGAAATTTTTTCCAAAATTATCACTTTTAACTTTTCACAAAATTTCGAAATTTCGGGTTCGTCGAAAAAATGCTAAAATTGTCTCAAAAATTAGAAATTTTGTATTTTTATTTTTTTCTCAAAAATTTCGACTTTTCTGATCATTTTAAGCTTAAAACTTGAAAATCCGACATAAACTGCAAAAGTTATGGGGGTTTGAAATTGGTCGAAAATGCAAATTTTTAAGTTTGGCGCCACGCCATTGGGCCAAATATGAGTTTTACACGGAAATAAGAATGAATCCTTCATCAGGGGTCCCAGTAGATTCTAAAAAACATAGTGGGTACCCTGGACTCAAACGACAGGTCGTGAGTGTCCCTTGTCAGATGTTTATGGAATCATGCATATTCCAGATAACTTTATCAGCAACAGGTTTATTTGCCATATTAAGTACATATATATAATTTATCCGATGCTATAAACGGAGCATGTCAAGGTTTTCCTTATTTGTTCAAATTTAAATCTGTAGATCTGTATCTGTAAATGCGCGATGCATTTATTTATAAAGTAGTCAAGAACTCAGGATGGGACAGGGCTAAATTACTTCTACTAATGACTGGTTAAAATATAAAATTATTTTATATTTGTGTGTATTTTAAGCAGACCGTCATTTAGTATATAATTTTAAATTATGTATGACAAAGAATTTTAAGCATTGCAAAACACTTAATATATTCTGCTAATCAATTAGTTGTGCTCCAAAACCTCATTACGTACAATGAAAAAAGCTAAAAATGCGACCAGTGCATGCTCCAATAATTTTTTTCAGGCCACCAAGTAAACATATCAATTTCATTATCACTTCAAGTTATTGATTTAATCAAATGTATGGTGTCCTTCATTCATCACTGTTCTGCAACCATTTACTATTTCCAATAGTTATTGCCGAGAAATTTAAGCTTACAGCTACTCGTTCTACATTTTTATATCTACACGAAATTTCTATATTTCATCTATTTCTAATGGTGCTATTCGAAATTATAAGTTGTAATTACAGGTTTTATGTTTTTCTTTGAACAAGGTGATAATTAGTGAAAATTGAGTTAAAATCACCAGCTTACTAAAAACTAATGATGGGGTAATCCCTGTACATATGTAATTGTTGTCTCTGGATGATGGTCATGCATGGTGAAGGATTATTATTGTCCTTGATCATAACAATCGGTACACAACAATCAATATTGAGTTACCTTGCTTGTCACGTCATTTAAACTGGAAAATACCTGATTTTTACTTTGGGTCAGGCGATGGCACCAAAAACCAGTTGACTCCAGAAATCTCGTTAAACAAACTGCATCTTCAGATACATATACCGTTCGGGCTCTTTACTCACAATTTAGTAGTTGTTCCTACTCCCTGCTTCGTCTTAATAGCATAAAACTAAGATCTAAATACTAGATATGCATACTAACAATTATAACTATTGTAACTATTCCCATCCATGGTCCAACCAAAGGCTAATTCAGACCTATTTAGTATAACGGAAAAGTCTAAAAAAGTCTTGTAATAAAGCCTATATGTTTCATTTCTAGAGATTTAAATAACTAGGATGAATCAATATTTTCTCAGTTCATTCCAAAAGTTGCAAACATGTAGTGGATGATCAACAAGTGGCCGAACAATAATTTTTGAAATATTTACTTGATCAGGAGATGCAATTTAAAAATGCAATTATAATTAATCCTTGGTGTATATTTAACCAGGTAAGAAAAGGTTGGTAAACTTACAAACTTATGAAATTGATGTACAGCTAAATATTTACCTATCCTATCCTGTTATGCACCTTCTATCTTGTTCCAAAAATGTAGACAGGAGTTATTACCATATTAAATTCAAACAAAATTTCTTTAGTCTTATTGTTAGTAGCGCTAAATATGGGCAGCGATGCAACAGGCCTATAATATATGTATGCCTTGTATATATTTTCCATATACATATGCATTTAAGTAAAACAGTGTACAACATGGATGGATGTACACCTATACATCCATCCATCCTTAAATTATGTATAGAGAAAGTTTGTAGATATGGATGGATTCTTATTTGAAGGTCAAGGTTAAGCCAAGTCTTAACCATGATGCCTCCGTTGACGTCATCATGGACCCTTAAAATCTCTTCTCAATGTAAGGATGAAACCAAGAAATGTCCATAGAATAAAGCGACCTTGCAAATAATTCAACAGAAGAAGTAGAAGTAAAGTTTAGAATATGTAACAAATCTCCGTTACATCGACTATCAAACTATCGACCTATTTATTTACAAGTATTTGGCAAATAGCACAAGAAGGAAGCAGATCTCAAAAATATTCACCCACTGCGACTCTATTTAGACTCACGCACCAGACTTAATTTCTATTTAGTTGAGTTAGCTCATGCAGTATTGACATGGCCAAATTCCAAATTCCGATCACCTCTCGGGCGAGTGATCACGAAAAACACAAAACAACAAGATTTGCATGCGCTTTCCGTGTGCTTACTTACCAACAAGAATGCTTTTCAGAAATGAAATTTGCACTCGGTTAGATTTGGCATATCTTAAGGTGCAAAACCGAAATGCTAGGAAAAAAGAAAGTCATATAGAAAAAAATACAAGAAAAAATGGACAAATGTTGTTGCAAAACAACTTTATCTCAAATGAGCGAGTCTTTCACGCATTTATTATGCAAAATGTCAAATTAACATGGGTGAACTATAGGCCACACAGCATATTTATGATATAAGTGCGAAATGTACAATGGTAATGAACCATTCACCAACTCGATAAGACTGAAAAAAATCGGATAAATGCTCAATGTAAGTCCGCTCACTCAAACTTCGCATAAAAGCACTATCTTAATATGCATTAATACACATGGAAATTTGCAATGGAAAGTTTTAACGTTTGCAAATATCATTTTAACCTTCAGTATGTCAACCTAGTTATACCGTAGGCGTCTCATTATGGTACAAAATGTCTTTCACTTTCACTTTACGTAATTGTTTTTAGGAATGTGGAATAGTAAAATATTGAAAATCCTTTTCATGTTCATGCTTATTCGTTGTCCAGCAAAAGTGGACTTATAGAAACTGTAGTGACCCAACTCAATATTTGACAGGAAGGTTATGTCATTGCAGTCCTGCTCGCCGTCGAACACAGCACTCGGCTATGTCAACCCAGTGCCTGTTGTACCTATCTACACGTGCAGTCTTGACGTATCTGAGGTTAAAGGTTCTTTTTTATTTGTTTACAGGATGAAGTTGCCTCATCGCAGTTTAGGAACATGCAGTGAATGGTCTACCAGTAGGTCTGCAGTTACATTATGTAGAAAACCCCAACCATTCGTGCATATCATGCGAAGAAGAGTCGGAGAGAACGAGAGGTGCTCTGCTATATATAAAGCCAAAATCTCTGCTTTTCCACCAGTTAGACACCAACTATACAGTTTTCATGAACAATTGCATAATAGACCAAAGTTGGTGCTCCAATTAGCACTGCTTGGTTGATATTGTTCACTATTGTTTTTACATAGTTGATACATAAAAACACACAAATACAATAAAAATAATTTGCCCTGTCTCAGTTTTGCGTGCCCATTCTCAAATTCATTAAATAAAGCACTATGACCGTCAAAACAAAATTGAACTTTCCAATGATTGTTGTCTCCAATCGTTTGCCATTCATATTGGCCAGAAAGGACGATGGAAGTCTGGAGAGAAAGCAATGGTAAGACCAACATTTTGTGTTTCAACGCAAGCTCTTTTGCGAAGGAAGCAATCGTTATAGTCCACATTATTAGCACACATGAATATTTGCTAAGCATAAATACTGTGCTTAATGTTTTGCATGCATGTACAAAAGTGTACTGGACATACTTAATTTCAGCAATTCCTGCTAACAACTTGTATCGTAAGGTTATTGCCTACTTCACTTTCATAATTAAGTATGTAGAGCATGCATTGGACTTCAGACCTAAATAATGCGGAAAATGTGCACTTTAGCTGAGGTTGAATTGACACGTTTGCATTGATAAACTTTGATAATAGGATCGATTATTTGAACTGTGGCAAATGCAAATTTTATCAAATCCCAATTACTCAATTGATTATGCACACACGACGGACGTAATTTTGTTACAAGTGTGATATTGACATTACTCTTTTGAATGTGCAGTGCTGGAGGTCTGGTTACAGCCGTATCGCCAATTTGTGTTGAATGCAAAGGGACGTGGGTTGGATGGCCAGGAATTCAGCTCAAGGAAGATGAGATTATTCCAGAGTCCAGCCCTGATGATAAATCGCCAACTTCTGGTCTCTTGTCTGAACAAGTGGAAAGCGTGGCGATTGATCCCAATCTTTTTGACCTGTATTACAATGGCTGCTGTAACGGCACATTTTGGCCGTTGTTTCATTCTATGCCAGATCGTGCCGCTTTCTCCAGTGAGACATATGACGCCTACAAAAAAGTTAACCAGGTATTTGCAGAAAGTACAATAAAGGCTTTGAGACGGACGGTCGCCAGGTTGGACGACGAAAGGAAAACTGATGTCGTTCCTGTGGTTTGGATTCATGACTACCAATTAATGCTTACAGCAAATATCATTCGAAAGGTGAGTGAACACCATTATGAACACATATGACGAACTAAACATATTGGAAATTCAGAGTAAAATAAATTCCCGAAACATTCTGGCTATGGCTGCAAAATTAATTACATGATTACCTAACATCAGACATGAATGTGTAAGCCAGATAAGCAGTTCAGGGGCGACTGTGAGAGGTCTAAGATAAATCCATCGAATGATGTACTTTCAATGCAATTGTGTAATTATACCTAAAGTTATAGATAGCCAAAGTTAGACATGTATAGCTTAGGAGGAAGTTTACCACAGGTTAAAGTAATAAGTAAGACCAAACAAATTATGGATCGGTCAGCAATATTTCATGAAATTATTTCCTCTACTTTTAATAAGGTTAAATTATAATTTATTAGAATGAGGGCATTTACACAGACAAAGTGCAATACGAATTAGCAGAACATTACAAGTGTGACTCTCAGAAGTAAACACTCTCGTCATCATTTTATTTTCATGCAATATTTCAGGTTGCAGAAGAAGAAGGCTTGAGATTGAAAATGAGCTTCTTTATGCATGTAAGTTATTGAGATTTATGTATATGCGTATTTTTCAATGAATGAAGGCTTTCATATTTTGTGTGAAACTGTCACGCGTACACGCTCGTTATCATTTATATTCATTTCATGCACGTCACTTACATATTTGCCTGGTTGCCTAATTTGGCGTAGATTCCGTTTCCAGCCTGGGACTTAATGCGTCTATTTCCTTGGGACGATGAGATCCTTGAAGGAATTCTAGGTGAGAGTCGCCTTCTTGAATATGTCCAAATATCATAAAAATTCCTGGTCCGACGTGCACATGTTGACCTCGTGTTTGAGAGAATAACAAACACATGCATTTTTTGAAACTCCGCATTTATAAACAATTTGAAGGTCCAGACAGATCAAGATCATTCGTTGTATCATTGTGTCTGTTACGTAACATGTGTACATAATTCCACAGGTTGTGATCTAGTTGGATTTCACATTGACGACTATTGTTTAAACTTCTTGGATTGCTGCCAGAGGAGACTAGGCTGTCGTGTCGATAGGGCAAGATTTCTTTGCGAACTAGACGGAAGAACCATTCATATCAAATCCTTACCCATAGGAATTCCATATGCGCAATTTGCAGAAATGAGTCGTGTGGCCCCCAAAGTGTTAAAGGAGAAAGATCAACAAATTATTTTGGGGTAATGTGAAACAAATATTTTAAATCTCTTTGTTTCTTATTATGCCGTGAATAGTACGATGATTGCGATTTTTACTCCCAATTAATTGGGGCAACTCAAAATGATTTGTTTTCTCTTAATAAATAGAGTTGATCGCCTTGATTACACCAAAGGACTTGTGAATCGAGTTAAAGCATTTGAACGTTTGTTGGAGAAACATCCCGAGTATATGGAAAAATGCATTTTCTTTCAAGTATGCTAAAAAATTTATCGGCATCTGTAGTACTCTGATGTATATATTTACATAAACTCTTATACATAAATCAGACATTGAGCTACGGTTTATTATTTTAAAATGAAATAGGTAGCTGTTCCTTCACGGACAGACGTGAAAGAGTATCAAGCTTTGAAGGAGGAGATGGACCAGTTAATTGGAAGGATTAATGGAAGATTTTCTAAAATAAATTGGAGCCCAATACGATATATTTATGGCAAGTTTGTTAAGTTATTTTATACGACACGATACAAATTGGCCCTCAATGAAATAATGCTAATTATGGTCGCAGGTTGCATTTCTCAAGAACAACTTGCAGCCTTTTACAGAGACGCGTCCGTGGCGCTTGTCACTCCACTTCGAGTAAGCATTTCTCTATTTATATAAATACTTTGCATAATGTATATTTTTGAAGTACGACTCTCGTAAACATTATTCCAATGTTCTATGTGTTTACAACCACAGGATGGAATGAATCTGGTTGCGAAAGAGTTTGTTGCCTGTCAGGATTTGTCCGACCCTGGTGTGTTGATGCTTTCACCTTTTGCGGGTGCTGGAGGTAAGCAAACCATTTTTGTGCGAAACTTGGGATGATTTTTAGAGGTTATGCTGCACATGTCTCGAACAGAAACGCAACAAGTGTTTTAAAATAGAGATATGCGAACAAAAATCAAGTGCATACAATCAGACAACATGAACTTACTCTATAGAACAACACTTTACAGAGTGGACATGCTTCGAGTATCAAGTGAATGAACAAAACAAACAGATTTATGCACTCACGTTGATGTTGATGAGTTTACAAGGTTGATGATGTCGAGATTAGAACTGAGAATTATGTAAAAAGTTCATTGATCAAGTGTCTGAATTTGCCATTACTTTTCCTTCAATAATATTTACGACCAGTTTATTAACTATAAGCATTTATGGTTGTTAACTATGCAATGAAAACAATGTTTTTAATGTTTCAGGTATGATGCAGGAAGCCATCATTGTAAGTTATTTGGAATTTTGTAGAAAAAACTTCTACCGCAAATTAATTAATTTACATCATGTTAATTTAATACAGGTAAATCCGTACGAGATAGATGAGGTCGCAGACCAACTGCACCGATGCCTTAGAATGCCATTTGATGAACGTTCCTTACGCATGAAGCAACTTCAGCGTCGAGAGCAGGGGCTGGATGTCAATCATTGGCTTAACATGTTTCTCATCTCGATGGGATTGTGCGATTTGAACAACAATCCCTCATCAGCCAACAAAATGGCACCGCTGTCCGTGGATGACTTTGACTACTACCTCTCCGACTATGTGGATTTTGACTTGGATCAAGATAAGAAAGTTAAGTTAAGCCTGATCCTCGATTATGATGGCACATTGGCACCCATTGCGCAGAAGCCTGAACTTGCCAGAATGCCAGACGAAACAAGGGAAGTGCTGAAACGTCTGGCCAGATACTCTCAGGATGTTAGCATTTGTGTGATATCGGGTCGAAGTCTAATCGACCTCTGCGACTCGATTGGAATTCGTGGAATTACATACGCGGCTTTGGATGGTTTAGAAATTTTGAGCCCTGATGGCACAAAATATTTACATCCAATCACAGCTGAACATGAAACACGAATCGCACATCTCTTAAAGTCTCTGCAGAATGAGGTTTGCAAGGAAGGAGCTTGGGTAGAGAACAAGGTAAATCAATAACGACAAGCATAATTATTTTTTGACATAAATGTCTTTGGGCAATCCTGTTTAATTGGAACATTTCTAATCCAATTTTTGAACCACTTCTTAAAACACCATTTAGGGTGCCCTTCTTACATTCCATTACAGGGAATGCAAAAAGCATGTTCGTGACGCCTTCATGAAAAGAGCTACAGAAATTTTTTTAGCCCATGGATTTCAACCCCATAAAGCACCAATGGTATGCAAGATAAATGATAAATCTGAGTAATCAAGTTCAACATTTAACTAGTTAAACCATATGTTCATTAAGGCGTTGGAAGCTAAACCCGAAGTCAAGTGGGACAGAGGCCGTGCTTCTATTCATATCCTCAGAACAACGTATGGAATAGATTGGACTGATCGAGTACGAGTAATTTACTGTGGCGATGATGCAAATGACGAGGCTGCTATTGAGACGCTGTCCGGTATTGCGTGCACCTTTAAGGTGCAAAGTAGTTCCACAAGTGCTTCTAGGACTGGGGCGAACTACCGACTTCGAAGTTCCGATGAAGTTCTCCTCATGTTGAAATGGATTGAAAAGAAACTTTCACTCAGACGATCCCCGTCTCCAACCTCCCCCGTCCGACCTAACAGAATATCCATGAGCTTTTCTTTCGATGAGAGTGACGATGAGATGAGAAGGATCAGAACCAACTCGAGAGGAAGAACGCAAAATATTTTTAGGAGAACGCGAAAACTTGAGCAAGGCGATGCAGACAATGAGAATTTCATTGTAGGAAAGTCCGGTGATAATAATATTAGTCCTACGAGTTCTCAACCACCCTCTCCCTCATCCTTAGCAGTGTCTGAAGATTTAAATAGATATATTTAAACACGACCTGTAATTGTAAGCCTAAGGAGCTAAATTATTACTATATTTAGGCATACGTATTTATGTATACTATTACCCGGTTGATATTTATCATATAGATTTTATTTTAGTTAGTACTGACTGTAAGTTTATTAGACTAGATTAATCAAATCACTCAAGTAAATTGAACGATTTTATATAGATTAACTGAATAATATAGAGCTATCAATCAGATAACGTGCCCATGGACTAAATATATGCTTATTATATTACGAGTTTTTCAAGCCTTTGTAATGCAATGAATGGTCGTAATAAATCTAGTTGTTTGGTTTTTGCGTAAGAAAATCCATGCAGGTACCACTTTACAAAATTGGACATTATTTTTTACAGCAACAAACAGAACAAAAAGAATATAAAAGGAGCTATGCTGCACAGGTTGAGTTGGACAATTTTACAGGTGCAGGTAATCTCTGAACTCCAAAATGTCTTCTGGTAATATTAGGCTCATGATTTTAATCATTTTCATCGCTGTTCGAATTTTGCCTGTCTCTTCCGAATCCTTCGATTCCGCCATTGTTGACATTTCTGCATTAGAATTTGCGAAAGATATTACGACTCTTGTAATTGAATCCACTTTAAAATCAAAGTGCGATGGAAATATTTTTGTGGTATCTTCATTTTGTGAGCAATACTTGGACCATGCATTGATTTCTATTCGGGAGTGGGCACCACCCATTTTAATTGTCAAATTTCAAGATTATGAAACCATCTCGGATAAAAATTCTTGGACTAAATATTTGTCCTGGCACCGGAAATCATGTTCTCTGATTTTTATCTGTGACTTGATAAGTCCTGTTCCAACTGTACCAACTTTTGACAATGCATCATCGTCGTTATTACAGGATTACAATATCATGGAACAATTTACAAGCTCGAAAAGTACATACTAAATTTTTCATGAAACTCATATACGTACATATTACGAATTATTTATTTAAGTATTATGTGTTTCAAACTGTCTTAGGAGTGGATGGAGGCTATCTAAAAATTCCTAGATTTGTCACCTCATTGGATCAAATCATTTATTTTTCTGAAGGTGAATCTTCAGAACCTGATCTTGATGGAACTATTCCCGACTCTGCTGCTCTTACTTGTTGCACCAACTATCGGACAGCCCAAATTGAAACAGACCTTATGAGAAAAACTGGAGTACTACTGTCAATCCGAGTTCAAGATTCTCATACCGATAAACCAGAATCTCGTATGCAAGTATTATCTAAATGTGAATTTTGCAAATCAAGCAACCAACAATACTACACACTTCTTGGCGACTGGCAAAGGAACAAAACACAATTTGGAAAATTTTTTAACGAATTTGACTTGTATAAAAAACAATCATTCAATAATTATAGCTTGCGAATTGGCTACTTTAATTACTTTCCTCACTTTATGTGTGTTAATGGCGACGATGGGGTAAGCTTGAAAAAGCCACAGCAGGTGATACTTCCGTTCCAAAACCACTGTCTTGGAATTGAATGGCAAATTGTGAATAATCTGGCGAAATCATTGAATTTCAATTTCAATTTGACAAACATTGGAAACGACATTGAAAATCCGACATATAAAACAAATTTCTCTCTTATGCTGAACTCGTTACAAATGGATGTCATTGATTTAGCCGTGGGAGGAATTACGCTAACATCAGAGAGAATGGCCAAAATTGATTTTTCTCAGATTTTCGAAACCGAACCCATCGGTAATATCGAAGTATTGTTATATTATGAAACAACGATTAATTAATTGTTTTTTTTCAGTATTTGTAGTTCAGAAACCTAAAAATATTTTTGTTTTGGGAATTTGGCTCGCATTTCAACCTCAAGTATGGCCAATTATCCTGCTCCTCATAGTCATCATGTCGTCCTTGTTCGAATTAATTACCAATGACGAATTTCCACCTTTTCACTGTTGCCTCAAAAAAGGAGCAAAGAAAAATAAATTGTCACTGAGCATTATGATTGATGAAGCCATCAAGGAATCAAAACGGAAAACACTGATTGTTCGAATGTTTGCAGGATGCTTCCTAACTCTGCAACCAATGTTTGGTCAACCTCTCAATTCTTCTCAGACGATGTACCAACCTCGTCGGTTTAAAATGCTACTCGTCCTTTGGTGGTTTTCATGCCTTATCATAACTACCCTTTACAGCACCTCTTTAATATCCAGTCTCATCAATCCTGTCATCACAACGGAGCCCAAATCAGTCCGAGAACTGATTAATTCTGGATATCATTTCAAGTTGGGGGGTCGCCACGCAGCAGTCAAAGAACTAATCAACACATCCTCCACCACGGTGGACAATTTATTCGAGAGTGGTAGTAAATTTAGACCACCTGCTCCCAATCCCGATACCGATAAAATGACCAAACTTTTGGAAATGATCCGAGAACGGCTATTACTTCCCACTCATCAACCAGTAAACCCGAACTTGGTCGCTTACATCGTTGAGGAGTCGGGCATAGGAAACGAAAATGATCTTCAACTTACCAACATGAAAGTAATGGAAGAACGACTATTAATTACAGGCTATGCTTTCTCTCTCAAGAAAAACGTCCACTACAAACGAAAATTGGATGTTGGATTAGGTCGGTTAAATGCAGGTGGACTGATTTCCCACTGGGCCTCAAAGTATGTCAATAACATGAACAAGGTCTTGGGGAGAAAGTTCAGGCTTAGAGAAAGGCTCGGCCAAATCACGCTGAACCTTAAAATTTTGCAGGTAACTACTACATTATTAGCACAATATTTATTATTTGTAAAACTATGAACATATAAATGTAAATTATGCAGGGAGCTTTCATCTTTCTCGTGCTTGGTCTCAGCCTTTCAGCCCTCGTGTTCGTTTTCGAACATTGGAACAAACACTATACTTTCAGAATGTATACGAAAAATCATCTCTTACGCATCGGAAGGATGATGATTGTTCATGTGGCACAATTTTATCATGACCATGTGGCTGATAATAATTCGAAAACGAACTCGAGAAAAAAGGGGAAAGATAAATTTAGAAAGGTCGTGGACACGGTTGTGGTCAAATTGAGACAAGAACATGAACATGAACACGTCTTCCTTAGATAGTTCAGTCAAAGTGGTTGATCGATAGAGTCTAAGCTGTATTGTGTAGAGAAATTTACCAATAATAATTAAAAGATGTATTATAAATAAATATGTCCATAATAGTTTACTAACTAGACCTACCGAGCAACATTCTTTTGGGGCCAACTTTCCCCATTCTCTGCAGCAATGTTTTCAGTGTGGATTCTGTACGCAGGAAATTTGTACCTCGACACATCTCACTCGCTATTCATATATTTACTCACTACCTTCTTGTTTGCCACACTTTCTTTAGTGTCGTCCAACTTGTCTTTGTCAAGTGAAAGTATATTTATTTATGGTGCATTGTATTTTTATCGAATTACTTTGTACTCCAAGTCCAAGGGTATTTTCAAGGGGATAGATTTCAATTTCATAAACTATGGATCAAGAGGAAACATTGGTTGATGTTCCACCTACTTTGAAAAGTGAGGAACTTTCGACGACAACTGCCGCCAGCACTAATGATGATGACGACGACAAAGCTCCACCACCCCCTCCGGTCGAGGAAGTATCATATCCCATAACTGTGATTTACTGTGGAAATTGTGGGCTTCCACCTGAGGTACATATAATCATTTAACCAATTAATACATCTATTTAATTCTAGACTTATTTGGTTTTCCTTAATGTTGCAGTATTGCGAGTATTATCCAGACTACGACAATTGTCGAGTATGGTTAGAAGCAAACTTACCAGATTTCGGAGGGGTGAGCACATTTTTGCGTCTAATAAACCAATAAGATTTGTAAACAGGGTTCATCCTAATTACAATAATGTATTTGGTAACGGTAAAAAATACTGCTGTTTTTTATTTATTGTACGAGTAGTTGTCAATCAGCGAGGGTGGTGGTGAAGAAAAGAAGAAGGGGCGACAAAAGCGAGGAGGGAAAGGTCTGGTTTCAGGTATAGGTTTATTACTACTGCTTATATGTTAAATGTGGAACGGTCAAGGGGAAATATATTATTTATTTTATCAGCAAAGAAACCTGGAGGAAAGACGGGTCCCAAGAAAATCTGCCTGTCTCGAGCCCCACGAGGAAAAAGGAAATCAGTAACAGTAGTAACTGGACTGGGGACATTTGGGGTGGACTTGAAAATAGCTGCAAAATTCTTCTCCTCCAAGTTTGCGTGTTCATCCTCAGTTACCGGTGATGATGAAATTGTCATTCAGGGGGATGTAAAGGACGAACTTTTTGATTTGCTCCCTGAAAAATGGCCAGAAGTAAACTAAGCAAAACCTACTACTACTTACTTGTCTCGTATTAAGAATGGCAAATTATGATAATAATCAAATTATTATTATTACATAGGTCGATGAAGATTTGATAGAAGACTTGGGAGATCAAAAACGATAATAACCACACCGAGCTTGGCTGAGTTCAAGCACAGTGCAATGATGCCGTGTGAATTTATAAATTCTCAATTTTATTGTTTACTATTTGCTAAATCGTCAATATTCATAATAACAAAATATTTAACATACAGTGTGAAAGTTTAATATTGAGCAAGATTCATAAATCCATAATTTGTAAATGCAAGATATTCATTTTTGGTACGCATTCATTTCATCCAATCGGAATTCCTAATTCTATAACCAGTATATAACCTTTACAGATTTAAGACTGGTTGCTTAACTGTAGTGTCACAAAACTTTAGTTATTATGCAATAATGCAAATATATTTAATTGGTCTTCATTTGTTTCCATTCCAATGTGCTCCAGTCCTTTAATGGTCTGCTGTAGAGCCAGATTGACACCAATATAACGGAATGGCACACGGTTAAACTCAAACTTGACCAGGGTGTAGCCGGAAACACATTCCAAGACATCTCAATTATTCCGAAAATAGCCAGCCTATCAAACAATTAACGTAACGAGACGTTATTTGTTAGTTTAATTTTTGAATTGCGGAACATAGGTTATTATATAAGTAGATGATAAAATCTCACTTGACTTTAACCGGCAGACGAGTTGACCAGAGCAGATACGGAATTGTGTGGTAGTACCATACATAAAATTGGTAATGCAGTGATCGACTGAAGCAGATTCCAATGAAATTGGAAACAAACAGAGGAAAGAGCACAAGCTGAGATCGGATTTGCATAGGATATTTTCCTGCTTTGGATTTTGAAGCGTCGTTAAATTTGGAGTAGGATTGTAAATAGCGCATCCATACAGGAACGAAGGCGACTAAGGCAAGAATATGCGCTGATAAAAGCCCAATGTGGAATATCCTGTTCAAAAATATGTCTTCCGGGAGGAATTTCCAATTAACAGTCCACTCAAACAAGAAAACCCGTCCAAGATCAAAAGATCGAGAAATATAAGACCATGGATTGACGAGTAAAAATGGAAGAGCCAACACGACCTATTCACAAGAATTCACATAATCTATGAAAACGACACCCAATCATCGAAATGAAATTTAGTTGTAGGTACCTGTAGGCTACCGCACACGGCAAGTTGTACGATGGTATCAAATAAACTTAGCTGCGTAAGGTAAATTGTCAGCAAAGCTGGTGCGTATAACAGAACATTCATTTTAACCGAAACTGCCAAACTGCATGTATCAAAAGTTTTTATTATTAAAACAATTAGTTATTCATGAGAAGGATCAATCACATACTTATGTATTTACATACCTGAAAGCTAAGCTGCCCAATGTCCATCGCCCTTCTAAAAACTGATTTATAGCAAAATAACACAGCATCATGGCGATTGGATCATTAAATAACCTCAGGACAAAAACTGAATGAATCCTATACGATGTGAAAGTTAAGAAAAGAAGAGTGTAAGGGGGCACCTATAACACAAATGCAACATACATGCATTACTATACAATAAACAAGTTTTCCATAATTTTTCTCATAATAAAATCTTCAAATCATACTTTTCGTGATTTGCTATAAATTTTGAAGACTTGGTAGACTAGAATCAGATACAGCCCCACAAAAATCCATTGAGCAGTTACAATGTCATTTCCATTATTTGTTACAAAATAAAAGAGTGAAAATATGTAGACGAATCCAGCAGGATACACCTGAAACAGATTGGTTATTAATTAACGGTTTTGCATTTGAGCGCATTTTGCTCTAAAATGTTCATTATATTTACCAAAGGTCCAGTGTCTCCCTTTAAATACTGGTAGTCCAGCGTTCCATTAAGAAAACCTTCCACTTCCTGCATGTATGCTTTCCAATCAATTTCAGTGTCTGCATAATTGATTTTTTAAATTAAATTATATTACACAATCGTGCATTTATATAATTTCAATTTCACGAATAGTAATTAGTAATCTTACATGGCCTCCATAGGACAATGAATCCATTGATCACAACTTCACAACACAATAGAATAAGAGCAATTAGCCATGTGTATTCTGGATCTGTGAGGACTTTCTTCCCAAAGGCCACATTTATATATTTTTTGTAGAAATTGAACAAAGCCATAAAAATGCTAGGTGTCCTCTCATCATCTTTCTTCCGTGCATTTTCTTCACCTCCGGTCGTTGTTTGTTTGGCTTTGGATCGTGTTTGTGGAGCCATTCCTATTGCTTTCTTTCACTTTCTCTCCACAGGAATCTTTAGTCATTTACGCCTGCAATGCATGTTACTCATTTAGGCACGTCTTGTAGGATTAAGCACAACCTAGCAATATTTACTAGGTTGAAAGGATAATTTGACTTACAGTCATTTTTCCTGAGGAGAAAGCAGCAGCACTTTCACTTTCACCCAATTTCAACTGTATGAATACGCTGACTACACTTGTTAAGCGCCTAGCTTATGTCGCATGCATAGGATGAAACAACAAGTACTAAAATCAACCGGCTAGTTGGCGGATGGCACTAGACGGACAGCATGTGAGATAATCTGCCCGAAATGATACTGTGGTAAAAAAACAAGACGTTGATCCAAATTTAGCTTTCAAGAGTTTGTCCCCTTTTCTACGAACACGTGGCTCGGCTCAAAACAATCCTCGGTAGAAACCCGATAAGAATAAAAATACCCCTTCAAGAACCGAGTGTACTGAACGTGATTTGCAACCAAAACACAGATACAACATACACACGAAGAACCGGCTCTCGAGTTCTTCCGTTTTTGACTTTTACATCCAGAGAAAATATGCAGCTCTTTACAATATGCATATGTGTGGGCTCGTGTTAAATGCTTTTACAGGCTTTCATCAATACTGGATTTTGCAGATGTCACGTCATCAGATTCCTATATAAACACATGATCTTAATTCTTTCACAATTGGGAAGGACACTTATTTTGACTCTTTTATAGTACTTCCCCCCAATAATTGGGATTAGCGACTTCGTGGCGCTGAGAAGAGCGGCAGGTCTGCTTGCCTCGCAGCCCTCTCTCCGCTGAGTCTCTCTATTGAGGGAGCGAGTAAAGCTGCGAACGAAGTGCTGCTGGTTTGATGAGATAGACGCCTCTCGGTGTAGATTTTTGGAAGTGAGAATCTTTGACAACCTTTTCCCAATATCTCTCCTTCCACCACCATTGCATTGCACTACTGTATTCCTATTTCATAGCCTTGAATAGGTATATACCTGCCTGCCTCGCTCTACCACCACCATCTAATTCTGCTAAAGTAAAAAGAAAAGCAAATCGTCAAAGAAATCACTTTACTTCATTTATTGGGATGTGTCTCCTCCTCCGAGCTAGTTGCAGATTCAATTAAGAGAAAGCAGAGAGAAACCGCTCCGCACGAAGCCACGATACAAACAAACTTTAAACACATGCCATTATAAAAGTACATTATTTGTTGTTGTTAAATGTGAACTTGTGTTTGTTTTTGAAACGTTAAACATGTGAAACAACCAACCATAGTTAAAAATGTGTTGATTATGTGTGACAATTTAAATTGTCTCAACAAACCAAACTTTTAAATTAGACAAAAAAATCAAATTAAAGATGATAACATTTAAACATTTTCTTGGATTGGTTTGTTGATTTGTTAAGAATGAACTGGATGGCTTATCCAAAATGTGAAAGTACATCAAGCCCTGAAGGTATGTATCATGTATATATACAAATAAATATTTGAATTTGAAGAAATTGTAAAGGAAATTATTCCTAAGAATAGGTTTGGGTTTTTAAAAACTATTTGTGACGTGAGATAGTATTGGTTAGAAATATATATATTTGTAAACAAAACAGAAAAACGTTTAAATCATTGAAAATTTAATTGAATTACAAGATATAATCAGAAACTGGAGGGACTGAATATTCGTATTGTAGGAAATTAACAATTTAATACTGAACAAATTATGGCATCACAATCAAATTGTTGGTAACATATTTGCGATTTTTAATTACATTTTTTTATCTATAATCGAACAGTTGTTAAATAATTTACATCGGATTGACTGAATCAATATTCGAACATAAGTCAGTCTATTGATACTACTCAATAAAACCGATTTTATATCATCCCATCCCAACTTTATAGTTTATTGCTACAAGTATTTGAGGTTTAATTTTATTTGGTTTGGTTAGTCTGGATTGCCCAAAAATTCTAACTTTCCAATACTGTAATACATACATATAGTGCAAGCCATTTCGGTTTACAGAAGCTGTAACTATTTGTTTTTTTTCTCAACTTTATTTATTTGGTCTTCCTGATTTTGTACCCCTTTCTTCCCTATCTATGTTTATAAACGTTTGTTTAACGTTCTCAGTCCATCATAACTTAGTGCATGGTTTAATGTTTGAAAGTAAAGATGTGATGTTGAATGGAAAAGGGACATTCTTTCTTTGACTGTTAAATACAGCTACATTACTATTGTCCCTATTTTTACTTTACAGGAATCGTACGTTTAAAAAAGATGTTATGCTCCCAGTCGAAAAGACGCATGTAATCTTTCTCACATTATCGGAGTTAACGCATGGAGAAACTACACTAATACATTTCTGCATTATTGTGCCGGCTGATAAAAAGTCGTTACTTCTCATTCACTTCATCCGGATGAGCTTCGTCGCTTCAGATACCTTATCTACTCGAGGATGGAACTATCAAAAATCCACACATGATAAGTATCGTGGATTTGAGACTGCACTATAAATGGAATTATTATGCATCGACAGTGAAAGTAATCGCGACAAATGCAGTTGAGGTGTCGTGTTTCTCACAAACAATTGCACGGAACTGCATGTCGGACGATCTTCCATCCCTCTATTAAATACTGTGTGGAACAGTGAAATTAGTGTATGTGCATATACTTGTAACATAAGACAACATGTTTTGAGAAGAAGGATACTCATCAAATCCATCAAGAATGGAAATGAATCTTCACAAAGATCCGGTAAGTGGACTTGCTATATTTTCAAACGATAAAAAAGTGTCATTCTCATCTGTGAGGTTTTTGATGAAGAAAAGTGATTAAACCAATAATTTCAATCATGCATACATTTCCATAACCAATCATGCAGGCAGATATATTGCACATCATTCGTTATAAATTAAATATGTATAACAAGCATACATCATTGGTATATTCCCGAACGTTTACTCAAGAATGTAAATACACTTGATGGGAACGAAGGTCATTTTTATTAAAGTTATTTTTCTCTGTTTTCGTCTCCGAGCATAATTTCTTGCTGAATAGCGATGATAAATATCTAGTCTTGCAAGAGTGCTAAATTTTCCCAGCTGCGTGCATTATTTTATAATGGACTTGTCATGTACGATGTCTTTGCATTTCTATTTCTGACATGACATAAGTATATATGGTTTATTCCAGTCGGCCTGCCCGACATGGTATAAAATGCTCAAATTCGACTTGGTTTACGACAATTGAAGACACACGTTAAACTTCATTTACTATCAATTTGAGGATAAATTTCTCACAAAATATTCTTTAGTAGATTATTTAGTAGTTCACTATGTACTGTACGCCCGTCGTGTATACCTTGTCCCGAATTAGTCAATGGAATAAAACAAGCATAATCGATGTCCGGTAAATAAATAAATGACCGAGGAGGATGAGTAGAACCCAAGGTTGTGCGAAAGTGAGATGAGAGAAACCTGTTAGCACATTAGTGTGAACCCCAAATAAGGCATTACTTCAATACGGACACGACAGCGCATTATTATGATCATCATAAGTAATGCCCTCAATGATTATAGAAAAAACATATTTTTTGAATTTATATAAATTATAAAATAATATTAGTTTGAATTCCTGGATTGTGAGGACATGGTTAAATTGCAAATATGGCAAGCTTTCGGAATACCTTATTCCTTCCTCAGGTCATTACAATTTGAGAAAATTAAACTGTATATGCTTTTTTCTTCGTAGTCTGCATTTTGGATACATATAGTAGGCAGCTAGCTTTCCAGTTATTAGAATCTACAATAGAATGGGCAATCATAGGCATGGATAGGTTTATGTAAAATACCTGAAATATTGTAATAGACGATGATGATGGACTTAACATACGAGTGCCAAATTATTTGCCTGTTGCTGGGTTGGTGGTATCAATCAAGCCAGTTTATACATACATACATACAGAGTACAGAGTAAGATAGGACTGTGTAATAATAAGCGTTGAGCTACATGCACCCATTTTTATCTGTTTGCTTTTTTTCATCTTGTGTCTGGTTAAATCGTTTGTTTACTTCTGTCTACTCAGGTTTGTTCTTCCCAGCTTAACTTACAAAATAATGATGTGTGATTGACGGAATTCGCAAAATGTGTGAAGGTTTTTCTATTTTCATTCGCTCGTATACACATCTTGCTAGAAAGAATGCTCCATCCATCCGTTCCATTCTCAGATGCGAAACACTAATTATAGTTGTGCGGGGGAGGATGGACCGTGTGTGATGATGATGAGCTGTTTCCAATTCAGGCAGAGCTAGTCCAGTTGCAGTGCTATTATCAACTTTTTGTTCATGCCTTTATAGCAAAAAGATAAAAGGCCTTCAATAATACATGCTCATTTTGTTTCACTAATTTCTATGTATGTATTCGGGATGATAATTCTCCCCTCCTCTCCACCATCGAATTGTGCACTGCTAGTTATTACTAGTAGTATATGTAATAATTAAGTGACCATAGGATTAAATTATGAACACCTTGCGGGCATAAATATATCTATGTAAGAACAACCTACCAGTAGTAACAAGTAATTATGTGAACTCCGAAGCTCATGTTTTTTGAGTTAAGGTTTAAGAAGCGACTGAATTTGCTTATTTTCTGTATGTAATTTCCATACCGAGAGTTTTCTGAATCTAAGGCATATACCATTTTATATCTTGAGTCCATGAAACAGAACATGGCAGACAGAATAATACAAGGCGGCACGAAATGCATACGTATTGTATATAATTAAAAAATGGGCAAGTTAACAGTATCTCCCCCCAATTGACAAAACATTCAAGTCATTAAATATAATCATGATGGCATCATTGCATGAATGATGTAATCCTATTTTAGCTTTTAGCATCACTTGTTTCTTAGTTTGCGTTCTCCATATATCTCATTTTCCTGCTGTAATACAACTTGGCATTTAAAGACCGGCAGATAAGTTCTGCTAGTAATCATCATGAAGACCACCACAATAAGCAAATTAAAGTGAAGGCATGGTTCAGAATAGTAATTAATAATGGTGGGCAGAAGAAGAAGCGGTATAAGCTTTCAGCGCAGCGAAATAAAAACAATTCACGGAGGAGCCTCCAAATCGCGAGTGAATTGAATTTATTGAAGGATGGGTACATAGTTAGTAGTTTACATAAATAAGTGAGTGAAGTTGCAAAGAGTGTGAAGCTATATTATTATTACTATTATGTTTTATGGATGAATTATGGACGTACGACGACTACTTGCCGTACAGTCGTCAATCGTCATCAGCCTTTTCTGAATCTTAAAGAGACATGTCCATCCTTTATTTCAATTCAAATAATCAAACGTTATCGCCGTCACTATCCATATTATAGTCATGGGTGGAGGAGAATTAAATGCAATTATAGAAAACCAAAAGCTGTGATATGGTTTGGTCTGGCGTTAGTCAACAGGTCGGCCCATATGTACGTACGTATGATCTAATGTCCGCATACCCATTTTAATTCTCAAGATGCTGCAAAAAAGAGGCATCAATTGATGCCTAGCCCAGACTTTTACTTGTGCTGATGGATGATGATAGTTATGTAGTGCCAATTCAACTTAAGCTTTGATCTATTACTAACTAACTGCGGCGAACGAACGGTTAGGGATGTAGGGTGGGTTTAACTGAGACTGTAATTCAACTCCTCAATACTTGCTAGATAGATATTTACTAACTACTCGCAGTATCTCATTCTTCTTTGCTGCCTCGCACCTTCTCTGATCATCAACTTCATTGTGTTATAAAAAATTGTACACATAATTTAAGTCAGGGCCACGTGTTGGGGGATGTCGCTTCACATTATTATACAATGAGCGTTGCGTCGTGGAAGTAGTTCTGATAGATCACATTTTGCGATATTCTCTCCTGGCTGAGCCACAACAGGTCTTTTCTGCTCAACATTTTGATATTGGTTAGTAGTAGCCAACAGGTTTATCTTTCTTCACTCTGTAAGCAGGTTGTTGGAGTGAAGGACGTGTGCGATCTGTATACGCACTTTTGGTCATTATTAATATGTTATTGGAATTTGTTTCCAAACTTAAACCCACTCGTATATACGCATACATAGTAATACATACACATATATTGAGCTGTTGAATAAATAGTTGCACAGTTGTTTTGATCTCTCTCCACAAATTTGTGATTTTCCCACCACATACATACATACATACATATACTCAAGAAATTGGTCAACATTTAAACATTGAACCTAAGCCAGTAATTTAATGAAAATAAATCGTGAACCAATAAATCGTGAGTGAAGAGTGGTTTCTGAACATAAATTATCAGCAATCGCCTTTATGCCTTACACAGTAGTGATTCGAAACGATTTAGATGTAGACTGTGAAAAGTGGTTCAAAAAAATAAGTTTTAAAATTAAGAAGGGCGACAATGACAAGAAGAAACTTTGCACGAAGCGATACAGATTGAAACGGGTAGTTCTCTATGTAAAGGAACCGTTCTCGGTAAGTTTTCATGTGGGGAATTCAGAATTATGCCTCTGCCAACCCAAATATATACATCAAGTCTTATGCGTGACCACCCATAGTAAAATAATTGCATGTGCCGTCTGAGCATATGCTAAAAGCGACAAGTCCAACAGATTATTCGATTCTTGAAATCTGTAGCCCTTATGTTTGTATCTAATTATTTGCCATTGTGCACGTCCGCCGCACGGGGTAATATTAGGATATTTTCAAAAAATCTTCTATTACAATGTTTACTACTTCAAACGCAAATTCAAATCAAATGGTAAAAAACGAGCCACATTTCATTTTTAGTCAGTCGTAAAAAAGTTGGATTAGGCTGAACCATACGACTATTATTAGTTGCATATACCATATAGCGATGATAATAACGTAAACTGGCGATGATTTGCAAAACAAATCTGCTTTTCTTGGCATTCAGTTTTATACTTTTTCCTTGTGATTTATGCTTCTGGAGAAATTTTAAGTTTAAGGTTGTCTTTGATGAGTAGTTTATTTAATGACTCTAATTTTTTAACACTTAAGTGATTGAACAACATAAATAAATGATGAGCGCACAGACAAATATTATGCAGAATGGATTTCTCATCACTCGACAAGTGTGGAAGTAAGTGGCTGAAGCTGAAAATGAAGTACAGGCGGTCTTTAACTTGAGCATACAATATACATATTATTACATACACCCATCTAGAAGAATCAGAGAGAGAGCGAGAGAATTGATTTACCGAACTATCCGTTGCAATGCTAAATTTAATTTACATCTTCAAGTATTATTATTTGTGCTAAAATCCAGCAATATGAGTACTATACACACCATTGGATATTTCTCACCATCTTCGTCGTTTACGAACTCTAAGAAGTCTTGATAGTACGGTGATACAGAGTCTAAAAAATCTTGATTTTTATTGTAAGCCATCTTATTCAGCCGTCGTCGTGCTCATTTATGCATACGGATTGATTGAAAAATTCAATTTGGTAGCAAATCCTGAAGGTTGAAGGTATATAGTTAAGTAAATTGGCGAAATTTGGCGGCTGAATGAAATAAATTCACTAGTGTCAGCAATGTACATATTTCATGTTCATGTCTCTTAAAACCTGGAGTAGGTAGCTTTAGCGCGTGAAAGCTTTCTGTAACCAACTATGTGCAACCGAAAGATCATGTCATGGGATGTTTCAATTTATTCTCATGACAAGGCTTGAGATGTCGGCTTGTCGGATTTTCACTTTTTGGTTGAAAAAATTTATTGTTCATTTTTCGTAGATTTTTAAGCGCTATCAATTTTCACTTTTTGGTTGTATCTCCATTTCTTTGTGTTTATCAGTTTCATTGTGAGTGTTGAATTTAACGATATCACATGTCCAAAAGTTGCAAGGCAGACATACATAAAACTTCAAAATTTGTTCAGCATTATGAATTTCACATTGAATGTGTCTGTCCCAGTTACGCTTATCGTCCGTACTATATAAACATTTAGTACAGCTGAAGCTTGCGTTACAATTAAACGCTGCTTTTCTCTTTGTGCAAATTTCTCTATGTGCCATATACTGCCGATTAATTGGACTGAAAGCCGGGCAATCAGGACAATACTGCATGTGGGTTTCAATAGAACCTTTGCATCTTTCAGTATGCCGGGTTAGCGTTGACTTCCAATTGCTTCGGAAACCACATTGGTTTTCACATTTATACGGTTTTTCATTCGTGTGAATCATAATATGTCTGGCTGTTTTTGCAGGGTTTGAATTTTTTAGATCTTTTTTGCAATACGGACAACTTGGAATGCTTGGATTGGTCAAATCAGGAAGGTCACATTCAATTTTTGAGGCTCGTTCTATGCTTTGATGTTCATCTGATGAACAACGAACGACACATTTCAAATTGATATGGTCGCTAAGATGTAAAATTGCATTGTCATAAGTGGGTTCGACCATGAAATTGAACTTCCTCATAGATTGAGAGACTATGATATAATCCAATCTGGATTTATAAATCTTGCTGGAGCCATGCGCAAATCTTGTAAAAATTTGTGTTGGCCATAGCTTGCTGCAAACATTTCCAAATTGGAATTCTGTGAATTTGTTTATGCATTTTTCATAATATAAACATCGTGGATCTGAAGATTTCATCGCTGGAATTATGTCAGTGTTCAACTTCATCATGTTGAAGTCTCCGACCCAAACAGAACTTATGTGTTTCAGTTTGTCGCATAATTGGCCGATTGTTGTCACCCAATTTTCCCGTTCGATATCTCTTAAACTGTCATTATTATGATGACATGGGAGATAAACATTAACAAAATAAATTGGGTTGTTTTCATTTACTGGATGCTTTACATTAATCATCATTATCCTTTCCATATTTTGCGTGGGGATGTGGGGAAAGCTTTCACTCATACGCGTATACTTTACTTTAAGACCCCTTCTGTAGAAAACGCAAACTCCATAATTCATGTAATCTGAATATTTAGCCTTTAATGAACTGTGGAATTTAGCGTTGAACCCATAGGTTAGAACCAGTTCATGAACTTTTTTCTCGTCGGATGGATTCAATTTCGTCTCTTGTATGAAAATTAAATCACTTCCTGCCCAAATGGGCATCATGCATCTAATCTTCACCTCATCAATTCCATTAGCATTCCAACAATGATAATGAAGGACAGAATCATTGACTGTCAATTTTCTTATTTTAGGTAATGACATTTTGAGGAAACAAATTCCTTCATTAATAACCGCACTAAGCAGCAATTTATGTGACCGCACTAAGCAGTAATTTATATAACTGCACAAACAGCAGTTGATTTTGTGACAAACCGCACTCAGCAGTTTTATTTATTATTAATTTACTTAAATAATATTCACTAATTCTAAGACTATTATTTAATTAAGTATTATTTTAAATATAAACTAACCTAAAATAAAACTAAACTAACTCTACGATTTGACGTCGGAACACACGACTCCGTAAATTTTCCTGTGAATAAAAACCAAATTTATATAAAATTATGCTTTTTTAACCAAGTTTAAATTGCTCCCAACTCACCTTAACCGAAATCAACGTCGACTAAACTAATAAAGCTCTGCTCTGTTCTGTAAAGAGATGAATCGCTGCAACCTCGATAAAAAAAGATTATTATTTATCTTTACTCACCTTATCCCGAACCGGCGACGAACAACAAAAACGACGAAAACAAGAAAAAATCCGGTCTACGCCGCTCTGCTATGATATGAGTTGATGGAATGAGAATCACAATTACAAATTAATCTTTGCTAACCTAGCTTTAAATGTATAATTAAATAAATTGATAATTACTCACGTTATCCTCCAACGGCGACCAACAACAAAGACGACGGACAAACCAACTTAGAATCCAAAGTATGCCGCTCTGTGATGAGTTGTGATGAGTTGTGATGAGACGGAATTTTGGTAAGTTAAAATTAATTTATAGTTTATTATTTAGGCTACATTATTCAAATAAATTATTACTCTTATCATTTCAGGAACCTAACTCATCACAGAGCGGCATACTTTGGATTCTTAGTTGGTTTGTCCGTCGTCTTTGTTGTTGGTCGCCGTTGGAGGATAACGTGAGTAATTATCAATTTATTTAATTATACATTTAAAGCTAGGTTAGCAAAGATTAATTATAAAAAAAAATTCAGAATGAGTGGAATCCAGCTACCCATTGCTCTTCTTCCAGGTCAAGGATATACCTTGACCGTTGAGTCGGTTGGATGGGACAGTGGAAGAGGAGCAGGTGGTGGTAGAAGAGGTGGGGGTGGACGAGGAAATGGGGGTGGGCGACGAGGTTGGGGTAGGCGACAAGGTTGGGGTGGGCGACAAGGTAGGCGTGGACGAGGAAATGGGGTCGGAATTGGTAAGTCGGATTTATTAAAAATTATTTCTTTTCTCATGACTACCTGTTACATTAATTACAGAAAAGCGAAATTGTTACAATTGCGGTAGGAAGGGGCATTTGGCCAGGTAATTAATATTTAAATTGTCATTAACCGATTTATCCACTTTAATTGCTTCTTTATTATTTAACTAGTAAATGCACATTTCCCAACAAAGTTCGTGTTCCCGGTTCGTCCGGTGGTGGTGCTCCAGCTGTTGGGTCATCAAACAGTACCCACTGTTCAGTTGACTCTTCCACTTCCGTTTCTTCTGTTGCAGGTAAGCAATCAAAAGTCTCCAGTCCTAAGACATGAATAAAATAAATAATTATTTTTAATTTAGAACAATTCAAGGCCATGGTCATGGCAACATCTGTTCCTTCTCCTGAGTCCGTAGCAGCAATCAGGTCCGCATATGAAGATGAACTGCTTCAAGATGAGGATGATGATGAAATGGAGTTTGTCTTCTGCGCCTAACGTAGGGACAATCCCGTCGTTATTAGTGAAACGATCAACAAAATCTAGGTTAAATCTCATCATCATCTTTCGTCGGTTAATCTTACCTTCTGTATAAAAACAAACTTTTAGTGCGCTCATGAAATCAAATTCCTATTATATTATAATAACCAGTATGTCCACTAACGGGAGAAATGTGTCCTCCTGTTTTCGTTGTGTTACGTTCTTACTGCCGTCATGTATATGTTGTATTAATCAATATTTCTTACAAATATTCCATATGCGTTATTTAAGAGAGATAATATTCTGTCGACGTCATATGTCGTTGAGTACGTAGAACCCTATCGTATCGTATTATCACCTCCTCCATGAAGAACTATTTCTTCGCACTATGTAATTGACTAAGGTGAAAAGTCTCACGGTATATATGCAATAAATTTTAAAATTTGCTAAACATCTGTGTTGTGTACCATGCACTTGTCTATTTACATATATTCAATCCTTTAATCAACATTAGGAAAAAAACATCCTCTACTCCACACAATTAATCCGGTTTACATTAAGGCACTTGTTTATTTGTTTATTTCGATTTCATTGGATTGAATGAATAACAATATGTACAGACCGAGTTATACTTTGGATGAATAAATTAATTAACTCTGGATACACCTGGATTAGATCAACATTTATACGTACAAAGTTATTCGCTCACAACACACTAATAGTCGTTATACATATCGGCACTACCTGACGCTATTCGATGTCCATTTTTTGACCAGCAGAAGTTAATCGAATATTTTTCAAACCCGTGTGAATGACCACTAAAAACTTTCACGGAGCGATTGGCTGGTGAAAAAGAACGTACGTCCCAAACTCGGAGAGTATTATCCATCGAATTGTTCAAAAAGTATATGTAAAAATTAAGACAAAAATATTACATTATTTTATTTCATAATTTTCCATAATACTTGCTCCTGATAATCTTACCTTCTATCGATAACTTTAAGTAGCTAATCGTGTCCTTATGGCCGTATAGAGTTCGAGCTACAGAGGCATTTCTCAAGTCCCACGTCTTAATTTCATTATCAATCCCACCGGAAATAATTTGCTCTTGATTTTCACCAAATGAAATGGCCGTCACTTGATATTCAGAATTCAATTTGATGACGGTTGCCACTTCAAATATAACAGCCTCTCTCAATTCTGACATTTAGGTTACAAAATCGGATTTAGATTTCTGGGTAGGATTTGCAACAACAAGTCTCCGATGAAAGGAAGCGAATGACACTGGAGGAAATGTTGAGTTTTTTAAGATGCCGTTTCATTCAAGTGACATGCAAATTTCAAGTCTAAATTTTCGCATTCCTTAATTGCTCTTCTTCCTCTGATTTTGTTACTACACTTTTACCAGTGTTAAGCACGTGTGTATTCTGCTTTGCTTTAGCGTAATTAGGGTAACAAAGCCTTAATTCTTACGAGCATGCTGATTGACAGATCTAATGATTGAATACTGCTACATACATACACCTTTGAATAATGTGGTAGCTATTTATTGCAGGAATCTTGTTTACATGTACATACTATCATCACTCAAAGTTGTCGAAAAATTCCAAGAAGGTTCGCATCACAATAATTTAGAACAAATCATTTCACGCTTCATCGCGGCTTCTTCCTCGAACTAAATATTGTTCTAATACATGATCAAGTTGCAAATTTAGTGTTGGAGAACATACATACATACACACACATACAATATTGAATGAGAAATTCTGATGTTTTCTTTCGTCAACTTGAAATATATGTATATATCAATGCTTATGTTTTGAGGGTGAGAGAATATATAGGATTTGGAGGTAGGCTGTTCAAGAAAAAAGTTTCATGTCACATTTTTACACGGATATTGCGTCGTCTACAGTTGAGGATACCAAGTTGGACTGTAAGTCATTATAAGCAATAGATAAATAAGAAGCGTGTTTTGCAGACTAAACCAAAGTATTTTAAAACCAACCATAACCCGATAACCCCCAACCCACGATCGCCATGTGGTAGTGTAGTACATGCCGTCGTATGCATTTAGTTTTTCGGAATCGGAAACGCCTGCACTGCACCCTCGCTCATCCAGCTCTTTTGCATGAATCTTGGCATGACATATTTGAAATGAAAGCGAGCATATCACTCTCCATTCACAAAACTTTGGCAAACGACCATGTTCGTAAGACAGGAGGGAGTGTAGTTGCATATTTGAACCATTGCACCTCCGTCGGAAGAAAGCATAAGCTGCGGGGATATGAAGGGAATGAAACTCCTTTGAGCGAATGAATATGTACAAGTTCCTGACTGATACTCCAATAATCATGTCTCCCTCTTTCTGGTCATCATAATTTTACAGTTTACTAGAGTTTAAGATATGGTTCGTCATGCAATTGATAAAATGGACAATGCCACTTGTGAGAGATTTTCTAATCAAATTGTTTACTATTTGTGACCAGATTAAGACTGCAGTTGTGTTTGTGATGAAATATCTAAAGCTACAAGTTTTAGATGTAGAACGTGTCTGTACTATTTGTTGAATGAGTATATATGTAGAGGTTAGACTAGCTATTGGCTTCTTCTATGTAATTTTGTGTCATGCCAGTAAAAGCAGAAGTAGTCTAGTCTAGATCTGTAAGTTGAATGGTGCTAATAGTTTCTGGAGTGACAAAGTAGTTAAATAGTCATTCCACGAGTCCCATCTAGTTTGCTGCTCCAATTTAAATATTTCACTCATTATTTCTGATCAACACAACCTAATTTGTGAGTGGTAACTGTGAATTCTTTGTTTCTTCCGAGCGACTAAAGTTCTGTTGGTTTAGTGTGGTGACGTAGTGTTAAATATTGTAGCTTTGTTCCTGCTCTTATAAATTTTTACTCGTGTTCCTCGACTTAAAAAGACATTTCATAAGTGCATAAAACATACATAGATAGTGATACGACAAGGCGATATACAATTTTTCGAAAAAAACTTTGTCATCTCGGACCACCTGTAGTAATTCTGACCATAACTACAAAAACTTTATGTATGTATATCGCCTTTGATATTATTGCGAATATCTACATGTACAATTCGTAAAATAATAATGTGTTGCTGAACTGAACACTATTTTGAGTTACTTGATTTACTTGTTTGACTCCCCCTCTGTCAGTTGTCAGTTACTGTTAATGAACTATTCATTTTGTTTACACCTTGCATTCATTTATCGGGAATTTGCATGTGGTTCATTTCGCTCATATAATGTTTTCCACACTTTCCATGACTCATCGTCATGTACAGTTTTATATCATTAGTTTAATTATTCTGCTTAATTTGTACTTGACAAATAAAGCAGGGTGAAAATAAGAAATGGCTCTTGATTGTAAATCATCGCTCTACGAGTCATCATCACGAAGTGGATAATGAGCAATTTTTTGCTCTAGAGTTTCAAACTCATCCGATGAAATATCAAACAAATTGGGTTAGACCGAGCTGGCAATCAATCTCTCAGGTAGGTTATATACCTGACGACTTTTTACACGGATATACGTATTCAATGTGTATTTTAAGCAGTGAGTCAGCAGTAATAATAATAATGTTCTTTTTTGCAAAGGACCATTACAGCAATAATTTTTGATATTGCCAGAGTAAGTTTTGATCAAATCAAAGGGGTAACACACCGTACATCATCATCCTCATTTTCATGCTGAACAAGTAGCAAATCTTTAATGATTCACAACCATTTGTTATGCTTTTTTTGTAGGAAATCCAGGTGTGATGCGCTGAGTTGTTGTTGCATGTAGGTAGACACAAAGTACGTAAACATAGAAGCTGCGTACATACATAGCTTACATATTTAGTAGCTTAAAACATGTCCTGAAATGTTAACATTCTTTATAAAGTAAAACGTGGCAGGATTACGGCAACTGTTGAGTTTAGTGAAGTGTGCAGAGCAGCAGGATGGCAAAAAGGAAAGCTTATCCCTCCCAACAAATGGTATATGTATCTACGTATACAATGAATTGGTGCAGAATTCAGTTTTTGCAGCAGTAGTCGACTTTATTTCTATTGTTATCGCGAGCTGTCATGTTCGTACTGTGTCGAGGGAATGAGGCAGTGGGAATTGTGATAGGGAGTAAAACACGAAAAACGATGAGGTACTGTTATAATGGGAAAGAGGAGTAGTGCAACCTCCTCCTCCCACTCTTGCTGCTGTGATTATGATGATGATGATGATGTTACCGATGATGATACAACAAGACCGATGCGATAGTGTCACAGTGATTCTTGTTGCAAATAGCAATCAAATTGCTCAGTCGTCGTCCTAGCGTGAATCTTGTCGTCGTTCAGATTAGATTCGAATTTGAGATCTCATCATTCCTTCTGCTTGCACGACCATGGCAAGCATTTAATTCGGCAGAATAATAGCTGCGAAAAGTTTTTTAAGCTGTAATTTATAAAAGTGTAACAAATAAGTACAAAGTTTAGTGTCGATAATAAGCAGGCTACTAGTTTAAAAGTTTTCCTCTCAAGGGCATTTATTAGCATGTGCATACGTAGTCAATGCCAATTTAGAATAGATTTGTGTTGCGAAACGTTCTTTTTATAAGTGTACAATTTTTTGACTCATTTCCCATTAGCTGATAAAGTTCGGATTTCGAAAATGATGATGTGACTATACTTGGAAAAGTGTCAAACTTATATGTCTCAATAATTGCACCAGTGCCGTGCTTCATAGATAGTCATGAGAATGAGGTCGACAGAAGTTGTGTCAATACAGGCAGATATCCTGAATTAAGTGAGTTTTAACTAAAAGTTATCCAACAACAATCATTAAAGGTATCCATCCTACTACTTATGTATGAACTACTTATTACACGCTTACTACCCAATTAAATAGTTCAACAAAAGTGTTTGCATAAAACGTACTTCGCATATATTCCACGAAATTACATTTCTTTCCAAGTTTGCATAATCCTAAATATTATACGTGGACATTGTCATCTACGTATAATGATACGAAAAAGTTTAGGTTACTCTTGAAATAAGTTTAGTTACGTACATTAAAGAGATAATAAGATTTGCCAAAAAGCAAATCGCCATACGAGGTATTTACGCCTAGTTTTGAAACCCTTTGCACAATGAAGCTCGATTTCAAAATCAACGATTTTGAAAAGAAATAAACGATTTTCTATGCAAAATCAAAATGTGAGACAAATTGAGTGTTGCTCATCATCATACTTTTTTTCACTTGGTGGATTTAAACTTATCCCTAGTTTTCGTTCGAGTTAACCATAATCACGCAATTAAGAAAGATTAAAGAAATTTAGGAATAGAATTTGTCAGTATATTGACTTTGACATTAGGTTCGCATTAACTTGTTTCGTCTTCTTTTTGACAAGTCATGGTGAATATTGGGGTTTATGCACTTATTTCATGGCTCTTGAAGAATATAACAATGTTAGTGCATATATAATTCTTTGTCATGGTCTATGTCAGATCTATTGCGAATATTTTATGACAGTTTGTGTTAATTACAGAGTGGCTTTGGCCTGAGACGTGTGAAGATTCGAAGGGAAGACAATGGATTTGGATTCACATTGTACGCAACACTAATAATACATATACTATAACACTGTATATAATGAATTAACAATAATGCGCCCAACAAATAATTATTTTTCGAACTTGGCCAGAAGGGTCAGTTCCTATTGAATCTTATCAAAACTTGACTTTTATCTAAACTGACTGAGACGCTGGAAAGAGTGCGCATTTGTTGAGCTCATTATTGTTCACGTGTATTTAAAAGATGTTCAACTAATTAACAATTCTTAATGCAGGCGACATTTTATCGTGTACCCCCCTGAGTTGTACAATAATGTAAGTTTATTGAAAATTTGTTACTTTTAATAGTAGTACCGTACGTACTATGCAATCATGGCTGCTTAGAAATATTCTTCAAGGCAAACATGTCAGGTAACTCTGACTGAATTGCAGGATTCTCAGGATGATGAGAGGAGAAACCCAAGTTTTTTGGTAAAGTCGGCAACCGCAGTTGATACAATTTTTGTTCGTCATGTTGTTCCAAACGGTCCTGCTGAGCGTGCAGGTTTGTGCGTAGGTAAGATGATCCACCAATTTGCACATGTCTGTATATATATAAATATATAAATAGCGTTGCCTTTTTTGGTTTAAAAAAATTTGAATTGATTAAGTTTACTGGCTTTTCACAACATGCATTTAGTTATGCAAAAAACAATTCACTTTGTAGCAGCAGAGTTTTCCGATACTCGCGCACGCATATTGACAATATTTTGTTATTAGCACTTTTAAGTCGCAATTTTGATTTTGTCAGGACTTGTCCTCTTGCTTTTTCATGCGACAATTATGACTACTGATCACGTTGAATGAAAAACTTGGTTGATGATCAATCGCATTTTGTTTTGTTTTACTGATTTGGTTTGTTTTATTTTTTTAATCAAACACCTACTACCCGCATTTCTTGGTTTGCCGTGGTTGGTTCTATTTTTTGCCCTCCCTGCTGCCTTATTGCACTGACACGACGTGCATCTTGGAATGTGCTGCTTGGAATCCTATTCAAAATCCTTAGGTGACCGCATTGTAAGCGTAAACCGAAGGACAATCTTCGGACTCAGTTACGGTAAGTCATTCGGTAGTGAAAATCCCGACATTCACTCTTATTTACAACGAGACTACGTAAATTAATAGGCTTTAAAGTTTTACAACTTTAGGTTCAAAATCTACAGTTCATAGTTGAAACTCGTGTTTTGACACAGTAAAAGATTTTCGATCCTGAAGCACCTGGATTTTATGTAACAGAGAACTCTTCTAGTGTAGTCCAGATTTAAATAGGTGCATTCCATCATTCAAAATGTAATTTCAATATATAGTGCATCGATCAACTGTTTCTCTGATTTATATGATCTATTTTATGCGATTCATCTTCCTCAAAAAATAGAATGCTTAGTTCTGAAGCACAAATGGGAATGAGTGGCACTCGGTGGAGAAAGCAGGATTTATCAAAATAGAGAGGTCTTGGCGTGAGAGAATATGCATTGCAATTCCATCTTCAACAATTCTGGTTATAAAACTCAAGCTATTAACATCAAAAATCAAATCCAATTATTATGTAACAATTGACCTTTCAAATATATATTCCAACTATTCAACTAGACTGTATGTATCGATATTTACGTATGTAGCTCATTAGAATTCACATGTAGGATTCAATCGTGTTAGATCTTAACACAGAGTTAAGAATTTAAATAGGGTTGTATGATCTAATTTGCATAGATTGATAATATATTGAATGCACGACGCACCTTTACTTGTAAATATGTATAATAATGCTACCATTTGATTTTTGAAGGAATTCTCTTTATAAGAAACCGTACATATAATCCATGAAAGATTCCTTAATTTTATATCATTGTTAGTCCCTGATTGGGAAATTTGAGACTGGTGAAAGTGGTATATATTTACATTGTCGCATCACAGCTATGTCATTCTTGTATGCGTTTTATTTTTATTGTTATTTTTCATTCTTGTTTATTACACTACAGACAATGTGGTACAATTGATTCAAAAAAGTCCACACGTTCTCCGCTTGGAAATAACTCCCAAGCAATACGATACTTTGCAATTGGTAAGATGCGCATATGTAATAATAAACACGCAAAATTACAATTTAAATATTAATTCGCTTCAATCCTTGTTCACTGCTTTGAATGAAAACATGCAGTTTCCTTTGCTATTTACTTTTGCTAGTATAATTAATTTACGTATTAGTAACATTCTCCTTTTGAACATGTTCAAACGTGCCTTACGTACTTATATACCAACGAACACGTATGTCTAACGATTGTGTTATTTTTATTTCCCAAAGTTTTTTGAGGATACTGCATACCGCCCAGAATCTAATTTGGTTCCAGTTCAACCCCAAAGGCAACGTCACATACATTACGCTCATCCAACGAAAGCTGGAACTTATTCAGATAATTACAGTTACCCACAGTTGGGTTATCTTCACCCCAACAATCAGTCGTGGTACTCAAATAACTCTAATCGTGACCCAATCTACGGATACCCCAGCAACAACGTATCGACAGAGTCGTTCTTCTTAAACCCAGCTGCAGAACAAGGTAGTATGTCCTCGCAGCCGCATCCCTCGGCCGGCTCAAACCCGCAACTGTTTTCTCATCTGCCACGTCCCACCCCTTACAAATCATCTACCGTTTGGTCAGGTTCGAACCAACCCTCAGTCAGGAACTCGGGAGGAGTAACTGCAAGCAAGGCACAGAACAAGGTGAACCAACCCCAAACGTACTATCCCTTTAACCAAGACCTGCACTCATCGACTTCCTTGGGTACAACTCACCTCTGGAAAATCTCGGAAATCAAAGAGGAACCAATAAATTCAGCTGGTGCCAAAAGTGCCGAGAGCATTCTTACCTCTGCTGGTTGCAATTCTGTGGAGTTCCAAGATCATCATGACACATCTCAACGCTCTGAAAGCATGGAATGCCTCAATAGAGTACCTCCAATCCAACCTGACCGAAACACGAGCACGAGTGGTCACTGGCCCACCGTAAGACCGGGTCAAGGTCAAAGGTTCATGTCCTACGATGAAAACAGTCGCCCGGAAACCTCTAGTCACAGAAGGGAGTCTACTGGTTCAATACCAAATTCCAATGTTCAAAGTGCTATGGTTGTAACAATGGCAAGCACAAATTCAAAAATGCAAAGTTCATATCAACCCGAATTGAGCGATTCGGGTTCGTCTTTGGGAGGCTATAATAGTTCTGCCGGCAACACGGGGACAGGGTATGAAACTAAACTAGTTGACCGTATTCGTCGAAGTTGTGAACAGAAGGAAGAATTTCTCAAAAGGCCCAATCAGCCCATGCAGTGGGCCCCCATCCAGTCCTCCTCCTCCACTGGATTTCCCAAAGAATTGTACGCGCTTCCCCAAAAGTTCGAAAAAATCCCATGGCCACCTGCAAACATTGTTCCAACAGTTACCACTGCGAAACCCCCACTGATTCAAAGTTGTCACGCAAATTCAGGGAGTTTTGATAGTCAAATGAAAAATATGAACAACGTCTCAGTAATTAATGTGCAACACTATCAAAATCCCTCCACACCTAGCAGAACTAGCATCAATCCTGTATCAGAAAGTGACAGTTTTTCTGCAAGCCCAAGTAAAGATGGTGCTTCCTCTTCTGCAATGTACCAACCTTCACAACCCCGAAGCCTGAGTCCCTCCTGGCTCGAGTACGCCCCCAGAAATAGGACAGTTATCGTAGGAAGTAGAAAGTTGCACTGTGATCCACCCCCCAATTGGAATCCAGAATCCCAGAATTTGGAAGGGCAGCAGCAGCAATACAACGAGATGAGCAGCAGTGGATTGAGTCCATCCGCAGACGGTACTACATATATTAACAACAATATACCTACTTAAGTATTTCGGCTTTTATTTCGCTAATTACAATACGCTAAAATAAATTAACTAACAAAGGATAAGGGGGAAAGTGACGAATAATTAATGTTACTAACAAACAGGTGCTGGGGAAGTAAAATTAAGACCACGCAACGATGACCTTGGTTAGTGGACATGACAATTATGCATTGAGAAGCTTATTTATTATGTATGCAATCTCTATATTTTGTCTCTACATGAAATGATTTTTCTAGATGACACGGAGAGATTGGTTCGCCGTGTGTCGTATTTGAAAGCAACATCTTCCCCGATTGACATGGATAGGAATAGTACTAGTCCCACTTCACCTACGTTAAGGTATGATCTGTCATTCTCCAATTTCTTCGTCTACTTAATTACCGGTTATAAATAAACTCATGAGCTACGTAAAAACAAGAAATCCATAATTACATGTGTACATATACCAAGATTCCCATATCCATCTGTATAATAAATATGTATGAATCTATATTTGTTCGTCAATTAAGTAATGAGATTATCGAAATCATTTCAACTGAAAACAAATTATATGTAAACACAGCTGCGGCGTAATTAAAGCTACGTCCCCCATGTCGGATGTGGGTCGAAGAAGGAGTGTAGCAAATAAAATTTCCGCAGAATTTTTCCCAAGAGGCAGAATAATTCGTCTAAAGCAATTTTTTGAAGAACGAACTCAGCCATCAGCCAAAAGTTCCATCTTTAAGTTCAGTGTGGATAGGTTGGACGATTTCCTCTTATGTGGAGTGGCTTTGACATTTCTCATTAAATAACCCATTTATTTGTTCGTGAAAGTTGTCGCTACTTTGTTTTTCATTATTATGATTATTATTATTATTGGCAAGATTTTCATTTGAGTTTTGCAGTATAATTGTTTATGTAAGGATTGGTTGAGTGGAAATTTGTCGAGTTTATAATAGTTGTTGTCCACGTTGAATTGGATGATTACAATAATGGTCTGTTGTATTGTATTGGTGGTAATTATGTATGTAGGCTTTTAGTTAATAATATTTGAGTCGGTACTGACATATATTTTGTGATTTTTTGATCACTATACGATTGGTTTGGCATTCCAGTATTTGGTTTTCTTTTGCACCAACGAAAGTTGCGTTAAAATATTAACATGAATTTTATTGTTGTATAGCCCAACCTCCGAACAACACCGTGGATTTGGAAGCTTACTGGGGGTGCGAAGTCTTGATGACTCGATGGTCACCCGTGACGGCCAAATTCATTACAAAATCAGATTAGGAGAAAGCAAGGTAAATTATTGCATTGAAAGTACATAAATTAATAAAACAAATATTGTGTTTAAATCCCAATCTGGGGTTTAAAACCCCAGGTTCATACAGATAATTAATGCAAGTTATTGTATCTATTTATTACAACACAAATATTGTTGTGTTAATTTCAGAAGGGTGGCTACAATCGGTCTTGGAGACAAGGTTGGGCGCAGATACGTCAAACGGGATGTCTCTACATGTAAGTAGCCAATTTATTTATCTGTTCGTCAAAACAGTTTTGACTCAAAATCTGTCGCTACTTTTTTTTGTCATTATTATTAATGCAAACATTTTAATTTGAGTTCTGTAACATATTTGTCTAAATATTTATAAAAAGTTGGTTCGTGGGTTGGTTGAATGGAATTATAAAAGTATGGTATTGTCCACGTTGAATTAGATTATATTATTATAATAATAGTAACTTGAGACATGTGTGCTTCGAAAGTGAATTAAACAAGCAAGCAAAGTGAGCAGATGAGACAAGTCTGAACCTGAGTCCAACTGTTTGGATAGCGAGAGTCTCACAGTTAAACAAATCTTGTCAACGTTTCTTCTTCGTCTCATCGTTCGAAATAACTTCTGGTTACACGTTATCATAAGCTGATAAGATGGATAAGAGTGACGAAAGAGGTGGAGAAGAGTCAGCCGTGCTGAAATTGATAAGCAACCCTTTACCGGCAGTAATTCCATTGGGAATGAAACGCGTAAGAAAATTTTAAAAACATTTAAATTATTTATGATGACGTGATTTCCTATTGTCATGTTAACAGGTGGTGGTGGGACGATCGCCCACTTGTGACATCGTCCTCAACCTTCCTGAAATTTCAGCACAACATTGCTACTTGGAGTTTAACGACAACAGATGGTTTATAAAAGACATTGTAAGTTTTGTCGCCACGCTTTAATTTTATTTGCCAACTGTTGGAAAATTCTGGTTATAAACAATTGTTATTTTTTCAATTTCTTCAGAGTTTGAACGGAGTTTGGGTGGGAGGTGAGAAATTGGATAAAAACAAACCACGACTTCTTAATCATCGAGATTTGATAAAATTCGGTCCGAAACTAATCTATCGTTTCAACAATAACCAAACGAAGGAAAATGTTGCTGGTAAGAATACCTCTTCCTTTATCTTCCAGCTGTTGGATTTCATTTAGTAATTATGACTATAGTTTTTATATTTTTGTAGAAGGGACGGTCTTTCTAGAGGAAAGGTGGTGGAACGAGAACGAGCTGGGAGGGCGTTGTTTCATTATGGGGAGGTGGTGGAAAAATCTCCAAGAATGGCTGGACGAGACAAACCAAAAATTAGGTAAGAGGATTGTCTTCTACCAAATGATATTTGGTTGTCCATTTACGTTTTTATTGGTTTTAGAATATAATGGTCCTCAATCGCCGCAAGCTGCCGAGGACGTTTCTGAACGAATGGAAGAAGAGAGCAATATATCCTTAGGTAAATTCAAATGCACTGAATATTCTAATCCAAATGTTGGAGTATCGTTACTTATAAATAATCATGATTATATTGTTATGCAGAAATTGAACAACCTGTTGCAAAGATAGCTCGATTTGAGGACAGTGTTGATGTTGGTGGCGCAGGTGATAATACCACTGGAGATTGGTTATAAACTCATTTATAAACATCCAATTGTAAAGTAATTCATGATATTTTTATAAAATAAGATACATACATCAAAAGACGACTCTTCTGCTGGCTGGCTAAACCACATCCTACTCCTATCTCGACATGGAAGCCACCAACCCAGGGACTTGGAAAATTGTTCTGTTACATAAGGGATCAATTGAAATCCAAGGGTTGGAGAGGAAAAGAAGAAGATATGAAATTGAGCGCAGAGTACAAAGAATGGTTAAGGACCTTAACAGGAATTAAAGCATATCAACAAAATCTGAAGGATGTGGATCTGAATTTCAACGGGATGCCAATCTTCGTATATCTTTATGAAGGCGAATTATTTTACGCTATTGGAAAATTGAAAAAAGGAATCGATCCAAAAATTGGAAGTACATCAACAATAATTAGAAATAACTACGAGGTGAACAGTAGTGATTGGGGTTCTGTTTGTCATGATTGTCGTTGTTGGAAAAAAAGCACGACAAAGAGGAAATGCGAAGAACACGGTGAGCGGAATCAAGAACTATTTTTAGTCATCGATAGACACAACAAAGACAAAGTGGTTCTCATGTTGTTTAACACACGGCCCCGATCCTCTGATCATGATCAAAAAAGTTTAAACGAAAACATTCATTCTGCGGAAGTTCTACAAAGTCGATCTCTTCGGGATTACATGACGGAAAGAGGAGTCCCTGAATTCATTCCAAAAGTCAAACGTTTAAATCAGTACAAAGCCATGAAATACACTGACAAGAAGATCCAACAGTTGGAGGAAAAGTACTGGGAAGATCGATTGTCGAAAGTTGAATTAGAAGTTTTGGAAAAATGGAAGCTTCCGAATTCGAAAAAGGATGTGTATAACCAAATATATGACACCGTCCAGGTATTTATATTGAATTTAATATTTATAGTTTTCAATAGTTTAGTTTATTTTGATTATTTCTTTAAAGGTGGCAGTTTCAATCCTTGTCTCCACCCACAACACGAAATATCCTAACAGAAAGAAGTTCCAACTCCTGCAGAAAGAAATCGAATTCAAACATATGTCTTTCCAACTTTTGGAGAAGATTCTTAGTTACAACAATTTTAACATCATCGTTACGAATGAAACGATTTATGCTAAACTTAACCGGCAGAATTCACCCTTTCTCCCTCCAAAGGGCATAAACAAATTCATTTCTTCCACCTACTTCATGCTTGAATACGACGAAGTCTACGATGGACTTAGAACGTCTCGAAGTAAAAAATCGAATGCAGGGAAAACTTCATCTTCAAAAAATTCCAAAATTTCCGCACGCGGACTGATAGTGACCGAAAAAGACCCGTCCAATTCGCTACATACTATTGCTTTGTACCAAACAAAATTTGACGAAGAATCCAACGATTGGAAAATAGTTAAATCCATCTCGAATACTAATTCAGAACTTAACAATGAACAGGAAAGAGTAATCGATTTTGTGAAGATTGATTGTGCGAAAGCCGAAACAATGGGCCACCTGTCCAACATATTTGGAATGATAACAAATTGTACCATTGACGGAATCTCTCTGAAGCTAGCCAACAAGAAATTCTCCCATTTTGATGAATATGAGAACCATCTGATCCAATACTTGGAAGACCTATTTGATTTTAAATTTGAGAAAAGAATCACAATCTCCTCTTCTCCAATTAAACTGGATTCTCTTGGACAACCTCTCTTTGATCTCCAAGCAGTTGAACAGCTTATTGAATGAACATTATAAACAAAACTGTTTAGTACTAAAAATATTTAATATCAGAAGCATAGCAATCCCTCCTGCAAGTACAAACACAAATCATTTTAGACATAATTTCCAATCAGCAACAACATTTCACACTTCAAATCATTAATTTCCTGTTTCTAGTGATAAATTTACACTTAATTAAGGGAATTGATTTCTAGTTAAGCACTGAAATACCTTTTCATAAACTACGCCAAAGAAATCAATTTCAAAATGATTTAATTTCATTATGCTTTCATTACAGATCCAAAGAACCTTTGTCGCGAGAGTCAGCAGTAACACTTACTGAAGATGCTGTGATATTAGCTCTTAGTTTAAGAAGTGGAGTTACCGTGGAGCAGGCGGAAGACTACTCAAAGAGAAAATATGTACTCAGGATAAAGACAAGTTACTCATCGCTGGATATTGCGAATATTGCGGAAAATACCTTTTCTAATCCCACCAATGCTCACCCACCACCAATCCTTCACTCACGTATTCATTCCACTCCGGTTGAAATACTGATTCAGGCAGACGATATGAATGATTCTGGTTTATGGCTGCAATGTCTTCATGCACAGCTTGAAAATAATAACTATTGCAGTGGAAATGCTAATAATAATTTGGGCATCTACTTTGGACCAGAATTTTGTCATCTAACCAAACCCAAATCTTTGCTCACATCATTCCTTCCTACCCCAACAACCACTTCATCATCCCATGTATCACAATCCAGTGAAAAGACGACCACTTCCTCTGCCACAAATAATAACACGTTGCAGATCGGAACCTCAAATGTACCTCAAAATTCAGCAAGTCCAAAGAACAAAACTTGGAAGGGGAAAGTTGCTCGTCAATGGAAAAAAGTACATAACATTATCGAAACTGGAGGAGATAAATCTAGTCCGTATTCTTCCATGGGTCCTCCAATGGGTGCAACTTTTGGAATTAATCTTGAAAACTGTCCTCCTGGTGAGTAATGCTTATTTGAATATCGCAGTGTTTATAGTTTTCTAATACGTAAAATATTATTATTACAGGTGAAAACAATCCCTTCATTCCACGCGTAATTGAGTATGGGTACGTTGAAATTATAGTTTGGATATATTTTGCACATATGGATTCAATTAACCACCAAGCGTTACAATAAACGTGTTATTTCGGATTCCGTAATCTATAATTTTTTGTACTGCAGGATTGAGGTTGTGGAAAGTAGAGGAATCGACATGGTTGGACTGTATAGAATTCCAGGCAACAATGCCTCTGTGGTAAGATTAGTTTTTATTAAAAAATGCTACCAGAGAACATAAGCTGTGTCAAAATGTGAACTAATCCTATCATTTCCGAATTCTAGGCCACCTTGACTGAGCGACTGAACAAGGGAGAGGAACCTAATCCTGATAAAGTAGATTATACATATTTTTATAATTTTTACTTTTAAAACTTAAAGCCAAGTGATAATAATATGGACGTATCGTGTTATACTAATTTTTCAAATGTTTTGCAGGATCCAAAATGGGCAGGTTAGTTAATTCTCATAAAATTGAGTGTTCGGTTTATGCTGATATATGTGTGATACAGATGCACATTATATTGAAGCATTTTAATAGTTTTGTGTAAATAATGTTTGATCCAGTCGTATAATAAGATACACCTATTATAATTTGCAGACGTTCATGTGGTGGCGAGCCTGATTAAATCATTTCTACGTCGACTGCCTGACCCTCTTCTAACTGACGATCGGTAAAAATTTAAATTAATTCATTCCAATGTCAAAACATTCAACGAAAAAGTATTTAAAAGTTAAATCATTTTAGTCTATTGTAACTTTTTACGACAGTTTGAATTGTGTGTCAAAGTCAAAATATCATTGAATTTATTTTTATTCTGCAGGTATCAAGCGTTTATTGTTGCCGCTGATGACTCCGAACAAGAAAAATGTCGTGAACGAATGCAATTACTCATCCAGGATCTTCCTGATACAAATTACGAGACTTTAAAGGCTGTCATTATGCATTTAAAACATGTGGCAGAACATGGAGAGCATAATCGCATGGATGCTAGGTATGCAAAATGCATTATGGAACGGAGATGGAAGATATGTTTATGCTATTTAAATTAGGCGTCCCATATATGATATTGATAATAATGGATATATATTTGATTTCCAGAAATTTGGCAATTGTGTTTGGACCCACCATTGTCCGAACTGCCGAAGAGAATGTCACATCAATGGTTCAAGATATGAAAAACCAGTGCAAAATCGTAAGAATAATGTTTATGTTGAAAAAATATTGAATTTTATCCATATTTCTTAAACTAAAATATTATGTATTTTATACAATTTCAGGTAGAGCTTCTAATTTCTAATGTGAGACACTACTATCATAATATAGTAGCATACACATAATATGTGTATGCATATTATGCGTATTATACATACATGCTAATAATGCCTGGTGGAACCACGCAAGTTGGTAATGTATACTGAAAATCAAATCGTTTTGTTTAGGCTGACGAGCTATTTAGTGATCTACGACACCAAGAAGACCAATCGGAACCCAGAATAGGAAGAGGCCCTCCTGACTCCCTTGCTTCCACCACATCAGCCCAACTTTCCAGCTCTGATGAATTGGAGACGTACAATATTAGCAATGCAATACGCTTGCCGACCTTGGCTGCCGTCACACTTTACAATAGTGCTGAAAGCAGCATCCCTCCACCCCGTGCGTCCCCCTCTAGTCCAACAATAGAGAGTGCGTTTCATTCGTAATTATGTACATAGCGTAGTATTTATCTTTGCCTGTAGCTAGATTACATGCATACATTGAAAATATAAATTATTTTGTGGTACTTTCACAGGCGAACTGCGCGCTTCCCTCGTGCATGCAGCAATGAGAAAGGCATCTCGAAAAATTCAATCTCCCGGAAAAGATTCCAGTTCCTCCATTCATAATATTTATGTGAGCGAATAAATTACTAGGGTATGAAGTAAAATTAATCACGTATGTAATGCATATGGTTGGATTGTAGGGTTTACCTACCAACTCTTCCAAAAAAGGGAAGCCTTCCATTGATGATGCCGGATTCATTAGGTCATATGCAGGTTTGTAATATTGATATTTTTTGTATTTTTGAAAATTCGTTCATTCATGGAAAACATTAATCTCGATGAAAAGCGTTAATGCTTTTTAACTCCCTTGAGTCTAATCTAGATAAAAAGCATTTTACATTATTTAAATTAGGAATAGTCTGCAAAAAGTAAAACAAAAAATCTGAAACGTAAATTTACTTTATAGGACTGAACGAAGAAACAGAGCAGAGGGTGAGGAAATTTGAGCTAGAAACGAGAGCAATGCTGTCAAGAGAAGATCGATCTCCTCACTCGAGCATTGTGAACGTGGGCGCAAAACAACTTGGAGGTATAAGGCTGTTGAATCTTGATGATGAACTGCAAAAAGCAAAAGATGATTTAGAAAATGACGATATTTATGATCAATTAGCAGAAAATCCTTCTAGTAAGTCATGTTGGTCAAGAACACTTACCATTTTCAACTACAGTATATAATGCTTGAATGTTAACCTTTATAATTTTAGGTATAATTCATCATCGGGATCGAGGGTTCTTTTCAGTGGGTTCAACACAACGCAATCTCAGTAGTAGTAGCAGCATTAGCAGTTCCAATTCAAATGGAACAACTCCTTCCACTCACCCACCACAAAAACTTGGACCTGTCCCATTCAAGTCTACCTATGTTCCCCAGTCACTGCCTCCAAAACCACCAGTACTGATTCAACACCAGCACTTGGGTTCTTCTGTTCCCAGTCCCCTTATAAACTCCAAAACATGTGGTACTCCTATTTTGGGGATGAGAAGAGTCAGTTCCATGGATAGATTTGGCTCTGATAAGGAACCACAAGTTCAAGATGAGTCAGTGACGGAAAGAAAGTTTGGAAATGTGCCGTTTTTTCCAAAATATATTGGTGGGTCATTGGATTCTTTGTCAAATGCAACTGGTGGTGGAGGCACAGATGGACATCGAAATGGGCATTCCAGGCGAGGGGACGTAATTTGCGAAGACTTTTCACCGAAATCATCAGAGGGTACATTTATTTCTTTCTTATGAGCTTTGTTCCATACAGTTCTTCAGTCTTCTCTACATCTGTAGTAGTATGATGGTGATAAGATGCTTTTCATGTAATTTTAATTTATGTAGCACAAATGCCTTTCGCCAGACCACGCTACTGGTACAATTTCCGACACTTGACATCATGATCAATCAATCTTTAAATCTTGTTCTTTTCCGAGGTATTTTATTTTCGAGATGATAAAAATCTTCCGTTTTATTAACCTTTATACTTATTTACTTGTGTTGAGTTTTTGAACTAAATACTTTTCTTATTTTGCTGTGCTGTATGGGTTAGAGGGAAACAAGTGGTACTTTAAATATTCTAACTTATCTAACTCGGATTTTCTGTATTGTTGACTAAAGTGAATGACTAAACTCTTAAAATTAGTGTGATCCTATTGCTGCGATGGAACACGTCGACATAATGTTAATAAATACGTTCATATAACATTTCAGGTAGCGATCTTGTTACATCTCTGACACAGACACTGGACAAGAAGCTTGAAAACTTGAGATCCAATAAATCTGATGCGAATTCTTTTGAAATTTTCACTTTGAATGGTACTGAACACCATCCGGAAGGACTGACATCAAGAAAAATAGAAATTAATGGTGATCATACTGCCAACCAGATTCAGAATATTTCATCTGATAACACAAATGAATCCAAACGTTCAAAAGGTAAATCCCGAATTGGGGGAAATGGGATGAAGAAGAACTGGCGAAGGAATTCAATGATAGAACGGAGGGTGAACGGGGAAGTCTGTAACGTAAATGTTGTAAACGTTAAAGAACGCACATCACATGATGACAAAGATTATTATCGAAACCCTAGTTTGCATCGATTGACTGCCGTAAGTTTTTAATAATGGTCTTTGTTTGTAATGACGAGTAAGATGTAAGAAATTGTTATTATTATTTCTCAGGAATTTTCGAGAAATACGACCAATCAAGCTGACCAAACCAATTTATCGAAAGAGGCTAAAACCGCCAACAATAAGTTAACCCGGCGTGACTGCAGAAGGAGGCATTCTCTGAGCGGAGGCGGGGACATTTTAAGTATTACATATCATGATAAGTCAATCGAATACCCTGATGCCCCCTCCACCTCCGACGCACAAGCAGTTGAAATATGCAGCACGGCCACCCCTACAAACAATGAAGGCATTTCAGTGGCCAATATCACTAGAGCTGTCCTCGAATCTCATGTTTAGATTATTATTGTTATGATGCTCTAATTTTTTGCAAATCACTGTGTACAATATTCAACAAGTTTACCTTTCTTCGCGATGAACATTTTAAACGAAATATTGTATTTGAACTATTGTCCAAGCCAAGCGAAGGAAAACTCTTCAAAACTTAAAAGTATTATTGCGGGCAGCAAATATTAATGTCGCCAATGTAAACGTCGTTTTCGTCGTTGTTATTGTTTTTTTGTGACTCTGTGATGTCGTTTTACGTGTGCTCAGTTTTAATCAATGTGTCTCGCTGGAATGGATAGTCAGTCAATGTGTTTTATCCCCCTTTCCCCTAGAATGATATATTATAGCATTTATAGCAACTCGTTTTTAACTCTTGCATTTTGATTGCATGCCCAGTGGCTCTCAAGTGACTGTAGGCAAAACAAAACGACATCAACCGAGTGTCCTTTTTGTATGAAAGAACGGAATTTGGCTGGAACTTACATTGCTGAGCAGTTTATAGAAGATAAGTGTGTTAAAGCTGTGTGATATATTTCAAATCAAAGAAATCAAGTATTATTTTAAACTCGAATCAAAACGTGCTGATTTATGTGGTTGTTATTATAATCTTGGCACTAAATGATAAGAAACGAACGATATTTATTTAGTGGACGTTGTGAAGACAAAGACTTACGCTTTATGTATTGTAGTTATTAATTGAATATGTATGTAATATTTTACCTACGTAATTCTACGTGGGATTTTTGTCAGCCCATATTTAAGTCAAGTAATATGTAAGGAACCGTACGTAGCATGTAGAACCCGTATCTCGTAAATGTTAAATTATTATATATTTTTGAGGTTTTCGTTTCGTAACGAAGAGTTGTGCATTTATAAAGCAACAGAATAAAAGTCATTTGAAAAATATAATTCATAAATCATTTATGTACTTGGATCTCACATGGCATACTATATTCATATTCCTTGCTACAAAATATGTAATGACGGCAACACAATTCATAAGCGGATAAAACACTTTTCAGTTAGGATTTGGATTTCAACCGCATTTTGTTACCATCACATTTCTTATGCATGCATAATACATACAAAATGACACTTCTTCCCGCAGGGAGGGTTTCACAGGTGGTAACTGTTTGCAGTTCGCATTTCAAAGTGAAGTCATCACATATAGTTAGAAAGTCCCTGAAGGAAATATGAGGCGAGCTAGTCTATTGTAATTGTAAATAACGAGCTTTTGAAATTTGATCCACTTATTCCTGAAAACAAGGAGTTTGGGTTAGACTAACAAATTACTGTTGGTCGTTGCTTTTTACTTCATAGGCATCAGCATAAACTTATTACCTTATGTATGACTTGTATTACATTGAGCAAGAGTGAAATTGATTACTTTTTAGCACAAAGAAAACCTACACCGTACGTTATATTTGCGTCATGTTTTAAGCTGATATTATAAAATCCGTCGAGCAGATTATCTAAGCGATGAACGTGAAAATAATTAGCGACATGTTTTAGCGACATTAAAATTACTCGACAATCGGGTTTTTTCATTTATTTTATTGGATTTAAATCGAAATTAAAAAGTAGGGTAAATTGGAACATAACTTGGAGATGTTTTTTCATTGTTCACCTTGGGTTCACGCTGCGCGAGCATTTTGACAAATAGTCTCGTCTGCTTCCTGGTTTACACCTAGAGGAACATAAATTGAAACTTAAGCGTGCTTAAATTAGCTTAAAATTAATTAAGGTGAAAATCAGAAAAATCAGAAAAAATAATTTTTTTAGAAAAATTATTTTGTGTGCTGCTGAAAGGTTTTAACGCAAAAAATTGAGCGAAATCCAAGTTAGACCAATTTCTCCCACCTGGATCTTATAGTTCCCTTCCACAGTTTGGTAGCCGGACAAGCGATCGGTGACTGTAGCGAACGTGGAGAATATCGGCACCTGAACAGATACATATATGGACAACCATACTCGAGTAGGCGTAAAACCGCAAATTAGCTGTAAAATGGAATAGTGAGGTTAGCCATACTTTGGAAGCCAGTCATTAGGAGAGAACCTCAGTCTGTAGAATTTAGGACAATATCCTCTGGCCATCGTCTCATAGCAGCGTTTGTCTGCAGCCGAATGGGAGAATTTGAAACGGGCTGACAAAGGATCAGCAGCATTTCCACTTTCACATTGATGGCGAGCACAAATTGGATAGTAAGTTTCGTTCAATACCAGCCATTTTCCAGATGGACATGGACCCTGGTGGTAACACAGACAGATTTGTATAATGGCGATGATAAAACAGAATGACTGGCCATTCTAAATAGTTTTTAGATCAATCTGGTGCATATACCTGATCAAAGGCAGAATAGCATCTATTTCTTTCAGGGACGAAAATTTGGCTTCTCAATTCAAACTTCTAAAAATGGAACGGAATTTAATTTTTAACAAATTACATTAAACGCAATTGAGTTGGAACCATTTTATTTACAAGGCAATGGCTCAGCTCGGGGTTGTTAATAACTTGGATTTCATCCTCAGTCTCCATTCGAGCGTCAAAGCAATCACAGAATCCATGAGTTTTATCTGCTCGACTAGGATGTGGAAAAAACAACATGTTGGACCCGCAAGGACCTTGAGAACCCACTTGGTGACAAACGTTGTCTGCGTCCAATAACCATACTTGGTTCTTAATCCTATAAATGATTAACGCATTAGTAAAACATTACACTGAAACAATATTATTTGTGACGACGAGGAAACGTAATTGAGATATTTTCTCACGTTGGACATTCAGGAGCACTTTTCAGTTTATACTCCTCAGCATTCACAACCCATCCTGAAATGAGTGAAATAGCAAAACACTGGATAAACCAGCTCACTAGTTTCGATCTTTGAGACATATAAACTAATCTTTCTACGACTTTAATATGTATTTATGACAAGATAATCGATGTGTCAGAATATATGCTTCGAAACGAATGAAACCTCTTCAGATAAATGTATCACGTCAGTTAGATATTCAAAAAGGCTTGAGACTATGTTGAATTACTCGAATTTTTCGCGAGAGTATTTTCCTGAATGGACTCAAGACAAAGGCAAACAGGTCCACATTTAATATTTTTTGCGCTTCATATAACACGTAAGTACATTTGCATATGGGCATTTCAGTATGACCATGATTTGTGATTAGGCAGCTTTAATGAAACAAGCAAACTGACTGGACTGACGCACTTTAAAAGACAACCCAAAACCTGTTAAAGGTTGAACCAAATATGTGCCTAATGTGCAAAAAGTTCTCTCTTATTATGAGTAATATGTATAATAGTCTACCAACCAGATTGCGTGATATGGTTCTAAAAATTACAAGAGCTAGTTTGTAGATTGCAATTGTGAACTTCAAAGACAATCCAGACAATTTGAAGAAAAATGACTCTCTTTTCCCTGCATATCTTAGTTTAGACTATGTAGACGATGTAGACTAACAATTGAAGGTATTGCTCGATTTATCATGCAAAATATTTAGTATGCTTTAATTATACTTGTAAATAATAATGTTTCCAAGAGCTGGTATTACCTCACGCACTAAAATGTATCCGCATCATAATCATCATCAATTTCACTCACAAATTCAACCCAAAGTGTAAACTACTTACAAAAAGGAGCATTGTATGTACAACATACATATTTATTAAATTCACCCACAGAGAGACTCATTCATTCAGCTATTGTACTTTGTGGTTAGGCTTGGTTAACAAAGTGGCTTGCCTGGAAACGGATATTGCTCACTTGTAGAGCAACATTTGAACCGTGTAAAGTGCAGCCTGGCAAAAATGTTCAGCCAATAATTTTATCTACCTCGCAACGTGTGCGTTCTATACCATTAGGACGCCTCACATGGAGTTTGAAAGAGCTAGATACCCACCTACGCTTTCACCCTAATACCAGGAAAGGTGAAGCATTTTCCGCATAAGAACCGACAAGAATAAACCCATCCACAGCGAGCAAACAAGTGGGAGTATCTACCAACAGCTTACTTCTCTCTCGGATCAAGCTCACCCAACATTCAAACGTTACATTCATGCATCTTAAAACATGTGTAAGACTAAACGAACTGAAATGACTGAGTTTTCCAACTGACTCTTTGTGAAAGTTCAAGACTTGAAGTGCTTAATTACATAGGTCAATCTACAACCAAGGACCAATTTCAGCAGTCTAACAAGGTGCAAGTTGACCAAGAAATGTGTGGGTCTAACCCAGAACGAATGAATGAATGGATCAAGGGTGAAAGCATATGCTGTTGTTGTGAATATCTAATACGTATCCAGTGAAGCACTTTCATGCTTGCCTGGACTAGTTCTTTCTCTCCTTGCGCATTTCATAGAGATGAAACCCATGACGTTGTACCACCACCACCGTCGTATCGAGGAATAGGACATGGGGACTTTCTCTCCCCGTTTGTGTTGGGGGAAAGTTCCACCTTAAGAAGAGAACCCCGGCAACGGTCTTGTACGCCCGAATAGCGAGCGGCCACGCCGCCTAACCCCTTACTTTAGTTTGTGCTGATTTTTGCACCTAATTCTGCAAATTTTACCCAAGCCATGGTTTGCTCCATGTCATGGGATCCCACTGGAGATTCGGATAATGCTGTGGGAGTGATATAGTCCTAGAATCCCGTGTTGCTGCACTCGTATATGGAGTGCACTTATCCCTCTCAGTACGTGGGAGAGTGATGGTGGATCTTCTTCGCCTTTCTCCCCGCACATCACGGTCCTCATTCGCCAACGTATCCAAGGGCTTCATTCTGAACCAACGGACTGCCGCAAACAAGTGTCTCTCGTTTTGGGAGAGATTTCGTGCAGCCTGTGGTCCAGCGGAGAATTATTACATCCAGGCTGACCAGCCTGACACTTGCCACTTCTTTCTGGTCGCCTCAATTTTAATTTTATAAAATGTAGAATAGACGATATTGACTGTAATAAAGAGGGCGATAACTTTTGTCAGGGTTTTAATATATTCTCCTCGTGTGCAACTAGTCTTGTAGCTAAAAAATATTAATAAAATTTTGAAGATAGATTTATAACCTTCAAGTATCATCATCTCTGGTACAACAGCGAGGAGACAAGAAGACGCATATTAAATTCCACATATGCCGTACCTCCAGTAGAATTAGATTTTATAGATCCACATTCAATAAAATCAAATAAATAGTCGCCCTCTTAAAGTGGGAGAGTTCAGTATCTGTTAAAATATTTTAAGTTAAACCAGAAAAGAAAAAGTCGTCCTCGGGGAAATTTCTGCTAAAGTCCTCAAAGCAATCATGTAACGTGGTCTGCGTCAGATTACTCGATCTGGATCTGATTCCGTTCCCATCTCGTTTGAGATATTGATAAGGCGTGAAGAAATGGGGGATTCGGAGGAAATTAGCCTCGTCCCATCATCACCCATTCCCAACAAAGGCCAATCAAGACCATGCAGAAGCAGTCACAAAATCACTTCAAGTGTTTTCGTGCTGGTATTGGTGGTCATGGTCAACAATCACCTCGCAGCGTCCATACCCGCACCATCACAAACTGAAGAAAAGAATTTCGGGGCAGCTGGAAATATAGGTGAACACTGATTTTTCTTAATGACTTATATGAAAAATAATGATAATATCATCGCATGGGGAATAATTTTCCAAGGCACTAATTCATAATCATTACGTAATTAGTAATCTTGCACACGTGTAAATATGTACCATAAAGCTGCAGACCCGCTTTAAAATATCTCTCGTTTTCAAAATCAAGTCAAGTTACGGAAAATCATTTTTAAATTGTTAATGTTTTAAAGACGATTTAGCTTGCCCAATTTTAGCGTTGATACAATCATTAAGTATCTTCTGCCAAAATTATCATTTATTTGTTGACTCATAATGCAAGGTGCATGACTAACAACAGCAATATTCATTCATGTCACTTCACATACATATTGTGTTCGGTGCTTCAAATTTTTAAATTAAACTTGTAAACACAACCAGTTGAGCAAATCTGAGATGAAATATTCAATAAAAGCAACCGCTCCACGGTTGTTGGAACTTTGGGTGCATATAATATACACCAAGGGCTTCGTCATTGCATTGTTGCCCAGAGTAGTCAAATAAGGAACACTTTAATTCCTTACAGTTCTTGAACTTATGTATGATAATACCAATGGCACATTTATTGAACTCAATCTCTAGTCAAGTTTATGATTGCAGTTATATTCAGATTGATTCAGTCTGAATATTTTTTTAGCGGTTGATGTATTGCATATGCATCATATCTTTAAACTAAATTATCATGAAGTGAACTAAATATATCATTAAAAAGTAGTTTAGTCTAGTACCGAAGACGCCATTGTATAATCGAATATAAATTTTGGTCACAATTTATTGATTTTCGAGTGGGTGAAAGTCCATCATGAAGAGATGAGCTTAAAGGTTGCAGGGACACACTCAGCTACCTCCCAGCGCTACTAATACTCTCGTCTCGAGTTGAATCTCTCATCTTGGTAAACAAGACGTGCACGAGCTCGTCGTCTTAAATAGAATCCAAAATCCTTATATAAATCAACATCCTTAATCAGTTTAGCTGCCATGATGCTTTTTCTTTCTGAGACATCTCATGACATTTCTCTCAGGCAATAAAAAAATGCGAGGTCTAATATAGTCGTCATAATATACACACATAATTTGCATTGCATGGAAAGTGGATCACCTCTGATCAATAATTACCCTGCACATGCATGGCGAAGGCTCAGCACAAATACATTTATTTGCTACTCAAGACCATAAAACATGAGCATTCACGTCTAGCTATATTACTGCTCGCTAATTTGCGGTTTAGTGGTTTAATACGAAACTGATTACGAGATGTTGATAAAATGGGGTCAGTGCACAACTTAATTGAATTGTAGGGAAGTGCCAAACACAGTTATTTCTACCTTTTGTCAATTGTTTATTGTAGCTTTTATACTCCAGTGTGACGTAAACTTGATAATCTAAAAACACACGAAATTAATATCCTCATTCAATTTATTTTGTAATGGGATAAGAATAGCACAAATGTATGTATCTGGGTATTTAGTAATTCAAATGGCATATGAGGATTAGCATAATCCTCAACAACTATTTTCAAAATTGGTTTAATACGTATCTACGTATGTGAACAATTTTAGCAGCACGGAATAATTCCAAGAAGCTATATTTCACTATATTCGTCTAGATATAGCGCACACTAATAATACGGCAAATTGGCAACCTGACTCCTCAACCTCAAAGAAAAATGCTTTCTTATCTACCTGTTTCTCACATGAGTCGAGTACACCATTTCTCAGCCCATATTCACCAGCATATCAAATTTCATATTTTTTGTGAAGGTAAAAAATAGCTTCTAGTCTCGGAAACTAGGAATTACATATATTGTTACATGGTCGCTCTAAAATATTTCAGACTCATAGCCACCGACGAATGAAATAGTGGAATAAAAACCATCAGTGACTCATTATAATTTAGTTAGGAAAACAATTTTTGCAGAATATATCTCAATAGTCGATGCATCTGTGCCGCTATTACCCCTAAAAATAATCCATATATAGCTGGTCCCACGCACACTGCGTTTCATAAACCCTAATAATAAGTAAATATCCATTTTCTTAGTCTATCTCGCAATTAACGATTAAAATTGGCCCTATTTACTTTTAATGACGGACGAAAGTGAGATGCTCAATAAATACGTATTGATTTATTTGAATCAAGTCAATAAAGCATTCGGTTGCCACCACACGTCAGAATATTGCTCTACTACGTCACAAAGTAAATTGGCAATAACTATTATTGTTATTATTATTATTCCGTGTTTCTCATTCTATCTTTAATATCTAGAGCACCTCTAGCAAATCTACATATTCATATGTCAGCCATGCTTAACAAATTGCTAGTAACAATGCCATTTTCTAGGTGTGATCCCACCAACTCATGTTGATTATAATTCGCCCATGTTTCATTTATGCAAATGATTTCCCACTCTAATAGAAATTCGTATCAATCATCGAAAGGAGCACTGCACCTGATCTAACGGGCTCGGAACTACACTTGTTTTTTGCCCCTGTGACGAAAACAAGAAGTCCGTGACGTTGACTTTGGCTGTTTTTGTGAGCATGTATCCGCTCCTTTCACTGGGAAGTGAAAGCAGCGCTGGGTATGAGCCAGCTCGAACGCCCACATGCCTTCCTCCCCGCTTTCTCTCCCTCTCTCTCCGACACCAGAATAGATTCTTTCCTCATTTCCACTCCTCAAACTTTTCTCTGGTTGCCGTGTCATGTGTAGAAAGGCAGAAGCACCAAGACCCTATTCCATCCATTTCCATGCCCATTTTCTAATTTTGATTTCTGCCATTGTGTCACGCTTTGAACACGTTAACTTCGTCACGCCACTTCCCACGTGCATTAATGCCATCGCTTCCTGTCCTTCATCAATAAACTCCGATTTGTAGTTTTCGTTCACTACCTGTAATTAAGATTGAAAAGTGATATATGACACTTTAATCCGTTGTCCTGGTGTGTGATCACTGTTCATACGCACGTGTGATATAAGTATCACCAGTTGATCATAAATCCTATAATTCGTTCGCAGATATTTTACCAATGAGAAATTCTGTAGCATTGTAGCATAAGAACGAATAGTTCTAACTTTCAGAAACAAAAATTAAAAGGAAATGCAAATGTAGAGTTTTATTATCTGATTTAACGATAGAAATGACACATTTAAATGCACGGGTTTGGTTTCGAGCTATGTTGAATTTATTCAGGAAGAACTACATGATTAATCGCTTCAATCCATCCTTATCGATGAGAGATCAGAGCAGCACAAAACATATTCATCTCCTGGTCCATCGACCGGGTTAATGTGGTTTACGTATGTGTGTGTATGGTCCTGTCGTCGATGGCACGCAAATGACCCACAATATCACAGTGCACCACATGGCGACTAGCACTGGAGATGCTCAAAGAAGAGGTTTTCATACCTTTGCGTGATGGATTAGGTGACAAAGATGTATGTTTGGGTTTTCTGGTTATTATATGACTCTTTCGGTTAGAAGTTCTAGTTGCATATGAAATTGGGGCAGTTTGACGACCAATTGCGTAATGTATAATATTATAAGATTCCGTATGTACGTCAACGAACAGATAGTAGGTTAAACTTTATGGTGTACAACTTCTTACGGTAGTCGGATCGGATCAAGGAGTCTAATCTCTCCAAGCATATCACATTTCTCATTCATTACTATGCACTTCCACAACATTTGCCTCAGGCCGGTAGCGTAAGCGTCTTATTTATTTTAAGTTGGTAAGCACCTGGACAAAAGATTTCGTCAAAAGGGTGTGTTTTGAATTTCAAATTGTAGTATATTTTAGTTCACTCAATGTCGTTGTTCTCTGGCTGCAAAGGGCAAAGCCTTTTGCCCCCAAACATCACGTATTATGTATTTGGGATGTAAGTACATGATGATGACGGTGAAAAGTCAATTTCTTAAGCAATAATTTACTTATTTCAACATATGCACCGTTATTGGATGACACGTCATTAAAAATCAGAACAACTTTTTGTTGATACAGTCCTTCATGAATGTCTTAAATATTACTACATATATACATTAATTTTATGCTTGTGTCAGCATGAGCAAACTTCCTCATGACATGAAAAATAGGTGGAATTTATTTAAGTACACGGTCATTATTTCCGTATGGTAAAGCGCTATGCTAGATTTAGGTCTTCCCGTCTTTCACTAACTCCTGAGTTTCTATATATTTTTACAGGTTGCTTGTTTGGGAAAACATTGTGTGATCCTGGATCTGAGATATGCTACGACGGTATGTCATCCATCTTTCAGCTTTATGGAATTGAATCCATGCTGATACATATTTAGTCCTCATGAGGTGTGTACTAACTTTTTCTAGATTACGCTTTTGGAAGATGTCTGCCACAAATTGGAGCCGTTACAGAAAATGATTTGTACAGGTATGCACTGTATATTGCCACAAGATTTGTAGAAATTTGTACAATTGCAGACACAGGATTTCTAGCTTGGTTTTTGTCGACTATTCCAGATATGACCTCAGTAAAGGCGATATGCATGTGCTGCAGAAGCAGATGGAACGACTCTTTGCTTTGGGATATCGATGGGGATCGCCCTACACTCAATGTCTCCTCCAAAATTTGCTCGACACCATTCGATACGGGTATGTCGTCTGTAGAACCTCATTGACCTCTAGAATTGACCTCCACATAAACCTAATTCTGTTAAAATTGGATTTCTCGAGTTTATTTTTAATCCCTGAAAGTTGACTTGCGGTTACGTACTAGATAAATACATGTACTTTGCACACAAAATAGATCAAAAGTACAAGTCGTGGAAATACGACTTCAACATTTTTAAGCCATGCTAGCCGTATCACTTACTTAAGAAAATATGTACTAATAACGGATTCTCTTTATTTTTTGACAGAGTGGAGCTGGACGAATCTGTATGCTTGGTCGTACAAGATCAGGATTTGGAAGGAGCTTTGAGAGCATTTAACAAAGATGTTGATCCATGGAACTTGGCTTTCATAAAATTCAGCCCAAGCGCCAAGAATCCTCACTCCGACTTTGCCGATGAAACCTACCGACCTCCGAAAGATCTCAGTTATCCAAACATGGGAGATGCGGTCAACGGAAGGGAACTCCTGACCGAGCATTCTCCAGGGATGCAGAGACTTCACGAAAAAATCCGACAGCCAGTCATTCAACTGCCCGCATCAGGTAGACATTTTTAGATTGGAGAAAGTTGTGACTTTTACTACAGCGCCATGCTGTAGTAAATTTCTGAATTATGAGTATAAGTTCATTATTCATACTTTGTCTCTTTAGAAGACCAAAATCCGCTGTTGGTGGAACAGGAGCTTGAAAATACGGTGGCACAAATTAAGGGAAAAAATGGGAAAGGAAAAGGAAAATCTGGGAAGAATAAGAAAAAGCCCAAAGGAAAATTGGAGGCTGCGAAAAGGTCGTCAATGTTGAATGTAGAATATCCTGGGCAGTCCGACAACTTTAACGGCGTAGATATCGGATCTGCAAAGAAGATCCCTGGATCCAGAATTGCGGAGGAGGAGTGGGAAGGACCAGAGTCGAAGGGATCCGTAATTAACAATAAATTGAAGATTGACGGAGAAGTTGGAGTTGATTCAGATGGATTCGTCAACGACAAAATATTGCGTCCCAAGATTTTTTCCGCCTACTACAATACTCCAGATTCGTTCAGATTGGGAGTCGAGGAGGTAAGAGAGATTTATTAATTTCGCGTGGGCGTCCTTATCTTGAAACCTTTATGTTGCTTTCCACCCTTGACGATAAGTAAGGATAGCAGAATATATTGTTAGAAATCTGGCCTAATTAGGTTTAAAAACAATTTCAACCATACACGTGCATAATTTTATTCTGAACGGTGAAAGCACCTACAAATGCGGTTGTCGTGTGCTAAAAGCATGAGAGAAAGCTGGTCTTGTAAAACTGATTTGATTTACTCTGAAAACATGTACAGCTTCCGTTCCCTAGTGGCACTCGTGAAATGTACGAGTGCAAAGATAAAACAGGGAAAGTTTGCACTCAGTCCGTTCGTTGTCAGTAGTCAGTCAACGTATGCTCAAGACGATTCATTTCCAACGCCTTGTTGCGTCGCACCGACAAATGACATGTAGACAAATGTTGGATAAAGGACAAAATAATGAGTGAAAGTATGTAAGATGCATATTTATATTACGACGACAACCTTCACCAAAGTGTACGGAATATAACCTTTTCCAAAATTAGAAACGCATAATGACCTCCATGTGGCGTCGAAGTAAAAACAGAAGAGGGTGAACACATGAGATTGTGTATAATAATAGTTATGGGGGCTAAATAAAGCGTTTTTAGGATTTAAAATATGTAATGGGGAATGTGGGGAGAAAATATATTAGAAATTGTGCCAATTGGATATTTTCAGTCCTGGAATGATCATCCTGTCAGCGGTGCTGGGAGAGCAGGGATGGATGACGAGGCGGTTGGTGTCGGTTACGGACCTGGATACGGCAACGATGACGACGGCGACGGAGATTACCGGGCGAGACGGGAGGAGCTGAGCGAGCGGCAGGCGGAGGAAGATCAACAGATCGGAAAAGCAGTTGCCACGCTCCAAGCACAACTGCTCCTTAGTCTCTTAAAGGACAATACCAGTCCGGAAAATGAGTTCAGAGCCGATGAACCAGAGCAAAGTTTCGTGGGCGACCCCGCCACGAACAACGACCGCGTTGGTGTCGAGTCCATGGGGTTGGATAACAACTACCAACACAACAACGACGCCGTCTCCCCATTCGCCGCCGACTTGGATGACCGAGATTTACTTTACACTGAGGGTGGCCTGGTGTTCCTCAATCAACCCCATCGCAAATTCTTGGATCAAGACGCCCCCGTACCGCAGAATGAGGGGCTCACTTTCCTCAAGAGGTTCACCCCTGTAGAAATTGATCCTGAGTGGGGTGCCCTACCGTCCGAACAAACCGAGGATGGGTTGATTACACCATTGAGAAATGATATTGAATATGGAAACGAGTATGTCGACGGCTACGACTTTGGCTCTCCATTCTTTCTCCTTAATCGAAGAAATAGAGATGGTTTCGGGTTTGAGAGGAGGGAGCGGCTGGATGTCAAGAAGCCAGGCCCGTGGTATCGAACGGTCAATAATTACGCATTTGACAAGGATGATTCCGAGCAAACGGTACGATACTCTTCTCAATTTAATAATTACCAATAATAACCAATAATTTAAATTATGCTACATAACTATTTGGCATTCTAAATAAACAAGTTTAGAATTTTCGCTCAATTACATGTGCTCGTAAACATGCAATTAGTGATCAAAAATTATAAAATATTTCAATAGGAATGATCGTAAATTTATTGTTAGTTACATTATGCTTTTTAAGTGTCACAAAAAGTTGATTTTATACTGAAATTATATTTAAATGTGTAATAAATTTAAAAAATATGTACGTTATCTAGATGCTCAATCCAGAGATGCAACAAATTACTCTAAATCCAGAGTTTGGAAGTGCGGCTGAAGGCCCAGCAGATATGGCAGAACCCACGAAAGGTTCGCAATTTTGAAATACTTCTTATTTTTAGAAACTTTAAAATGAATATGCATGTTTATATGTTCATGAGAAAATTCCCCTTGAGTCATCTGTGCTACAAATTTAACCCTGATCATACACATCGAACGTGCATATAAATAATATGAATTTATGAATGTGTATAATATACACATATTTACATATTATGTAAATTAATTAATAAGTATTTATTTATTTATTGAGCGGATACACATAAATATGCATGGTCTTATTTATACAAAATCGTATTCAATATTATAATTTAACTGGTGGAAATCAAGTGATAGCCTAATTGCTGCAATTGCTTTCATGAGATTATAAAATTTTTAAATGTACATGATTTTAATGTGCGTCCATCGGAGAGTAAAATGTAAGCCAACGAGCCATCCGATATTCGATCGATCTAAATTTTGCAGACACTTCTTAGAAAAATTAGAAAACTAGAAAGTGGATTAGAAGATGAGTCAAATCGATGAATAAAGCCAAGGATTATTTCGGTGGGTGGGGCATTGTGCACCCAAAGGGATTATAAAATTTCGAAATTAATAGCCATTTCGGATTTCTCACTTTAAAAGTTTCATATCGGAAATTTGAGAAAATAGTTAAATGCTACTCAAATTCAGTGTGGAATTTGCAAAATTTGGAATGCATGCACAACTTGATGCCAGTTTTCGAACAGAGTTTTTTTTGCAGTAATTGTTAAAAAGGAGTGTTAAATCCCACCGGTGAATAGTTTTTATCATGACGTTATACCCAGCTGTGATGTAAGTCATTTGCATATTGTTCCGGTTGTATCTCTAGTACTTGCAGGAAATATATTTTTAAATATTTGTAGGTCAGTACATTTGTAGGTCGGTGCATACGTATTCGGTACGTGAGTTAGTGTTGAATGAGATTCTCGCTAATTTTAACTGGTTCAAGTGAAAGTTTGTTGGTTACTTTTTGTCAGTGGGCACATAAAATTAGGTTGCAAGAAATTATTCATGGTCCGCACAACAGACATTTCAATCGTTGGCTTCGTTGCTGTCCAAGTTGAGCCCGTCTTCTTCACTTCACTTTGTCTCCTCTTCTATTATTTCTCAACTTCCATCATCATTCCGTGCAAACCAAGTTACTAACTCTCTACTCTTTTGAGCCTTCTGGGACGAATTCAGCACTGAATTGAATTGCACCATTGTACGCATAGAAATATTACTCTCGTATTTTTCTGAACTGAATGAGATTTGAGACAGCCAGTTTTATGAAGTCGTGACGAAATAGAAACCCTAAATAATTTCTAACACACAGTACATTTTCCAGGATTCTCTAGTCGATGAAATGGGGCATTCTAAGACTATCAAAAAATCCTTCTAGATTTCGCATGAAATTGTTGTTATATTTATCAGCTTCCAGAATGGAGTTACAATGTTTGTGTGAATAAAATGCATATGTCCATTACTTTAGATAATTTTGCAAATTGCACAAATCCTCAAATCCCTCACGTTTAGTTCGTGTAGTGGTCGAAAATTTGCGCATTAATATTTCTTCGTGACCCTTGAAATCAACCTTGAGGCTCTTTGAAGGATTTAAATAAAGCGAATTATATCAACAGTGTTTTATTGCCATTTTGCAGATGACGAAATCCCAAGGAAAGTTCCGCTTGAAAGCGTCCTAGAGTGGCAAAATGAACAACAGGTGAGGCTGAACAATTTCATATTTACTTTCCCCCATTCCCACAGTGATCTCTTCTCAGATCGCTGCACCAGAACAAGGCTTAACCTGGTCCGATTGACGATTTCCCATTGTTTGATTTGAACTTAGGATTAGTTGCGCTTGATCTGATTTCTAGATATGTTACGCTACATATTGGCATTGATTATCTAATTCGGAAATATATATGTTTTGTGGGAACTTGGCCGTATTTATAATAAACTGTTGTTCATGTCTGCAAGTAATCCTGTTAATTTAACTAAGTCATCGGATCTCAAATAATCACGCATTCACTCATGAAAACTTACGAAGAGACGAATGGAAATATTATGGATGATGGCCTCAGACTATTTTAATGTCCCAAAATTATATTTATTTCTTAAGCAAACCACATTCCATGTCCTGAACAGATTTACACAATGTTAATTTGGAAGAGACAAATTAATTATATAACAGAATATTCATTTCTGCATATGCAGTTATTAACATGGACAATTAACTCGGTTGTAGGAAATCTTGTGATGAGGAGAAAACGTCTTTAACTTGCCAATCATTGACAAATGATTTTAACACCATTAAGAAATTTGAAGAGACGATGACGACGTTGTGTTTCATACCGACAGTTCTTCACGATTTTCTGATTCCCATTCAGCATTTTTAGTTTGTAGTTATTGAGAGTGTGTTATGGGATGAAACAATATAATCAGGTTCCATGCACAAGATTACATTAAGGTTATCATTAGTTCAATTTCTATATTTATATTCAAGGGGAGAATAATGTAACATAGACCATCGTATTCGAAATGACTTAACCTTGACATTTCACCAAAATAATTAAGTTTTGAGTTTCTCACAAGAATGGCTTATTGTGAACTTTTGGTGACACACGTCATAATTATTACTTTTGCTGGTTATCTTTATGCTGTAGGGTTATACTTACTTCGCGTTAGAAATATACTAATAATTATTTATCTACAATTTATTCAGGTCAACAAAAAGTCTGCACCAGTCAAATTTGATTCAGTTTTCCCTGCATCTCTTTCTCTGGGCGATGGTCATTTCGACATAATCGACACTTCATATGCAAATGTGTTTTTGGACAAAAGGTACACGCGTAAATCACTTTAATTTTACCAATGTTGCACCATGATACATAAAGTAGTGCAAACACCCTTTTCGCAAAAAATAAACTTAATGCTGATCCGACGTTTCATTTGCCAACAGTGTGAATTGGAACACGGCAAAGAATTTGGTAGATTCTTTGGCTTACGCGTTGGACATGGATCGAACCAGCTTTAAGGATATCACGTAAGATTTGCTATCTGTTATTCACCGTAAAAATATTTAAATATCCCACATTTCAAGTTGAACATATGCATGTTTACGAAGTTAAAAAATTAGTTATTTAGCCAAGCGACACTATTTATTGCTCAACATATAATGCCAATATCCAATGGCAGATAAGCAGAATAATTTGTGTTTTAGAACCAACAATGACATCGTAACTTTCAAAGTGGAACCGAATGATAAGGGATGGAACGCTACTGAAGTTGCTCGTCGAATACGTAAGATATTAAGGCTTATCCGCTATTTATATTAGTTCTATTACTACATCCATACGTTATCGAACTCCCTACTAGCCAATTTTTGCATAAGTTTTTCAATTATTTATTAAATCTACAATATATACATTTTTTATCAAAAGTTTTCCTGAAATGATACAATAAAGCTGCCTTAGACTCGCACTGCCTTTTTCTCAGATATGCGTTTGAAACAAAAAGGTTTCAAAGGCTTCCAAGCAAGAATTAATTTATAATAAGCTGGCAACATTGGTCGATCCATGTGGAGAAAGCTCTGTGCGTCAAGATCTCGAAATTCTCCATTTAAAACTTGAAAGAAATGCGCTTTTGATTTCGCCATGTTCCCGAACCGTGAAAGCACTCGAGTGGCTGAATGGAAGTTATAATGGAGACTTGTTGAATGTTTTTACCTACATTGATACGTGTATAATGACATTTTGTGGGTTTTCTTTTTCTCTCCTGGCAGAAAATCTGGCTGGAAGCATTGAGGCAGAATTGGGACTCAGGATCTTGAAAACAGACGTCGGAATCAGAGCAAATGTAAGTGATACCCTCATCGTGTTCTTTTTTTTCTTATTTTCGTGCTGCGGAATCATTATTGCTTTTCATGGAGCGTCGTATCATAGCTACACTCCCAAATCAACACCCACCATCAGATCCCTTTTACATCTCTACATACACACTTTTGCTGTCCGTGGGCATTCGATAAAATATAATCAGCACAAAAACCAATCTTCACAATCCTTACACCTCTACAACTATAATTTGCACTCCTGGTATATCAGTAAAATGATTATACAACAACTAATCAAAGGCAGAAAGAAGCAACAAAAATTGTTACCCATTTATTGACTAACTGTTTTCGGATATTTCATTCTAAAAGAAACGGTATGACGAGATGGAATAAGAGAAACATAATATTTACGTGTTTTGCAATGGGCAGAATAATTAGCTCTTTTATTAATTAGACAATGCTAATGACATGAAAGGAGTGCGATTGCATCAATCACCGTGCACAGAGTTGACTTTTCCTTTCATCGTCACCTTTCTCCCTGCTCCGTGTGTGCGCTTCGAGTCGATACAACAACAGTCAACTCGCTGCTCTGCCAAATCACAAATTGATTCACGCGTAGCCGTATTCATAACATTACACCCCCTCCATTTAGCATTTAGCTAATTAAGCCAAACTTCCAGACATTTGTTCTCGAATATAACCTGCCTGACTTACGTACTTGATGTAATTTGTCTAGCCTCGCAGTTTTCAGGGTTGTTGAAGTGAAGGAAACCTTGTAACTACAAAAACAACATGGGTTGTTAAAGTCGAAGGTTTGTTTTATTTTGGTTCGCGGACACAAGAGAAAATTCATTAAAAGTGAAAACTTTTCATAAATGAGTGAATGAGAGAGTTTCTCAAGCGAAAGTAATACTGTCCTCCAAATGTTCATCACAAGCGAATATTGCTCCCATGCTCGTTTATGTTAACGAGTTTGGGCTTTTCATTATCCCATTTGACAAATACAATTTGACGCTTCGTAAAATATGAAATCACTTAATTTCAATCACCTCATATGAATATTTATTGCTGCCTCGTTAGTTAATTTCAGTGTTAAAAACAGTCGGATATTGTATATATTTTATTTTTTGGTAATAAGTTTGAACTTAATTTCGGCCGCCTTCCAATGTTAATCAAATGGGGACGAATTTTTGTTAGGTAGAAATTCCATCACCAAGACATACAATGAATAAATGTAATAGTGAAGCAACTTTTCTTTATTTTTAAAGAAAAGCAGATTTTTATAGATGTTTTGGGATATTGATTAGGAAAAAATTGATGCGTTTATTATGTGGCGAATAGCATATTTAACTCTAGTGTTCAGTCGACAGTTCTCAGCAGGGTTTCATATACGTTTTTGTACCACTAATGTGCAGAGACATCATGGGCAACAAATTATTGCTTGGTATGAATCTCATGAGATGTTTATGAAGAATAAGGAGAAAAAAATATATGAGACGCGCGTGTAAGTGGTTCTTGCCTTCTTCCTCCGTCATTGATTTTGAGATTTATTTGGGGTCCACTTTCTCCACCAGCTCTCTCCCTCTCTCGAGGCTGAAGTCTCACTAACTGTGCTCAATCTCACTCAACATGAGTAAAAGCAAAACATGAGAATTTGAACCCACCAGCAAATCATGGCAACGTGTTGTTGATATGTAATAACGACAGGAACAGACATGAGGATTTAGGATTAACTGCTTCTTGTTTCCAGTTACACAGGTCCTTCATTGGATGTTTGGTTAGATGAGAAAGACAAGTGGAATCACTGCTGATCTGATTTCTCCTCCTCTTTCACCAACAACTACGGAGGTTTCATTCTCAGCCTTAATTCGATCGCATCGCATGATAAATCGAAAGCACTTTTGAAGGGATGGTATTTCTGGTATCTGCGCCTGGTTAAAATGTTAAGGACAATCTGGGCTGATTGTAAGAGGGTTTAAGAATAGAATTGTATAAAATGGGGTTGACAAATTAATCCATAACCCACACGAGTTTGTAAGAATTTTAGTTCTCGTATGGATGACAGGATTAGAATAATTGCACTTTGCCGTGGAACCTAAGTGCCGCAATTATTAGAAGAGAATAATTAGAAACTCAGACTTGACTTCAAAAGTATTCTGAGTAATGTAATCATGTAATATCCATCTTTGCACAAGTTAATATTGTGTAATCCATTTTTATGCAATTATATGGTTGGTTTTTTGACTACAACTTGCATATATTTAATTGAAGAATACTAATGTGTGCAACTTTGAGACGTAGAACTCGCCCACTCGTAGCTTTCTTTTATGCTTTCTCCACAGTTGGTCTTATTTTATTCCTACAATTTTGCAATCCAATTACCTGTGATCATATACATTTTGTACTGTTCTATTTGTTTGTTGGAAGTAGGTTTTCTTCAAACCAAATATGTGAGGTCATATGGTTATTCCTTGAAAAGACTAGAAACATCCACTTATTTGTATTTGCTGCCTACAATTTATCTTCATACTTTCACAATCAACAAAGTGCGTGGAAAAGGCGGCTATTTTATAGATATACAATAGTTGTGTAGCTGATGGTATAAAATACATATATTTGCACCCGTTTGACCGATTATTTAGTCAAGGACAGGATAAAAGTGAATAATTATTTTCAATTTTCAGCGATTGAAATTGAAATAATTTCACTTCTAGGTATTCTTTCCTATGAAATCTTTCTTTCCCATGCAGTTGTGGTTTGTGGCCCGGCTTCAGTGGCTCGTTTTCCCTCATTTATCTCTTTTATACTTTCACCCTGCTTGGGAGTGAAATTAAGCTGATATAAATGACATGAGGGGAAAAGAGGACTGTCGCTCTACAAAACTTTGTAAATTTGAAATCAAACGAGAAACATGCTCAACTTTCATCGCCCAACCCTGTCACAGATTTACCTTGATCCTTTCACTCGTCGGTGCTCTGGTAGGAGGCAATCTCACCTCTCCTCCCAGTCCATTGTCCGCAAAAAGCTCTTTCATTTCCAACCTAGTAACGCGAACCCGGCCACATTTCGCTCCTGTTAGAACTTTCACTGCCTCACAACCTGAACAACATATCGAATGAAAAAATGTATACTGTATGAAATCCTAGCAAAATTTATTCAAATTAAATCTTAGAATATGTAATTTTTTCTACCAAATGTTGAGTTGATTTTGAAGTCATATTTCACAGACTAAATTGTGTTTTTCTACGTGTTTTCTTACAGTCGAAGACTCCGGCCGTTCTTGCCCTATACGACGAACAAGATCCAACTTCCAATCAAATTTATGTCGCTACTTTCGCCGTTTGTGGACTTGTTGCTGCCGTTTTAGTAGCAGCGGTGGCAATTTTTCTCGTTCGGAAACATTCCAAGTCGCGAGAGAAACTTGTTCGTTTGTCTCAAGATGACCCGTCTTTTGAAGCATGCAAAGACTACCAGGTACGAGCAAGAGTTTAACTGTTCTTAAAAATAAAAGTATGGATTATTATTACTCGTATATGCATGCATACATGTTAAGTATATGTTAACATGTATACGAAATATGCGTCAACAACGACCACGACCATTTGTGTATCAAGAAGAACTGACATTCAAGGGAATGAGATTATGTAATTCTTGACTGTAGCCACTATGTGGAGAGCTGAGAGTTGTTTTGATAAAACATGGCATTCTGAGAACTAGAAAGTGCAAAACGCTTAAAAAATTTGCTGATTGATTACAACTAACTTTCCAGGATTTGTGTCGGGCTCGAATGGCTGGATCAAAAACGAATGAGAAGATGGAACCAATTCGAGGGCCAGCACACAAGATTGCGAGCAAAGATTCAGAAAATGGAACAAATTCTTCCAGGTCCAGCACTTCTTCTTGGTTAGAATATGCACCCCTTCCTTCTCGCTTTGCCTTAGAAAAAACTTGAAACGAGCTTAATTTTGCAACAACTAATATTGTATGAATGGATGTATGTATTTTGTGGTGTGGTCGGACTTTTCATCAACAGAGATAATTAATATTATTCTTAATTCTTCTTCTTTCAATGCAATTTTTTGTCAAAATCAGCCGCATTCTGAAGCTTTGTCAATGATAGCAAATTAATTTTAACTTGAAAATTTTCAGGAGCGAAGAGCCAGTTATGACAAATATGGACATCTCGACTGGACACATGGTTTTGGTGAGATATATATTTCCTCATGATATTCATATTCATCTGTTGCTATCATTGTGCCCACTTTTACACGGCTTAATTTTAAACATTTTTATAGGAATACATGGAAGACCATCTGAAGAATAAGGACCGTCTTGACAAAGAGTGGGCAGCGCTTTGTGCATACGAGGCTGACCCATGCACCACGGCCGTGGCAGAAAAAGTAGGCGGCTAAGAGAGTTCACCACTTATTCCAAGTTTTTACCAAAGCACGTCGCTTTATAATGTTTAAAAATATTACCAGGCTGAGAATAGCAAGAAGAACCGATATAGCAACTCCCTTCCCTTTGATCACTCTCGAGTAGTTCTCTCAGCAAATGACTTGGCAAATGTTTGCGGATCAGACTACATCAATGCTTCAACTATTGTAAGTCACGAACGAAAAACAATCATTGTAACACGTATTGTATTTTGTAAGAACTCAAATTTTCTGTGCAGACTGATCATGATCCAAGAAATCCAGCCTATATTGCTACCCAAGGTATACAAAATAATAAGTGTTTTTATCAGTCCATTTCTTATCCATTTGATTCTCGGTGTAGACTTTAAAAATGCATAAGAAGTTAGTTGAACATAAATGTGACCACCGCTGGAGTTGATTTATGTATTTACCTATTTGTTTAATCCCTTTAGGTCCCTTGCCCAACACTGCAGCAGATTTTTGGCAAATGGTTTGGGAGCAGGGTACGCGCATCTCATTGTGATTAAACCTCATCGAATGATTAAAGTGCTTGTCATATGACAAGCACTTTAATCATTCGATGAGGTTTAATGCTATTGTTATTACTTGTTATTCTATCTGTATATCTGTATATTACTTGTTATTCTATCTGTATTTTTAGGGAGCGTAGTAATTGTTAATCTGACCCGGTTGACAGAAAATACCACAGCTTTGTGTCACCGATACTGGCCCGAGGAAGGATCAGAGCTGCACCACATTTACGAGGTATTTAACATTTGGCCTCCAAATGAATTGATTGAGTCATTAGAAAAAAAACTATTACTGATTGTGCAATTTGTGATACGATTTGCGGAAAGCTTCAAGAAAATGATAAATTTATGTCTCGTTTCTAGTGTTTCTTAGTAAGCGAACATATTTGGTGCGATGAATACTTGGTAATAATCACACATCCTGCAATTTGTATGTTACTAAATAAGCATCTCCATTCACGTAACAATTTCATCTTAGGTTCGAAGCTTTTACCTCAAGAATTTAAAAACTGGAGAAACACGTACAGGTATTGAGCATTTTTTGTACTTTCTTATCTAAGAAATATCTAACTTTTCCGATTTGCAGTGACGCAATTCCACTTCTTGGCTTGGCCTGAAAATGGAATACCACAGAGCACCAAAGCTTTACTGGAGTTTCGTAGGTGAGGGGTTTTCGGCTGAATACCTTATTATGCGATATGTTGTTGTATGAACATAGGTTTCCACTGGACCATGAGACGCCCACGCCGGAATCTTTCGCCATCATTTTTGTGATTGTTGCAATTTCGGGGATATTATAATTGCATAGTCATAAAAGTGATGGGAAAGGATTTCAGAAGTCGACACGGGAGGCATCAAATTTATAATAGGATACAAACTATGTCTACTTGCATACTAAAAATACGTATAAATTTGTATTAGTTAGTATTATTGTAAAAATATGGCATTTTTTTGCAACACAGGAAGGTGAACAAATCTTACCGAGGTCGGTCATGCCCCATTATCGTTCACTGCAGGTATTAAATGAAATAAAAAATGGCTTCCATTTCACCATAAATTATAAGTCTCTTTTGATATAACATTGTATTAATTTTTCCGTACAGTGATGGTGCTGGACGCAGTGGAACGTATTGTCTCATTGACATGGTTTTGAACAGAATGACAAAAGGTGCAAAAGAGATCGACATAGCAGCGTAAGTACTATTTAATTATACCAAGAATTGTTATATTATTCTAGTATCATGGCAGTAATATTATTAATTCTACGACGGGTTTTACAGATCCCTTGAACACATTCGAGATCAGGTAAGCATAAGAATATTTAAGTCTCCTATTGCCCACATTCACGCTTTTTATCCACTCTTCGTGAGTGATGCCCGATCTACAAACATCCAACGCCCTGGGGCGGAGGTCAAGCTTATAGCCAAGTCCAAACCACCCCCAGGAAGTTTATGCGTACATATCTACGATCGTAGCTCGATCACTACCTTTGCCCATTCTCTTCATCAAAACCTTCCTGACATGATTGGCGTCGACCAATACTGCAAAGTTCCCTTTGCTGTATTGGCCGACGACATTATTTGATATTATCAAAGCGAAACGACAAAGCCAGCTGACAATACACGGCCTTGTGTGGAAACGCCTAATATTTATGCATCGATAATTAATTTAGTATTTTTTAATTTCAGCGACCAGGAATGGTTCGAACTAGGCAACAATTTGAATTTGTCCTCATGGCTGTGAGTACATACATATTTGCTTTTTTGGAAAATAATAAGCATCATTGACCATTAAATCATTATTACAGGTGGCTGAGGAAGTTCATGCAATTCTGAAGCAATGCTTGTCTAAGTAAAGCAGGCGCGAGAGGAATTCTTCACTCCATTGACGCTGACCGATTATAGTTTTTCGTTTTCAAACCTCATGAAACTACTAGTCAAATCTGCGGCAGACGAAACTTTACCACAAATTGTTTGCCATGAAATGTAACGTTTATATGCACGTTTTACTTCAAATTTACACAAAACTATTGCATACGTGGAGGAAAATTGTTTACTGTTATACCCACAATTACTTATGTGTTTATGTAAACAGACGTTTGCATAACAAACTTGATAGATTACGTACAGATTGTAGTTTGACATAATAGCGTAGTATTCTATTGTTTTGATAAGTTTTACACCCTAACTTTGTGATTATTAATAATACAAAAACTGATACGTACATCATTTTATTGTGTACCAGCCTCACGATAAAACGATGAACTAAAAATTCTCTCCAAAATATAACTCGAAACCCATATATAATGATAAATATGTATGTATAAACCTTTACGTAGGTATGCATTTGACATTGATTAGCTAAATCAGAATTCCTCTGCTGCAGCAGTATATGTTCGTATAGAATACGACATGGATATATTTTCTTCAAAAATTAATAACTACTCTAAGATGGCCCAATTTTCTGTATGCAAGTGTTGTCGTCGGGTAGTGCACACATAAGAAGTCACAGGGTAGAATTTTTTTCGGAATTTCCGTCACCGAGTATTTTAGCGTCAAGCTCCCCGGTAAGCATACATATTTATGTAGCACACGCACACACATTTCCACGTCACACCCACTCCGCACCGTATTGCATTGCACTTTTACCTAATTGTAGACAATTAGTTTTGGTGTATTGATGTTACTTGTTGTGATTAATTAGAACTTCATGTGATGATGTTAGTTATGTGGAAAGTTGCATTCACGTATATGTATCATCTGTCTGTAGCCATGTAGTGTCAACTTTTACGAAGCTAAGTAAATATTCGTATGTCTGTTGTTTGTGACAGATATTTGATGTATCATGAAATCAATCAATGTACCTGTTGTAAGTGTCAATGTATCCCAAGTCAAAAAAAATCCAGTCTTGTTCTTGTCCAAGCAAATCATATATCTAATTATTCATCACCACTCCATGTAATTTGTCAGCAATGGCAAATGTCAAACTGAGCTGGTTGATGTACATAGAAAATCAGAAAATGTAACAACATTCGTTAGTTTTAGATTATGAGTTGGAGTATGTATTTAAAAAAAACGTTGTTCAAAAAAATTGTCTTGTCCAGCATCAGGTTTGTGTCTGTAAAAAATTGGTTATTTCCGTTGTTGAATACTAGTCTATCTTCGACCAGGAGAACTCGAAGACTGATCATAATAACATGGGGAAATATTGATTGAATTGATTGATAAATCTTTCAACATATATGCATCACCTCTGAAAAAATCCACACACTACACTAAAATCCAAATCAAATATCTAATTTAAATTCGTCTCCTCCTCCTCCACTACTATTGTATATCGATTATATTTTCATTGTATGGCATCATTTTTCATGCTGCTCTAACCTTTAATAGTACGCAAATGTGTTGAATAAGTAATATTACATATTCAACTTTATCTTTAATGATGTAGCACTGTGGATTTTTGATGTCTCTGTGTCCTGCTATCTGCAGATTTAAAATTAATATTGTGTAAGACCATCACATAGGTCATGGTCTGCCACCCTGTTGAACTACTCTTGTTGCACTACCCTTCTCCGAAAATGTTGTGTGTGGTTTATTCTTCTGGTCCTCATGAATCCAAAAAGTATTGAATTATCCGTTTAGTTTACAGTACTTAAATGCGTAGGCTGCATTATACATGTTTAAGGATATACGATGTAATATACAAACATATGTATGGATAAGTATATTATTGATTATATATGTTGTTACTGGCTGTAGTGGTTATCAAAGTAGTTCAAGAATGTTACGTAATAAGGAGTAAATACATATTGATTTGCATAGGAGATAAGGGCAACCTCATCATCCGGCAACTGCAAAGATGGAATTGGTGCTAAATGGTACTAGAATTTTCGTTAGTAGACATATGTAATTATTGTGTAATTATATAATCTTAGATTAATAATAGATTTAATATTATGATTCAATTAACAAGTATAAATTCCAAGAGTATGTGATATGCATGTAATCCACCATCATCGATATCTTAAAAAAATATGGGTTATTCTTAAACTTATTATATTTACCTTTCTCCTAAAGAGATGATCTAAACAAATTTGACAAATTATTCAATTGGAAGTCATTTGCTGCTGCTCCTGCTGATTCGTATTATCTAAAGAACGAAAAGATGCATTCTTATATCGAAAAAACTGGTACTTCTTGTCGAAATAGTAGACGTGTGTAGAAGATATGCATAAAAAGAGTTGATCAGAATTATGTTACTGGTACCACTATTAATTTAATATTCAATTAAGGTGCTAATTAAATTGGATGTATTTTTTCTTCAAATCATATTGGAATTGATTAGATAAGGAAGTGTATTTGGGGTCCCAATAAATTTTACTCTTACTGAATGCATTTTATAAAAATCGTGTCTCTATATGCTTTCAATTAAGTCAATACTCGGCATTTTTGGAAATCCAACCATTAAGGTGACAGTAATTTTTATTAACGTTGCATGGCTGTGTCAATGAGAGGATATATAATTCGTCTACTACATTTTTTAACCGGATTTTATAAAGCCAATGGGGACAAAATAAGGTTCAGGTACAGGACAACATAAATGATGATATTATTACATAACGATTAGAAGTTGGCTGGACGAGAGGGTGCGAAATAATATGGACATAATATAACACTCACTATAAATTATTTCGTGTTACATTCCATTAGCGCTACTGTTATACATTTATGAGACTAAAGTTTGAATTTTGTCCAATGGGAACTGAGTAAAATATCCTTTAAATAGGTATCTCAAAGTTGATGTCAACTTTAGCAGATCGAGCCAACTTTACGATTCCGGACAATTTTACGGCAAGACGTGCGGCCTCATCCAAGTTGTCACAGGCTAAAATCTTTAGACCCGAGCTAGCAATAAGCACTTTTGCATCGTCTACGTTGGTTCCCTATAATTGACCACAATTGACTAATGAATTTGAATTCTAGTTATGGGAGTAATATTAATTTGCATTCCAAATTCAGCTTACCTGGAGTCTGGCAATAATGGGTGTTTTCAGGTTAAGTTCTTTTGCGGCTGTAAATAAAAAGTCACAAATTATTAGTGCAAGTGAAATAAGACGAACCAATATGTACGCTCCCTTCATTACTATCATAAAGTAAAGCTCGTTAATTCTCATTACAACAAAAAGTACTCTCAAATACCTGCGATAATTCCTTCTGCAATAACATCGCATCTCATAATGCCTCCAAAAATGTTGACCATAATGGCATGAACCTACATATACACATAGGATCAATAGGATGTATTGAATATATTTGATGTATGTACACTACAGCGCTTCGTTTTATCTGACCTTAGGATCGGCAGTAATAATTTTGAAGGCTTCTTTCACTTGGGCAGCGGTAGCACCACCTCCAACGTCGAGAAAGTTGGCAGGTGCACCACCATGAAGTTTGATGATGTCCATCGTGGCCATGGCTGTACGAAAGAAGTGGCTAATTATTATCTAATGGAAATGTTGCTTTTATATATAATTTTAACATCCTATAACCTCACGGTTTTGGAAAAAAAATATTTTAAAAAAATGAGATAAGAATTATTGTTGGCATTTGGTGGTGAAAAGTGTAAAAAAAAACTTTTCATGCCACGATTTCCCCAGATTAAAGTCAAGCAATCGTTATCTGGTGGATGACTTAAAAAAAAGTGAACGACGCATTTGGTAGTACATATCATAGCAATCTTAGTTTGTGGAGAAAGATTAATGGCTAAATTTCGAATTTCATTGCAAGAAGTTATTTGTCGCCGTTATTGTACAAATAGACTTACTTACCCAAGCCTGCCCCATTTACGAGACATCCAATATCCCCATCAAGAGCAATATAATTCAAATTATGCTTCGCAGCTTGGGAATAAAAACAAAATAGATTAGCTAACAGAATGCTGGTAATCGGTGTGATTAAATTTATGTAATAACGTCCGATCTAACCTTCTACTTCTTTTTCGTCTTCTTGAGCCCAATCTCTGAACGAGAATATTTCTTTCTAAAGGATAGACAACGACATTTTTATTGCATTTCAATGTTTAAAATCCCTTATATATATGTTAAAACATATGATAAAATCATTATCACTAACTACTCAGTACTTTTCAAAAATATGTATCCACAAATATTCAACTAATCAAATTTCCAATAATTATTACTTAGCGTCATTAGTACACTTACCTGTCGAAAGTCAGCGTTGTCGTCAAATCTGATTTTAGCATCCAAACTGATAACTGTATAATGTTACAAAATGTATTGTATGTACATCACAAAACCTTCAATATTTATCTAATAATTCTGTCTGTCAAGCTTACATTCTCCATTTGAGTCTTCGGCTAAGGGATTCAACTCGACCATGAGGGCATCTGATTTCACAAACAGTTGGTACACTTTTAAGAACATTTCTGAAATTTCTTTTGCCCGATCTCCAAAACCAAGCTTTTGTGCAACATCAAGAGCTTTGGCAGCACTTAAGCCTTCAACAACATCAATTGGTATTTTGAGAATGGCGTCAGGGTTTTCCGCTGCTACATCTTCAATGTTAACTCCTCCCTGAGACGATGCGATTATGACTGGGCCCTGAAATTTGATTATGATCTGACTTTAACATTATTCTTATACATTACTAATTCACTCTCCATAAATAACTGTACCCCAAACGCTCTTTCCATCATGATGCAGAAATAGTACTCTTTTCTTGGGTACTTTCTCTCCGTAATCATGACCATGTTACAGATTCTTCCTGCTTCGCCGGTTTGCTTTGTAATCAAGTAGTCCCCAATCATTTGTGAAGAAAGGTCTCCTGCTTCCTCTGGACTGAATAAAAGATTTTAAGTTTAAATCTTCTACACAATATTTTAATGCGCATTTTAGGTGTTTAACTCTTACGAATAAACTAGCTTGACTCCACCCTTCAAGCCGCCTTTGAAGTGTCCCTTTCCTCTTCCCCCGGTCAACACTTGGGCCTTAATAACTAAATCTTTGGTTCCAAGGTCTTTCGCGATTTTTGCCGCTTCAGGACCCGATTTCGCCACTCCGAATTTGGGAACTGGGATCCCATTGTTCTTAAGAATAGTGTAACTTACATATTCGTGAACATTCAAGAATCGTTTCGACTCCTGTAATACTGCCTGTTCCCCAACAAAACCACAAATGTACACAAATTAATAAAATGTCGGACCTTTGGAATGCAAATCTAAAAAACGACCAGTTTAATAATTTAGAAAGGTGCCAGTAATAATTTTGAAAAAGAAAAAGCAAAATACTAAAGTTAGCGTTGTGTGACTTACTTGAGGGTTCAGCATACGCGTTAATGCCGGAACTGTTTTACTCAGGAGATGTGCCATATTTACACCACTTGATAACACCTTATCGACAAATATAATTACTAGTGACGGTGTAGTGGTGGAAAACCAGCAAGAATATCAAATTGGGTTTGATTTTGGACGATAAATTAATGGGTCTGGGGTTGGGATTTGTGATCCTTGTTTTCCCGGAAACGGATTTTCACTCGCTGGATTTAGTCACTCGGAGGCTGCAAAGAGGAAACTCGGGCTTTCTCCACTCAACTTTCTCCTCACTTTTCAGCTACTTCATTGACCCCAATCTAAAATTCCATTGTATTTTCCAAATATGCATTAACATCTTAATAAGCAGAGCACAATTTGTAATAAAAAGCATGATATTTCTTTATTACTGACCATTGTACAAGAAACAACTTTCTCTTCAGTTATATTATGCATGTAAATGTTTATTTGTTACGTACTTGCAACTCTTTGTACAAATGAAATGAAAATCATTGAATCATTAATTAAATTATAATTAAAAATCATCTCATTCATATTTTTAGAGATAATTGTTTCAATCCTCGTATTATTATTGAATTAATTTCATCTTCATCGGAGGACATTTTCTTTATACTTTCAAGTTTATTGATAGCTATCTTTCACATACAGTGAACTTCGTCAGTCAAGTTAGATAGAAAATTAAAAAGTTTCATCATCTCCTTTATAATTAATCATAAAATTTTGTTTTATCATTTTGTAAGCTTTAGGTAAGCTTTATATGTACTTATACAAATACATACTTTCTAAATATCGTCGATTTTACAATTTTTGCAAGACGTTTGATATTTTCAGATAATGTGTGACACATCATATTAATACTCCGAGAAATTTTAAAATATTTATATTTATATTTATTTTTTGTGTATTCTTGTATCATTACTAAATATATACAACTGTTTAATAAAAACCAGTACGATAACAGCAAAAAAATGATGCAATCATGTTGACGAGCTCGTATTAGACGTTGTAGATTTTGCGGATGTCGTGTCGACACATTTTTTCAAGTGACATCAAGGATGACAATAAGCTTTTGATCTCGAATGATAAATGTGATGACGGCATGTGTTCTTTGATTTATGCTACGTGTCTCAACTGCCCTGAAATCGGAAAATCTGAGAGGGTTTCAACTCTGAATCTTCAATCAAATAACAGACTATAAAGTTAAATCCATGCTGACCATCAATTTCCAGAATGACACTTGATATTCAACTTGTCTTCCGTGAAAATGCTAAAAATACAGATCCGGCAGTGCGTCTGAAGTAATTTTTCTGAATAAAGGGATTCATTCGACAAAAAAAGTGTCTTGTGAAAAAGTTGGCAGAATTGAACTTTATATTTTTTTACATCATCAAATAAATATTAATTCCAGTTTAGAAATGACATGAAGAAACGTAAACTTTACTTTAGAATCATTCACTAAATTGAATTAAGGAATATTGCTTTTAGGGAAACATACGGTTGTTGTATGTAGGCGAGTAATAATTCTGAACCTTGCTGTACATATCATCTTATGGTTCTTAAACCATGCAACAAATTCAGACGAGCAAACGTGATAACAGTGACGAATGACATGAATTTAACTTAACACAGAGAGCGAAACGCGTCGAGTTAGAAAACGGGAGATTGATTCTCTACATCAATCCCGGTTTACTCATGCATACACTTGAACCACTTTCTTTGCTTCAATCCACCTTTACATTTATGTATACATCCATGCATCTCTTTCCTAGAGTAAAAAAATGTCCCCATAAATCTGATTCGCCCGCCCTGAGGTATTTTTGCCCAAATGGGTTTAAATGCCTTGGCGAAAACAGATCGTTAAGCGGCTTTCGGAGGAGAAGGAAAATCTCTCAACCAGTCAAAGAAGAGTACTTCTCGAAATGATGTAGACGAGGTTCTTATAATTCTGAAAAAAATTGAGCCTAAGCTGAACATTTGCAAAACTTTTGTAGAATTATTGACAATGCTGACTAATGATTCCACACAAAATGGTCATTGGCACAACCTTGTACACATGTTTGCGGTTGGAATGAACATTGAAGATGGTAATGAACATATAAGAGTAATAAATTTAATGCTGGGCTTTACGAGGCAATCTGTAGATTAACCAAATGTTATGGTTCTCACGTTGGTTAAAATCTCGAGATTAAAGGGGTAGCACAGTACCACCACGTTCCAACATTTGGAATGAGATTTCTGGGCGTTCTCTCCTGATGAAGGAGTGACGACGAGTAATTCGTCACCCAGATCGAGTGCTTGTCAACTGAGCTCTGTAGCATCAGAAAAAGTGCAATTTCGTCCTCCTCGCATTGACCTGATGGCCATAGTTGAACGAAATGCGAACTAAGTTACTTCTAACTCGAACCCTCTCATCCGTTTACCTTACCTCGTCACGCGTAATGGAAAGCAGCGGCCTCGGTGTGCATTTGAGTGTATGTATGTTCTGAGCACACTTGAGAAGGCCTCGAAAGTCCGAAGAAGTGAAAGTGGGATTTTCACATAGGAAGATGAGACGAGGACAGAATAGACTAGCTGCAACTTCCCCTACTCAGTCTCATTTCAACCCAACTTACGAGCCGTCATCACAAACTCGATAGAAACTTACAGTTATTCAGTTATAACTGATTTACCTCTGGATATCATTTGCACAGAATATCACCGCTACGTACATACACACTGGGTTTACCACCCGGGCTGTCAATAACGCTGTGGGTTTTAGTTGAATGCCAGTAAATAAGATAAAATAAATCCAATGGTCTTAGAAAATTAATATTTGTCTATTTGAGTTCATACAGTAGTACTTCATATCGGCAACAATAACAAGGTTGAACTAGGACCAGTTTGATCTGTTGGCAGTTTCCATTCGCGTGTAGTACTTACGTTGATTTATGAGTGAAAGTTCTTTGTAGAGTTGGAAATCCTGTTTAAAGACTGGTTAAAAATGAGGGACATTTGGTTTGAAGTGAACACCACAGCGTTTCACAACGGAAACGTGAGCATCAATGACATTTTGGAAGAATTTACTTGGGATCACCATTATTTGTACCATCACCCTGAGAATATCTTCCTGATTGCGATTTATCTCCCAGTTTTTCTCATCGCTCTCATTGCAAATATTTTTGTCATTGCTGTGTTCATCAAGTATCGCTCCTTCCGAACGTAAGTCTCGGTTTGTTTCATACCTTAATGTTTTGAAATAAATGTGTGACATCACTCTATTTCTGCGTTTGTGATATTTGTATTGTGCAATATTTATGAACAGAGTCAGAGAAGTGTGATAGGTTGGGTTACGAAACACAAATACATTTTCACGAGAGAAAGTCTTGACTGGAAAAGACAAGAAGGAAACACTTGCACCTTTCCATTAAGGAAGATGAAAGTGGTTGTGATGGAAGAGTCGGGGTAAAATGAAATTAGTTGATGCTGACGCACACCACTGGAGAAAACTTTCTCATCCACGTAATCCATGTCCATGCAGTTTCATTAATTGGTTTTTAGTTGAATACAGATAACAGAACAGAGGAAATGTTCAAGTGTGCCTAAATGTATGCATATCTCAAATGTCCACAGGAAACAAGCAACTGAGGTTGATTTTGTTATATAAGCAGAAAAACAGGAGGTACTGGTGGAGTATTTAATGGGTAGCTCAAATGATATAGGGAGAACCAGGGCGCATAAACTTTTTGTTGTCCGTGGTTTCTCCTAAGGGGGTGGTGCACGGATGAATATTTTTTTCAAAAAAATCGAAAAATCAAAAGTTGGGGAATTGCATGCAATTTTGCCATGAATTTGGTTGTCAACCACTTTTCAAAAATGAAATAAATACATTTTATCCTAGCCTTCACCTCCGAAAATGAAGAATAAGCTCGGAGATTGCTAATATCGGTCAAGTGGTTGACCAGTATGGGTCATCTAGGTCGGATAAGGTCGTTGGTACAGAATATTATAATTGGTCAAATTAGGCTAACAACCAAATTCATGGCAAAATTGCATGCAATTCCCCAACTTTCGATATTTCGATTTTTTTGAAAAAAATATTCATCCTTGCACCACCCCCTTAGGAGAAACCACGGACAACAAAAAGTTTATGCGCCCTGAGGGAGAACAATGGACGGAGACAATTATATATGGAGGAAGGGGTGTGAGCGTTCTAATTTCCAGAACATTTCCAATTTTCTGGTAAAGCACATGATGGAATGTGGTGCTTGATTCTCTTTGAACATACAAACGTGTTGTGCGATATAAATCTTGTCGAGAAACTTATTAGGGCTCAAGCACTGCATACGACAGTGGTTGGACAGTAGAATGTTTTAATCTACTTTTTATCTGGATGCCCATCTGCTGAACAGTACGCTGGGCTTGGAAAATGTAAAGACGATCATTGTGTGCCGCCGATTTCTCGTTCCCTGTAATCCATACATCTTTAATGGATTATTTGAAAGAAAGCCCTGGTCAAAAAAAGACGAGTGTAATAATACTGCCACAATCCAAGATAACAAATCGGGTGACACACTGACAAGGAGAAATACAACAATGACTGTCCAATCTCGCATGGTCAGAAAAGAGCAAATTATGACAATGATGAAGATTGATATGATATCTTTCATCTTAGTTGATATATAACATTTCCACTTGATGTCGTTATTGAGAATTTACCAACATCTTGCCATGAAGCAACATACATGGACGAGCTTATTAGTTTGTGTTGCTTTGTTGTGCAATTATTATTATTACAGTTGCTAAATGATTCACAAATACAGGAATACACAAGATGTTTTTCTCTGAAAGGCTAAAAATACGAGGTTTGGAAAACTTATCTACTGTTGGTCGACCTTAATCCCAGTAACAATAACACGAACAAGTGGCGATGCCAATAACATGTAATGTGATATTCATGCATATGGACAATGTACTTACAATCGTCGACCTAAGCTTGTTTACCATTTTTGAAGATTCTGCACATGTGTACAGTACATGCAGGTTACAACAGCCTGATCCGATATAAATTTGTTAGATTTTTCAGTTTATTCAAGTTTTGAATATGCTACGGAAAACTGGACTGTTTACTCATACGGCGCTCATGTACATATATCTACCACCATAAGACGAGTCTATATTAACAAAATTGGGTTTTCTGAGAGCAATATAGTTTTTTCCTGCAAAAGATGAAACATTCGATCACATAGACTGGAAACTAGACAATTTCTTTTGTTGTCTGGAGCAAACAAGTCCATATTGTGTTTCCTGAAGCCCGTGCTCCTTTCCTTCGACGACTTAAATTATAGTACTTTCACCCAAACTGGAGAAGTGGTTCTCGATTCTAGAATGATACTGGTTAACAATTTGTTAATAAATTTGAATGCATATAACATGCTGGAGGCAGTACTTTGTGAAGCACAGTTTGGTTGAGAGAATGCAATTACTTATATTCTCTCAACCAAACTGTACCTTTACCAATTATCGGTAAATTATATTGGATTGAAAATCATGAAGCATAAAATGAACTGTTTTAAACATTGTCGTGAGTTGAAGTTGCACAGCGTCTAAAAGTTGGTGGCACAATAATTATTTTCGCTATTATGAATGTACTCAGGAAGGGAAATAACAACCCTAAAGAAAAATTAATTCGTCCCCGGCGAATCAAACTTTCGGGTCTTATATCTAATGACGACCTATTGAAAATTTCTATCCGATATTTTTTTTAATATGGTGGATATTTTCCTTCTGGAATTCTACCAAAAATGGCTTTCACCAGAAGTTTTCATGCCATTTTCAACACATTTAGATCGCAAAGAGAAAGTATTTAAACGGAGGGAAAGTTTCATGTTCGTAAAGTCAAACAGAATTCGTCTTTTCTTTTCGGAATCAACAACTTTCAACATTGCAATTATTGTTTATTAATAGCAATGATTTTGATTTTACAGCGTGACAAACTGTTTCCTTCTAAATCTCTCCTGTGCTGACCTCCTCGTCTCTCTGATCTGCATGCCTGCCGCCGTAGGTCAAGCAATTCACAGTGCATGGTTATTCGGAGATTTCATTTGTAAGGCAAGCCATTACATGCAAGGTAATTATCAACTTTGATATTCTTTAATTTTGTATCTCATTAATGTATGCATTATAATTAGAAGGATTGTGCGAGTACTCTAATTATGATATTGCATCCGTCAAATGAGAAATAATGTTCGTTAAAACAAAACTTGCAAGTCTGATAATTCCTGCAATAAATTCTTCTTGTTTAAAAAAATGATTCTTATTTTAGGAGTGGCCGTAGGAGCTTCAGGTAATTAGTTTTTTAGACAAGTTAAACTGCATAATAAAATAGAATAAGTTATTGATATTCTCGTATTTCCCCAGTGTTCACATTAACAGCCATGAGTTTGGACAGGTACAATGTGCATAATACGCATTTGACATATTTATTAAGAAAAACTTCCAATTGCAACCATGTAAGTTCATGAAACACCAGTCTCATTTATATATTATGCAAATAGGTATCTGGCAATTAGGCATCCACTCAAGAGGAAAAATTTTGTGACAAAAAAACTGACGTTAAAAGTACGTTACATGAAACTTAATTCATTTTCTAATTTAGTTATCATAAAATTGCATGTCAACTAAGAATTATATGCAAACTTTATTAACATAAATCATCCAAAAACTCTTTTCATAGGTGATATTTTTCATTTGGGTGATTTCCTTGTCCATGTTTTCGCCGATTTTGTACGTCCGTCGGACCGACGGGTTCAGATTTCTCACACACGATTTTGTATTCTGTTTGGAGGTAAGTATTTTGAGTACGTGAGTATCATCGCGTTGAATGTTATGTGATGTCTCCCAAATCAGATCAAATGGCACGAGTCGTTCTATATTCTGAATGTGGTGTGGAATGAATCAGGTTATTGATTGGCTGAGGATGAGTCAACTATTGTCATTCCTTTATTGTGAAGTTGTTTTGTCATCGCTTTTAGAAGATTAACATTCCCATTCAACATTTATCTGTGCATACAGACGTACATACATGCCAAAGCATATCGAGCTCACAGTTCGTCGATTCGTTCAACTATTTGATTGAAATATTTCATTCCAAGAATAACTTTTATAATCAATGAAAAATTCCATAGTCCTTATTTTTGCCGAATTATACCAGCTTTACATAACTTGACGTACATGAATTAAGCTATTTATCGAGTTTTTACGTGGAGCCCTGCTCTGTTGATTGATGAAGACAAAGGATGAAAATTCTTATCCTGATCCTTCTCTGACGAGATTTATCCTTTTACTACATTCTCCTAAATGAGGATATGCATAATATATTCATCGGGGAAATGTTACTAGTAGAAAGAATTTCTGGATGATTTTTTAAATACAATTCAACAGGAATGGAGCAACTCTATCACTCAACGACTATTTGGTTCAGTAGTTTTTGTCGTGGTATATGCGCTTCCGGGAATAATTATGGTCGTCGCCTATGCCTTGATGGGGTGCACACTTCGAGAAGTTCACTTGTTCCCAGAGATGAACGATGACACGAGACAAGTTCAGGTTAGTCAAAGTCATGTTAAGTTTGATAGTCTTACTTCGTGCCCAGGTCACGGATAAAGTGGTCACAAGTATTTATCTGCAACAGATCTACACCTTGGCCACAATCAATTTGATGAAGGTATTTGATGGTATCAATTGCTGGTATTGAAAGATGGTATCAATTTGATGGTATTGAAATTTGAAGGAAAGGAGAAAAGTGGCACGAACGTTAATGGTTCTTGCCATAGTGTTCGCCTTTTGCTGGCTCCCCTCCAGCGTATTGGGCTTAATTCTGGACTATACAGCCCCGTCGTCGTCGACCAAGCCTGGGACATCCACTTCTGAGACCTCGGAGTATGACCTTTATATAAAATTGCACAGATTCCTAATCCTTTTAGGACATGCAAATAGTTCGATTAACCCGTTCTTATATTGTCTAACAAGAAACTTCAGAAATCTTGCAAAGGACTGGTATCACTCTGTACGGAGATAAAATTTTGCCCCCCCCCCTAAAGCTTAATATTATATTATGTTCTCCTCAAGGCCAACAATATGTTTCGTAAGTAGTTTGTCTGGTAAATATGCTAGAGTTGGAGTAAGTGCAGTGATAAACTGGGGTATATGTACATATATATGTATTTACGAATATGTAGCATGTCCAAGAAATTAAAACGTTAGCATTCTCAAATTATTAATTTTGTCAAATTGATATTTTTAGATTTAATAGCAAATACATTCTGATTATCCAGAAAAATCTTCACTTCCTTCAAGGACGGCAATACGTAATCATGAACCATCATTGCAGCTCTTCTAAAAATAGTTAGTGATCCAAAAGTAAATTAGTTTTCCAGTTTCATTTTAACCAATCTGCGTAGTTTACGATTTATCTTATAGCAAAGCTACTTTTCCTCACCTCAGAGTAGAGAAAGAGCTCGATGTAAGCCAAAATCTCATTGTGTGCGGAGCAAATGATGGGAATATGTACAAGTGAGTCCGGGATCGTCTGTATTGTAGACTCCAATACCACTCCACTCTCTTCACCATTGTCCTCAAAGATTTTGGTTTCTTTAACATCAGCAAATTCAAAGGACCTGATTCCTGTTTGATCACAGCAGTAAATAAATATTCGTTGTTTTACATTGCCCTCAACGAGTAGAAATACAAAATTAGCCCAAATGTCAAAGTTGACAGTAGGGTTCAAAACAAAAACAGAACACTCCTCCATTGTGTCATGACACAGACAGACATCGTAGTTCAAGTCAGAACAGGGAGTGATATGATATGATATGGCATGACCATTGACAATGAGTTGAATTGCTCATAGTAAATATGTTACGCTGGTTGAGGTAAGTTTGCATTATCGAATTACATACTTTCAATAGTATCGTTCAATGAAAACGCTTGCATGGCGAAAGCAACACTATCATCTTGAACCTGTGTCGGCAACAACCAGGTTGGAGTCAACAGGGAAGCAATTTGCTGAAAGTCAATGCCAAACAAATCTTCATCCTGAAGTTCACTTGGCTGCAAAACACTCCTCTCCATCAACTCGCATGATAAGTCACACTGATCAAACAAAATGCTTGGATACAAAATCTCATTTGGCTGAGGTACATGATTATGCGTGTACTTGTCGAAGAACAAGTTTAGGGATTTAAATATGTGAGGAGAAACTGAAATTAAAAATCTTACAATATTAGCTATTGCATTTTCCATGGCCCAAGACAAGTTACGCGACAACTTTGTGAACACAGTGCTTTGCAACTGTTTCAGGCACAAGTCAGTCTTTGGAGCTGTGTCCATGAGAGAGTTAAGACCGATTTCGAATGGAAATGAACTATTCTCACAACATCGTCCTCCACGATGAATTTCTTCTTCCCAAGGTTCACAACTACCACCATCCTGAACATTAATATCGGAAAGATTATTAATCATCCATAAACGAAGTGATAGCGCCAGTGGTTGCCATTCCGAGGTGATCGCTGTGATCCCTGTGTAATTTATTACCAAAATACTACCTGTCCATAATCCCTTCTGCTGCTGCTGCTCCTCGGATCTGAGACTGTTTCACTACAAACCTGCAAAGTCAGGAGAACTATTCAGATCCATGACTTGGACACTGACATCCAGTATGACGGGCTGTGGCAATGTTTGGATAATTACTTGCAGTTCGATGTCGAAATAAGTCCTACGTAACTTGTTTAGTTGATCAAACTCGGAAACATCGGTGCTCACTGCTTATTATGTGTGCATAATAATCCAGAAACAAATTATCATCTAAATGAAGTATGTATTGGATACCCATGAAGTTGTATTTATAACAGAATCCACGTACGTGCTTCGACAGATGCAACTTGTTCCATTATTTTAGCTTGGATCTCTGCTGGATATTTGGCTGACATCAAGTTGGCAAATTTGCTTAGAGTAATCTTGCTTTCCCCTCCATTTCTCGTTTGTATAATGCAAGAGTACACTTTCCACTATAGAATTAAACCAAGATTCTTTAAAATGGTTATTTTTTACCGTTCTAATATCAGCTAATTTCAGTAAACACAAAATTTGTATGCTGAAAATCGACAAGTGTGATGTCGTACTGCTGCTTGGTAAGCATTATTCACGTCATCATCCTGCATAGATCCCTCCGAGGTGCACGTATCCCATTTCTCAAGGAGATTGATGCCAGGTTCAACAACAGACATGTTGCAGCACGTGAAACTTGGATTGACAATAAAGTGCACCTTCTGGCTGCAGAAAGCTTCAACTTCAGTCTTATGTCGAAATGCTCGGTAGCTCTAATAATTAAAAACTTTTCAATTAATTTAATTCCAATTTGTACTACAAATACTAAACAACTCATTGTCAGTCAACCGTACCATTGTCCGAAAAATGTGGGAAATAATTATTAAAAGTAAAATATAAAAATGTATGCAGCCCATGGTGGATAGCTAAACGAGTTGTTTAATTTATTTTACGAACTACGTACATATTTGGATTTTGTATACGATAGGTGTGAAAGAGAGAGTGTAACATTAGTATGAAAATATTTTGTTGGGCGACTTTCACGCAAGGCGACTTTGAAAACATTACCCAAAATGTTGGGGATTTCCGGTCGTGAGTGTATTATGCATTCAAATTGTGACAATCAATCACGAATAGTTGTCTAACAATAGTTTAACTGAATAAAAAAACTATAGAGCCGCCACGTCACAACTGTTCTGCTTGAAACACCACATTGTCGCCAATATCAATATATGAATAAGCGATATGTAATTCTATTGAATACTATTCGAATGTGAATCTCATACATACGACACTTTGAGAACGACAATTAATTGAGGCACATTTGGAGTAAATATATGTAACATTATTTGACCTTTCGAATTGCACATATTTATACAGCTTCGCAACTCTGCTCATGCAGATTGTCATTCTGGAGTGAAAAATATAATAAATATCAATGAAAGCATTTTGAGAGAATGTCATAGCTAATTCAATGTTGTTTCCGCTTTCCAAGTGCTTCCTTCCTTTTAGACGCGCAAATCACGATTGGCTTAAATTTAATATTTAATTAGCCCCCGTCGTACGTATTTCTGGGCCAAAAATTGTGCACTGATATGCAATAAAAAAAGTAAAAACTGAGGCTTTTTATTTTTTATTCCATATTAGTGTTCTTTGTTACGTAAAACAACAATCAATTGTCCTTTGATACCAATATAAATTTACCACATTTACGTACTATTATGGACTAGACAATAAAATATGGCAACTAAAAAAAGCGAAATGTATTCAAGAATATTACTATTAAGGACACGCACTTTGATCAAATTAAACATGTTGGTATAGGTTATCAATTTACGAAACTTTATACGCCCAACTAGAATAAAATTGATGGAGGCTTGAACGGAAATTGGATGCGACACTGTCGGATTATTATTGCATAAAACAACGGTGGTGGTGGTGACGGCAGTGGCGGCGGTGAAAGCAACATGATTTCTCATCCTTCTCAATTTCACCCCGTTCCTATAATCCATGTTCGTTAGGACAGCTAATGTTCGAGTCTGTGTGGAATAAAAGCAGGACGTGAGGGACACAAGGCAAGGTGAATGTGGAGCTTATGGATAAATAGGATTTGGGGACACCGACGACACCTTTGCTAACTGGAACAATCTTCTTAAGTGAGACATAGATCCCGTCTGCAAATTGCAATCCCCTTCAAAGCCGAGGAGAGAGAGATCCAGCATAATCTCATTCCTCTCGATCTCTCTGGAGAATAGGCAGCATAGCAGATTCGACCATGGATTATACCATTCTGAAACTGCTGTTCTGCTCTGCCCAGATAATATTAATTTCTATTCAACTGACAAATGGGATACAAAATATGCAATAATATTTTCATAGAAAAATATGTATATATATCATTTTTATGTAGCGCATGTAATACTCAATAATCTGCTTATGCATTCAACTGGTGAAAGCAAACGCCGAAAACGCGTTTTTCCGCATCCATCTGCCACCTATTATTGTCATCATTATTTAGGGTCGCAGCATAGCGCTATATTTCTTTATTCAGGAGACAAACGATGATGTCCAGGTTCAGAAGTGAGTGGTAATAAGTAGTGAATACGTACAAGAGAAATGGAAGTGGGCCCTCGTGTCGCATACGCATAACCAACTAATAATCAATACACAATAATTCGAGTAGTACATTGGCGTAGAATGTGAACCCATGTGGTTTGCAAAAGAAAGTATGTGGTGAAAGTAAACACGAGTTTATTCGACTTTTAAAATTTTTCAAAGTGGTAAAAGTTTTTTCTCTGTAAAATCACGTGTCGTAAAATCCTTTCGAGTCATGCACTTTTTCAATTGTCAGTTTTAATTTTTTATTTTATCCTGCCTTCGTTACTTGTCACTCTGGGCTAAAGCGACACTGTTCGCATATAGGTTAATACAAGTCAGTTCAACTCGCATGTAAGGCAGCTCTCGACTTTCTCTTCCCTGGAGTATGGAGTTTTGCAGCTTTCTATTATTACTCCAATTGACGTTATACTACACGTACGTACGTCGTCGTGGTTTGTTTACCTCAAGTCGGCGAAATCGGTTTGTGATAGGCAGGACGAATTGAGGCCGTGGAAAATTGCTAAGAGGAATGTCGTTTTATTAATTTATTTATAATACGCTCTTCAAGATCTGGCGTCACATCTTTATTTTTATACTATTGAAAATTTGGTGGTTCAGAATGTAAATTGTTTATATAACACAATTCCCATTATTCTAGTAAAGTTCCTAATTTGTTGCAACCCCGGGCTTATTGTACTTAATAAAATGTAAATAACGAGCGTTTTCTTAAATCTACAGTACAAGGGTGGCGTAGGTAAATGGTAAAACATAGCGCATAACGTCAACAACTGATGATTGTTCACAGCTTTTACAGCATCGCGAAATCTTGTACTGCCCCATTAGTTGAACTTGTACCTGTTTTCACCATTGTTTATAATTAGTACACGATAAAGAGTTGAAGGAATGAAAAGTGAAAGTGTGAGAACCAAGGCTGGATTAAAACACAAGACAATGCTACTCAACCAAGAGAAGTGGGGAAACCTGAACTTTCTCCTGTGGTCAGACAAAAGGTTCCACTACTTACAAATTTCTATACAAATTGTCACCATTGTGTCTCTGGTAAGTAATTAAGGTGGTTAACATTGATTAAATTAAAATACCTTTCTTGTCATTAATAATACCTTCTTCCGGGTCTATTGTAACACGTATGTACATGTTATCTAGATTTGTGCCACATCAGAAATAATATTTGGCTGCTGGTCGCTAAACATACTGTCGACTTGTGCTGATCATCAGTCCTCCAACGTGGACATTAGTTCTACAAAGTCGAAACATGTGGCCATTTCAATGGCCATTTTCTTAACTTTGAGTGCACGAATTACTGCGTTAGTCTTCTGGATTAGGTCGACGAGAAATGTAAGTAATCAAAATCAAATTAGTTACACCCTCCTCAACCCAACCAGCAACTGTCCTGATCGTTCCTGTTGATTGAAATTAACGAAATTGAACATTGCAGGAGAATTTACGATGCTACTCGGTAACCTCACACTGTACATTTGTCACCGTCTTTGTAGTGTTGGGTCTTGGGGGACTACTAATTTATTTTCTGACAGCTTCCCTTGAGCTTTCAACAGGAAGTTTTCGACCAAATACGGAAGTTGTGTGGGCCTTTTGCTACATTGCTGTTTTCGACATGGTCTTCTCGGGCACATTTGGATGTGCAGTAGCGAGCGACTTGCAATGTAAAATCAGACGTGAGTGGGAGTACGAACCAGCAGTCAAAGCAGTTTCTGGAGAAAACTGGGTCAGATCCACTCAGCTCAGTTGTCGCTTAGCAAGGTGGAGAGAGGCTCCAGTGCATGAGGTGTATGTCTGATTTCATAATGATAAGATAAGAGAGTAACAGACAGAGACATTCTTCTCAATGCTCTCTCCATACATAAACATGGTCTCCTCTTCAGGAAGGAGAAATGTGGTGCTGATTCTGCGTTTCTACGAATTCAATACTGCCCTGAACCCTATGCAGTTGACAGTGCTTAAACCATTAATATATGGGTTCGTATATTTCACGTCAAATTCAATTGTATCATCTGCAGTTGAGGACGCTGGGACAGGATTCTGGACTGGGGTTTGAACTTATTATGCGACATTGACAAGTCTAAATTGCGTGAAGCCGTGAGAATATAGAAGAAAGTACCAATATTAGTTGATAGTTGCTGAAGAAAACTATATTATGCTCTTTATGTGCTTGCTGTGCAAACTTATTTCTCAAACTGTAACGAAGATTTACAGTACGTATTTATGTATTTATGTATTTATGTACATATGCGCATGGTATTTATGTGAAGGTCAGAGGTAATATAAGAAGATGTTGATGAAAATAGTCGCATATTTTAATTACTTGTTTTAATTCGCAAAAAATATAAAATAAAATATATACTTGTATTCAAAGGAGGTTTGTATAACTTTTATAAATGTTGATTATTGTTTCATCTGTTTTCCATACATGGGATTTTGATACGTTGCCACCGGCGTTTGGTATAATGGGTTTTCGGTCTAATTCACAAAAGATTATACATTATAAGTACATACTAATATGTATTCATCCTAAAAGTCTTACGTTCTTAAAAGCTGCCTTCTGTGTTTCACCCTCAAACCGTGCATATTCTCGCTGGTCAGAAACTACAAAATAGATACATGTAAGCGGTGAAAGTATGAAATTATTACCAAACTGAGTAATTATAGACAAATTGAGACTACGGAGTAAATTGAGACTGGCCAATATCATGTAATGAAATCTCAATCAGAACAACTCCGAGCAAAGACATTTTCTTTTCATGGCCTTATCCTACCCTTCAAACTTTTGGTACTAATTTCTTAGTTTCCTAGATTTCGAATGCACTTGTACATACTTTTGATAAGTCTTGTGAAATGAATTTACTTACCTTCTGCATATACTTTCCAAGCAATAATTAAACACACTCCCACCACCACAATTATGGAAATAATGGCTATCAAAATCCAAAAAATTGGCGGCGTGGGCGGACATTCTTTTGTTTTTTGAACATCGATATAACGAGGATCATCAGGAGTTTGATCATACACAAAATAGAACGCGCATTGATCTGTGGCATCCTCAGCTCTGCACAAGACTTCATCGTCCGACGAGGAATCTTCTGTAATATTTTAGGAAAAACAACTTATCAAATTCCAGTAAATCTTGAATAATTAATTACATAAATTCCCAAGTAAATCAATTTCTTTACTAACGTGAAATAACCTCAACAATGGCTATTGGTTTGGTGTAGCATTTTAATTCACACTCTCCGGCATTTTCATATTCTCCAGTGCCATATGCCTTGCACTAAATTGAGTTATTTTTTTAAAGTACGTATGAATAATATGCATATGTATGTATGAAAAATAGCTATATTATACATAGTTATTTGTGCTCTTGTGATATTATATACCTGCACGCAGGGAGTAAGCTCTTCACATTTTGTTGGACATGTTTCGTGCTGAAAAACATAAATGCGACATCGCCATGTCTTGAGTCATCTTGATCCGAAGTAGATTCAAATAATTCTATATTTACCAAGCATTTTTCGCAGTATTGTCCACTGTGCTTTCCCTCACAAGAGCATTTCCCACATATGCAGTTTCCGTTTCCACTGCACACGACGTCACTGCCTGGTTTCACACAAGTGCCCTGTGGTGGAGATGCAGGTGACATGTGAATTTGTAACCCTTTAGATTTTTCATTTCCTCCGAATGATGTATGATATCACCTTGTCCTTTGAACAGTCACATGCACTTCCCTCGAATTCTGGTTGGCACTGGCATTCCCCACAAACACAGGAACCATGATTGGAGCAGATTTCTCCGTTGGATTTTTCACAGCTAAAATTGTCACACTCGCAGAATCGGCCACTATATTTCTGTTGATAGAGTCGTAGAAAAATTGTGAACATTTATCAACATGTCTTATACAACTGCTAAGGCGTAAGTAACAAGCACCTCATCTGAATTATGTCTTTTGGAGCAGTCGCAGTGGCCACACAAACAAGAGCCTCTGAAATCGAAAAGTGACTTTATGTATATCAAGATCATTTTTTATTATTCCAAAACTGGGTGTAGATTTGGGACAAGTACGTGTAACACATACATACCTTCCAGAACACACCTCGGTTGAGTTATCTGCCATGCACGCCTTCTTTTCGTCAACGGGAACAGCTTTTTCATGCGCATTACACTGGCAGAATTCACCAAAAAATGGTGGATAGCAGCTGCATAAGCCACATTTTTCAGTGCCCTTTCCACCACAATTCGGCGAATTTTCTACCTATTCGTATATATTTAAAGTTGAAACAGTGTTCGCAAACTAAATCTGTATAAATCACGTCCCGTCGTATTCTACGTGACTTGTACGCAGAGATGGAACGTACCCATTCATTTGAATTATAACTACATGGACAATCGCACATCATCTGTAAATCCACGATAAGCCCATCCTGAAACCTTCCCTCCCGGTATATTTTAGAAATTTGTGTCCAGTCATCCTTATTTGTAGGACATTGTAAAAGTTCAATTTTTACCCTAAATCTATGCACCAAAGTTTAAATACATGAGTATGAATCCACAATATCGAGTCATATGATAATTTAAGTGCTATTACTATTAAAGATTATAATAAATCAACTAAGACCGCTCTACGGTGGAGCCCTGGTCAAAGATATCCGAAAACTGGAATTCATGTACAAACGTCAAATCCAATTCCACAACAATACAGTATTTTTAAGAAGATGCCAAAAAATGAAAATCATCCCCAGGGGACTTCACAACCAATTCATCACAAAAAAATTTGGCTCAAGGTCTTATTTTACAAAAATTGAAGAAACAAACCAAAAAATCCTCAAAGGACTCATCAAGTCGAATTTTCAAGACCTATACGAAATAGACAAGAAAATATATTCACTCCGGAACCAAATTAGATGTAAATTACCACAATATTGGCATTTGATTTGTCACCTAATAAATCGAACACGACAAAAAACCAATGATTGTATCAGAAATCGGCAAATCAACAAATTCAATACTTTAATGAACGAGAAATTAAGCCTGATAACAAAGGAAAATCCACAAACCATTAAAAAAGTCATCCATAACTTATCATCTCATCCACTCTCGGAGAATGAACAAAAACTACTCTCATTAGGTCTGAATTACTCCCTCCCAATCAAAGACATACGTGTAACAATGATGGATACAGCTGCAATTATTGACTTGAAACTGCACGAGACCGATTTGGAGGAGAGAGAAAAGGAACAAGTCAGAGCCGGAGTATCACACATCATGAAAAAACAAATTAATAGTGGAAACTATATGAACAAAATTGATACTTGGATATCCTCATCGATCAAGTCCCTTACCACAAATAACAACATTTGTATTACTAAGGCAGACAAAGGAAACGCAGTGGTAATTTTGGACAAAAATGATTATAACCAAAAAATGCAGACAATGATCAATGAAGGCCCCTATGATGAACTCATTCAAGATCCTACTCCAGATTTCACAGATTTAATTGAAGTCCACTCAAGTTCATTGAAAACAAATGAAAAGTTATCTGATGCAGAATACTCCAAAATAAATCAAAAAACTCCCAGAGCTCCACTTATCTACGGTGCATCTAAAGTGCATAAACCAGACACACCTCTCCGGCCGGTGGTAGATTTCAGAAGTTCCCCTACATATAATCTTGCAGCAATGTTGTCCAACATTTTGAAGAAAGTAGCCTCGAAACATGAATATACTGTCAAAAATGGAGAAGAATTCGTGAAAGGAATAAAAAATATCAAAATACGACCAGGGGATCAAATGATTTCTTTTGATGTTGTCTCACTTTTCACAAAAGTTCCCATAAAAGAGACCCTGAAAATCATCAAAAAAAGACTTCACGATTATGATAACCTAAATGAACTGACAAAACTCTCAATCAATGATCTAATGGAGCTGATTAAAATTTGCTTAAAATCCACCTATTTTAAATACAATAGCAAATTTTATCACCAAACTGAAGGTACCGCTATGGGATCCCCCATCTCACCAATAGTCGCAGAAATATTTATGCAAGAATTGGAAAAAAAGCTTGTCAAAAACAATCGCAACATTATCTACTGGCGTAGATTTGTGGATGACGTCTTTGCCATAATAAGGATTCGAAGGAAAAGCCACATTTTAAGTCTAATCAATTCGTTCCATGAATCCATTCAATTCACATTTGAGGATGAACAACAGGGACAATTACCTTTCCTGGATCTCATGCTGTACAAGAAACCGGACAACTCGATTGGTCATCAAATTTACAGGAAGCCTACGCATACAAACTTGTACCTGAATTATCACTCTTTTCATCCCCCGGCACACAAAATTGGCGTAACGGATACCCTGCTGACAAGAGCTTTAAGACTGTCAGATGAAGACCATTTAGAGAATGAAATCAAATACACAATCAAAATCTTGGAAGAAAATAATTACCCACGAAAAATGATTGAATACAGACTGAAGAAAGTCAAAAACAAAATGCAGTATAACAATAACAACAACTCACTAGACGAACCAGTCAAAAGAATTATTTTACCGTGGGCAGGTGAAACCACCACAAAAATTGCACGATTTCTAGAAAGAAAACTAGAAATGAAAATAGGTTACATTCCTGGCCCGAAGTTATCCAGAATGCTAACCAACACTAAAGAGAAACCGAGAACAATAAATTGTGGGATTTATTCAATTCAATGCAGTAATTGTCCAGCAAAGTATATTGGAGAAACAGGGCGTGATTATACTACAAGAATTCAGGAACACATTCATGCCATTAGAAGTGGAAATGTAAGATTATCTCCTGTTGCTCTACACATGCATGAACATGAACACAATTTGGACCCAAATTCGTATAAATTAATTCTAAAAGAACCTAGAAGATATTTTCGGAAATTTAAAGAAGCACTGTTCATCAAAAGTACCACTAACAAGATGAATATTTCGAGAGGAGTCGCAGTCAGCCCTATCTGGTCAAGTACACTAACAAACTTTTTAACATATACACAATAGCCCTCAAAGTCCACGTAAAAATTTATAAATGTAACCATGTAATTATTTGATATCAAACAAAACTTGACTTGGAGGAGGAAACGTACACATGAATTTTAGTTTACAAATATATTTTTGCCTGATGAAGAAATTCTGTATGAATATCGAAAGCTTGCAACAATAAATACTTCAAGTTAAAATGTCCTCTGATGCCGATGTAATGGATCAATAAAGATTATAATATGCACAAAGTAATGCTTATGTAACATACTTGACTGGCTTATCCACGGGTAATTCATTGCAAACATCCGTGTATCTCCCATCATTCTCTATGCAGTCAGAATAGTACGAGACATTTATGTATTGTTTTGCAAAATTGTCACTCATTTTGATTGTAGATGTAATTTTCTAGCATTCAAAAAATACCAAATTGATAAGTTTCGCAATAAAAAGCAATGTTGTACAATTTTATGAACAAAGTGTTTGCCAAGAAACCTGATATTCCTGAACTACGAGTTCCACAATATTGGACGAGTCATCTGAGAGAAGAGCACTCTTTGATCCTTCAATTCTCTGAGCCAGTTGTCGATAAATATCTAAATGGTCCTTTGTTACGGCAAATATCACAATGATAGAATTCTGAATTGATTGATGATTCAGTTGTGCTATAATTAGCCCACAATTAGTAATGAATGCATAATTTACACGTTAATTTATACATTTACACATATGTTTATGGGACAGGTAAATAAATTGTTTGCAGTAGGTAACAATTTTCGATATATTTGGAAATATGATACCTATGGAAGGATAGTCCATCAAAGTGGAGTGAGTATAGTCTCCATTTGCATTCATATGACATTTCCCATCATTTGGACGAATTATTCCTCCGAGCTGAATTGAAGAAATTGCATAATTTTAATTAAATGTATTGTACGTGTATATATCATGGCAGACTCGTAAATATAACCTTTCCGTCACCAGCCGAATGAAATGGAGCGTCTGTCGCAAATATAATAACTTTTCTTGATTCATTGCTCCATCCTTAAATGAACAGGAAGTAGAAATTGAATATTATTAATCATAATAGTGAAAGTGGGAGAGAAAGTAACGCAAGTTGCACCTATATGTTCCCCACAGACCATTGCTTGCCTAGAATAGAAACAAATGTTTGTAGTTTTTCATAACATTAAGAAGAAAGATGTATGTATAGAAAGAAAGTAAAAGGGATAAACGCACATCAAAGCATCGAGTCCTCCCTCCGGTTTATCCACGGAGGCAGAGAGTTGAGCATCATTAACTTTCTCCTATTCATCATCATCATGACCAATTTATTAGGTATCATGCTCTTTATTATTAGCATAAGTAAGTACTAGTGACTCACTGAGAATTGTTTCAAATCGGGAGAAAGCGAAAGGTGGTGCTTGAATCCGTATGGTTTTGTACAATTCTCTTTTTTCCCAGAACAAGGGGTTTCTAGCCTTAAAATTCCATACGATGAGTTCATCAAACCAAATTCTCCGTGACACTTAATTAAAATTCCGTAAATAAAATAATGCAATACCATGAAGGAGTCATTCGCACGTAAGGCATCGTAACTTTGTCAATGAATGAGCCAAACCCCTGTTGATACATTTTGGTCAGATTCTGTAACCTTGTTCCTTTAAACACAATTAGAGATACATAAATCGACAAATATTGAACATGCATTATTTGCCAATAGCCAATGCTAGCTAAGTTGTAAATTATTAGAAAACGAGAGTACTTATTTAGTTTGTTTCATGAGAGCCAACTCATTGGTGGATAATATTATGATGCATTAACGTGAGACTCCATTAGTCATAGCATACGTCACAACAATGACGTCACAACCCCACATTTTGAATTATTTCTCAGCTGCCAGACGGAATTTCAAAATTCTTTCTCGTGCCATTATAGATACTTCCGTTGTTGTCCTACTTGAAGAAGAAATTCAATATTTCGGTGGTTTTTGAAAGCTGAGGTACAAGAAATATGTAAAAAGCATAAGACCACCTGTTATATTAAATTTGTACCTCAGCAAAATTGGCTCATGAAAATTGAAAAATTTCAAAACTATCTTATTAATCAGCTAATTATCTATAATGGCATGAGGCAGAATTTCAAAATTCGATTTCAAAGTCTCAGAAAATAGTTTTAAAAATTGAAAAAATTGGCGTGAACAAGTCCAACAAGATTTGTTATGTGAGGGCCACCCACCAACTGTGTACTGAGTTAGATTTTAGTGCGTTGAGTAAAAACATGAATAAAAATAGTTTTACGACAAATGCAATACAAGATATAGTGAATGCGTGTCCCCCCAAAACAAATAACATATGTTTTTTGGGAAAAATAAACCAGGATGAAAAGCGTTCGCGCCGTATTTTTGTTGCGAGATATTTTTGAGACAACTACGTCATAAATAGGGATCTTAATAACACCCAGTTAATAACTTACCAAGTTGATCTCCCATTTTTGATAAAAATATCTACAAATTAAAGCAATTTAATAAGTAACAGACTCAAAATTTTTGAGACGCCCTATTTGATGAACAAATGTTTTAACAGATGAAATACTTTATCATCTCCCATTGTGTAGGTAAGGTCCATCAAGTAGTACAAGTCAAGGGGAAAGTCCTCTGGCATCACGGTTACGTCAATCTCGACCGGTATCCGAGGGCTCAGTTTGAGATCCAGTCTCTGAGGTTTTATGTTCACTTTTCCCTTCTTGTCCTTTGAAACATCGTCATTCCTAATGCGGTCATACTCAAATTAGTAGCACATTCTTCTACTCTTTTATTTAATAAAATAATTCACTTGATAAATTCGACCCGATTTTCAGGTATGAAAAGATATCGGCTTTGACAACCCATTGTCATATGCCCATTCGTCGTATTGCATCGAGAAATTGGTTGTTCGTCATCCACGTAAAATTTCTTTTATTAAGATTAATTTCATTTATATAAGATAAATACGTTTCGTGTTATGCATAAGTTAAATGTGTATTTTTTAATAGAGAAAACTCACTCCTTGAGAACACCAGGAACAACCGACACCTCGAATACAGTCGGCACAGTTTGTTCTGTGCACACACGATGCAATTGCGACATCTTCGTTAGTGACTTCTTCCTGCTCGGAAATGGGCAATGCGGCTAGTATAATAATAATATACGCTAGAAGAAACGGTTTCATGACGGAGACAAAATAGCTATCAACTTTGGCAAAATAAGCAAATTCAAGAATTTAGTTTCGCACCGTGGCTCAATAATTTGTGGATAAAAGAGAGGATGTTGTATCACTTACTAATCTACATGCCTTATCTTATTTGAACAAGCGAAAGTATAGCGATACGAATAAAAGCGGTATCGATATCAGGAGAAGGAATAATAACATCCATACAAAATCATACATTTCATGTATCTGTCACCGGTGTGCTGATGCGTCGTCGTTCCAAATTAGATATGTAGGTGTGGTGTGCATAATATGGAATCATAGTGATGCGACGTTTCCTGTACTTTTGTTCTAGTTTACTGATCAATAATTAGGCAGGATGATGACGGGACAGTCAAAATTACATTCACTGGAATCATATGAAATAATAACCGTATGAGAAATGCATTGTTCAAAGTGATATTTTATTTGTCGCATATTTCAACAAACAAAATGAATATATTAACTTTAGCAATGAATACCTTCAATTATACATTTGATGTATTTATTTGGTATTTAATCGTCAAGATACTTTTAGTTCATCATCATACTCGAAAAACAGATTTAATAATTATTATTATAGAAAATCGAGGTCTGGTAGTGCATCTGATTAAACATGGTTTGTGAGATGACTTTAATACGTCTTTGAACTATTCCGTACGGTAAGGCAATTAATCAAACTTGTGTAAAATACCGGTTTCCTATCCCAATATACGAGAGTAAAAACTATGTTCTTGTTGTTGTTTGGTTGTAAAACTGCTACGTTAGCTACTCTAAACTACTAAATGTAATAACATAAATAGGTCATATAATAATAGTAACAATAATAACAAGTTACACTTATTTAGTAGATCATCAGCCATTATATAAATCCTTTTGACGTTAAATCATTCTCTATCTTATGTACAACACAAATTACAGTACAATTTGCATTATTCGACACTACAGGTACTCACAACAAACACAATTAAGGTGTTTCCCACAATACCTTGTCCATCTAGATTATATGTAATATAATTACTGTGTCAAATATCATACAAAATTACACATTCGCTGGTCGGTAAGTACTATAATTATGAGTGGAACTGGGCATCATCATTATGTATGTATGTAGATTGCATTACATTGTTGTTGTAAATACTATTGCCAATATAATTGCAGGTTCTTATCAAAATTATATCAAAAATGTAACTAAAGAAAATATAATTTTATATTAGAATGTTGGCACTAACGTTCGATTCTCTGGTCACTAAATACTGTATTATTTTTTTTGAAAGCGGAAGGGTAAACTTTTGAAAGTTTCATCACAAGAAACGCTCCCAAGCACACGATAAAACAACAAATGTTCGTGGTTGCTCATAATACAAAAAATGGGTGGATCTCTGCATTTGCTTTTTTAAGTTTAGTGTCTTCTGCCTGCTGCGGCAGCTGCCTCTTCCAATGATCTAATTTTCATCTCACGCTCTCTTTGTTGCTGCCTGAAACATGGGTTACAACAATTTTGTGAAAATTGACAACAGCAGTGTCGCATCAGAAAAATCCTTCACAAGACGAGTGAAAACAAGCCAGTAATAGACTAATAATAATGCCACCAACAACGGAACAACAGAAACAAATAGAAAGCGAGGTCAAAGACTTAGACACTTGAACAATGTACATAGCCTACTATGAAGGTGAAGATATTGCATTGCAGTCAACACAAGGCTAGAACGCTTCGTATTAATTAATTATGCATGCCACATATAGCACCGCTTCGTTGCCGAATAAAATGATTATAGAGAGCAACAGAGTAAGTATAGATTATCAAATAAGGAAGTGATGATTATTTCATCATCATGTTCATATACCGCAAATATTCTTCTTGTGCTAAAAATCCTGGATGACCAGGATGTGGAAATCGGTCCCGGTCCATCATAATCTGACGTTGTAGCTGCTCATGCGCTGAAATCTAATTTAACAATAAAAATAAAAATCGAAATTAAATAAATACATGTTTTAAATATATTTAACCTATAAAACACACTTAGCACACACACTTACATGGTGAGCTAGTTCAGGTGGATATGGCCTTCCTAAGAGATGATCGGGATGTACTCCAAGAACAGCGTCTGAGAAAATAAGAAATGGCAAAGTTTATAGTCAAAATTGTTGACCGCTATATAACTGCTTCAGACTGTTTGTTTAATTGTCATTTGTTTACGGGTTGTTAAAAAATAAACTTCGTGGTAGCGAAAAGAGCCACAAACTCACCGTTTACACGAGGTGGAATAAGCGTAGGTTGTCTTTGATAAGCACCAGCAGCAGCAGCAGCTTGGGCTTGTAGTAGTGGATCCATTCCTGGATAAGGAATTTGTCCCGCTGTAAATAGCACAAAAAATTAGCCCTTTAAGTAAAACATAATACTTAATCGTAAAAAATAAAACAAAACAATCGCTTGTTACCAGCCATCTGAAGTCTCATGTCCATGGCCATACGTTCAGCTTGTAATCGGTCTACTAGTTGATCACCAAATTGCATACCCATAGAGGTAGGAATTCCTGGAATATCAAAATGTTAAATAAGTAATATGAATTTACATTTTGGTTACTATTGAACATTTTGTGAATTATTACCAAGACGTTCTCTGTCCATTGGACTGAGAGCATTGGGTGGACCTTGTGGTGCGTAAAGACCAAATCCAGCTTGATGTAACTGCGGACCGAGAGCACCAAATCTTCGATGAACATCAAGCCAGTGCGGATCCAAAGGGTTAGGCATTCTTTGGCCGCCTGGAGGACCACCTGGAACTCCTCCCCCGTGAGCACCTCCGTTACCTCCATTTCCAGGAATATTTCTAAGGAACTCTTCTTTGAGACGATCTGATAAAAATAAAGATGACATTAATAACACTATGGACGTGATATACATAAGTGCAAGATTGTTTTCCAGCTTAACTCTGTGTCTGCATTTTTTTAAACGTGTCAAATGTTTTAAAGACCACACATCAATGACGTATTACGTCAATTGATGAAAATTCATAGAAGCACATTATTAGCAAGTGTTTTTAAAACTCACCTGACAACTCGCGTTCCCTGATTTCTCTAATCTCTCGCTCTCTCTTTTCTAACGCTTCTATCTCCATTCTTTCACGAGCAGCTGCTTGTCCATACAAACCCATTTGATAAGGACCACTTAGCATTGGATCAAGGTGAGGAGGGAGCATGCCACCGCCAGGTCGCATTCCTCCACCAGGACTAAATCCAGTATGGGGGCGAGCATATTCGCTCAATTGTCGCAAAGCTGGAGTGTCACCAAACGCACCAGGACGAGGGGTAAATCTATCAAAGAGAAATTGGAATGTTGCCAATAAATAAACAGGACAAATGCTAAACGAATGATAAACGGACAATTGACTGATTAAATATTAAAATCTTTACCTTTCAAATGGAGAGTTCATGCCTTCCATGCCTCCTCCTCCAGGTGCACCCATGCCTTGTTGTAAGCTGCTGCCAGGTTTAGGAGTTTCTCGCTTTTCTCTTTCAGGAGTACCGGATACTTGCTTTCTTGCTTGAGCTGCTCGCTCCCGTTCTTCCCTATCCTTCTCTGCCTGTTTCCTCAATCTTTCTTCCCGTTTACGAGCAAGTTTAGAGTCTGGGACAGGTTTAAACTGAAATACAGAAGAACATTTATAAAATTGTTATAATTCATGTTATGAGCTCCCTACAATTCGGTCTTCTACAATCACATAAACTAATAAAATAAACTCACGGTAAGGTCAGTCCTGGCGCAAGAATTAAAATCTCCACGGTTCCAATGTCTTAGAAATATTGCACTTTGACTTCTACAAATACAAAACATGGTTAGTGTTGAGTTGATTATTTCAAATGTTGTAGAATATATATGAATTGTTGTGAACGGAGCCGAAAATTACCTGTGGCATTCAGAATCCTCAACTTTAGGTTCTCTGCAAGTTAATAATGATGCATGCTATGTAATTATACAATATGCCAATAACGTAGTAAAGGTACATGAAAATAATTTAAACAAGGGGCTTACGGGCTAGGACCACGGGGAACTCCATGACTCGGAACATCGTCTCCATCTTCATTATCATGATTATCTGTATCATTCGTATCCGTTGAAGCTAAACTCGAAGATCTTCCATGTGACGAATGTTGGTGCTGGTTATGAGAATGACTTGACGAGTCTCTGGAACTCGAGTGCTTGTTTGAGCTCGACGACTTATTCGAGTGGTGGGAGGAGGAATGATGAGAGCCGGGAGAAACATCACTCATATTGGGTTTCCCAGAGTTGGATGGGTGATTAGCTGGAGACGCTGGCCGTGCCACCGGTGGCTGAGGTGCATTCGAAATGGGCATTCTAGGTCCTGGACCTAGTTGAGGGCCAGGTGGGTACGGTGAAAACTGGTAAGGGCTAAAGTAAGGATATGGGTTGTAGTGATACAAGGGATGAGCATGAGGATGTGGATGGAAAGCTCCAGGAAATGGAGATCCTTGGGCAAGCGGATGAACATTCGGATGTGGAATTGGCCCTGCAAATTTTTAATTTTTATCGGTTAGCTTTTCACTTAGGAGGGGAGGTTGTGTACTATCAACTCCCTGATCTCGATGCCCTTTGGATATTTTGTAGTGTCCCATGAATGTACAAGAACCCTGAAGTGGTTTGATTCCATGGCCACATTTGCGCCCGCCACACCCACTCAAAGGTGCCCAAAAATCGCTTTCACTCATTTAAAACCACACCAAAAATCCAATTTTACTCCAATTTTCAAATTTCTTTCACCATTATACTCCCAGATAGTTGCTTTCTTATTTCCAACATCAAACTCAACTTTTTGAAATTCTTAGTATTTTTAAAATTTAAAATTCTGAATGAGCATTTTTGTAGTAATCAAAAAAACGTTGAGTTTAATGTTGTAAATAAGAAAGCAACTATCTGGGAGTATAATGGTGAAAGAAATTCAAAAATCGGAGTAAAATTGAATTTTTGGTGTGGTTTTGAATGAGTGAAAGCTGGAGTGAAAGCGATTTTTGGGCACCTTTGAGTGGGTGTGGCGGGCGCAAATGTGGCCATGGAATCAAACCACTTCAGGGTTCTTGTACATTCATGGGACACTACAAAATATCCAAAGGGCATCGAGATCAGGGAGTTGATAGTACACAACCTCCCCTCCTTAGTCACCCAATTTTGCGCTTGGGCTAATCAAAATATATGATTCTATCATAAACATGGAAAATATATATATGCCATTTGATTTGATTTACATATTTAAAACCCGAAATTTGTTCCTTCCACATTATATACAATAATAAAACTCACCAAGTCCGGCAGGAGTGGTCATTGTATTTGAGGCCATAGTTGTTACAGAAGGAGGTCCAATAGAAGAGGATGAACCTGGTTGGTGTTGTCCAGAGATGACTTTTGGACTACGATTCTTGTCGCGATCGCGATCTTTTTCTCGATCGCGATCACGATTATTATTATCTCGATTATTATCTCTGTCTCGATGATCCCCTCCGTCAACTCCCACAGAATTTCTTCTATCAGAAAGAAGCTCTCGTTCACTATCTCGTTGTTGTTTAAGTGGTTTGTCTGACGAGTGTGAACCAGGGAATGGCGACGTGGAGGAGGAGGAGGAAGACGATGTCGTCTGAGGGGTGCCAGCCCCCAAAGGAGGATTTACTGTGAGTGGAGGAGCATCGAATGTGGGATATCCAGGAACTTTAACTTCCCTGCAAATAGAGTAAATCGTACGTTAATATACACTAAGAATATTTTAGCACACTCGATGTTTAAAAGTATTAAAGAATCAACACCACTCTGTCATTATATGTGTACATTATTTTTTTTAAATAATAACCTTAACCTACTCACTAACCGAAGACGAATAAATACATTGTGTTTGCTACTTGCCTGAGAGATTGTAGAGGATTTGGCATTACTTCGGCAGGTTTCATATCTCCTATTACAGGTTGTGGGACGTTTATAGAAGAAGCACTTTCAGATACAACATTGTGTGGGTGTGGCGGAAAATGGTGTGGAACGAATGGATAGTGCCCGAGCCCTGGATGCTGCGGAGCATAAAACCGTGATAGTGGACTAGAATACAGCGAAGATTCTGGTGGTGGTGGTGGTGGTGCCGGTGGCGGCGGACCATCCTTTTCGTTCAAGATGCGATCACGGTCACGGTCTATACTTCCGGAATCAGTAGAGTTGTTTTGTTGGGAAACCAACGGAGGGGGAGCACCTGATGGAGGTAAACCAGATTGAAAGAGGCTTGGTGGGGATGTTTTGGGAGCTGATATCCCAGAAGGTAAGTGAAAACTACTATGAAGTCCGGCAGAATTGCCAAACATGTTGGAAGAAGGGGGAAGTGACCCCAAGGGTCCTGTGGATAATGTGGAGCCTTCATCACCGAAAGGAGGCGGTTTTATGATGGACTGACTTGTTGATGGCTTGAGATCTTCTATTATGGGCGACATCAACGCCTTATCCGATTTTATGGTTATAAGGCCACCAGAAGATGGAGATTCCATGGGCAGACTTGAGAATTCACCACTTTCAACACCACCTGTAGTAGCTGTCGATGATGCTGCATTTCCATTTGAAGATCCATATATTCCCAAACTTAGATGACTCGGCCTACTACCAGCCGACTTCTCATCCTTAACAACGGCAACTCCATTAGATTCCGCATAGTTTCTCGCATCAGTTGTGGACGATGCTGAACTATTCGAGTTACTCAATTTTAAATCTTCCGGTGGCGATTTATTAGAAACGGCAGTAGAATCCTTGCAACTATTTTTCCGCGCATCAGACTCTGAAAACTCTTCTTTCACTCGAACAAAACCATCCAACATTCCACTCTCTTCATTTTTAATAATACCATCCTGAGGAATTGGTAGTACAGAGTCATGACAAGGCTCAATTTTAATGTACTTAAGGTCTAATGAATCTTCATTATTTGGCATTGACGATGAACGTGCAGAATCATTAACACTTTCACTCTTTTTCACATCAGCACTTGTTTGAGATTCACAGTTTGAGGAATCAACACTTTCCTCTACACTCTCAGAGTTGGGAATGGAATCAGGTTTGGGAGATTTCTTATTGTTTGTTTCAGATATATCTATTGCCCTAGCCGAAATCGAAAGCTCACTATCTCGGCGGGACCCAGAAGTTCCAGGTAAAGAGTTCCCAGCACTATCGTGGTCAGGGTTAGGAGAAGATGCTCTTGAACTCGAGTTTTCAATGTCAGCATTCTCGTTGTCCAAGTCATTATCAGCATCCAATTCGCCAGTATCAACTTCGTTGTCTTCATCAATTGAACTGGCAATGGAACTGCAGGATGGACTCTGTACAACAAAAATTATGTTATAAATAATGATTAAACTGATAGATAGGCTTATGCAATAAGATGTGGTACGGTACCTCGCCGCGATCTTCTTTGCGCTTCTTATTCCTAGATGACTTCTCATCTTCACTGTCCTTCCCTCGTTTTCTCCCTCGGGGTGCTGGACTCGCAGCATTAGACTGCTCCAAGAATAAAAACAAATATTTCTTTAGAATTATAGTTACTTAATAACATAATTAAGTAAATAGATAAATATTATTATGTGTAAGAATATTTCACAATCGTGCTACTTACCTTATTCTTGCTTTTATCGCTCGAAGATGACGTGTTGCTGGCAGCACCAGGAGATTTTCTACCTGAAATTGTCAATAAATCATATTAAACACTATATTTTTCGTTAATACAACAGTGCTGAATCAAATCAAGAGATATATACTAGGCTTCATTGAACAGACGTGTTTACATGAAATGTTTTGTCTGAAAATTAAATTGCATTTGACAAGTTACCAATTAATTTACCTGAAATTTTCATTTCTGGTTCGGGCGTGCTTGTTCCACTTCCTCTTTTAGGACGATTACGAGCATTCTGGAAAAAAATCACAACATTTTAACTCTTATGCAATGATGCAATGTCCAGTTACAACGTAATTAACACATAAAGCATTAATATTGATGTAGTAAATACACAGGTGTTAATGTAATCAATCGATCAATCAAAATGAAATATAATTATGCATTAGAGAGTTAGTTAAAAGTTTATTTACATTTGGGGGCGAATTTACCAATTCTTTGGTTCGGGTACGCGTTCGGACTCTGCCTTCTTCTTCATTTGCAACTACTGGGCGGAAAAGATACGGTTGGTCTTTGGTACCATCCAGGGTAGGAAGTTCTCCGTACTTTTTAAAGTGAATTCGACAGTCTGTGCATAATAGAATTTTATCCTTCCCAGCATGATGCCAATCCTTTGACCCTGATTAAAAATAATAAACAACTTAATAAGTTGTCACAACAAGCATTACTATACATCACAATATTCTCATTCTGCTCATATTAAAGTTTGAGTTAGGGAACAGTCTGGGCATCCTAGTGAGCGAGTTGACTTTTTCTCCTCGCCACTTACCAGTAATGTAAATGATTTTTGTCACTAAGACTTCTAATTTGCAGCTAATACAAAATGGATTGATTTCGTTTTGGTGGCAATAAATTCCCAAGTTTGTGCTTTACAATTGCCATGTTGCATAAATTCCATAATAAATCTCGGTGAAAAGTATTGGACTGAAACATGATATGAGTCCATGTTTCAGTTCAATACTTTTCTCTGAGATTTATTATGGAATTTATGCAACATGGCAATTGTAAAGCACAAACTTGGGAATTTATTGCCACCAAAACGAAATCAATCCATTTTGTATTAGCTGCAAATTAGAAGTTTTAGTCGAAATTTTTCTCCTTTTCTGGTTCGCGATGCCCCGTTTGGAGAGTGGGAACGGTCACTCTCAAAACCCAAAGCAACTTTTTACATGCAACTGCCTGCATTGTTTACATGAAAATCAGCTGCTCTCTTCGCCCCGCCCCCCCTCATTAGCAAAAAATCTCTCGGCACACAAGGAGACGCAACCGTCGTCTCTGTCTTTTAGTTATGAGATTTTTTCAACGTATATGCATTCTTAATTATAGCCTGAACTCTTTACAAACCAGTCTGTCTTCTAGGGAATATACAAATGTACTTACGTGTTTGATGACAATGACGACAGCAACGACACTGATATCCGCTGAAATCGGAGTCGTCTTCCGAGTCTTCTTCACTGGCTGAGCTTAGATCGCCAGGGTCTTCCTTCCCTTCCTTGTTGCGGGCGTTCCTTGGGGCTCTTATTCTCCTAAGAACACTTTGACGTCGCTATAGGTAAATTACAGTAATTCAAGTTAGTATGTCAGTACCGAGCCAAGTATTTATATGCTGTATAAATCATAAAAATCGTAGCAAAATAGATTTACCTGACGTCTATGGGTACGACTAGGGGCGGCAGCTGGGGTCTTTTTCCAAAGATAGTAGAATTCAATAAGTTCTCCTGTTTCTTTGTTGGGAAGCAATTCTTTCTTTATTCGAAAAAAGTTTTTTCCTGTCAAAATGTGAAATGAAGAGAATAGTCAATATTGATATAATTGAATATAAATCAATGAAGTGTTGAATTAAATCTTCAGTTTTCAACTTACCAAATTGACGAAGTCCTTTCACGAAACGTTTCTAAATTATAATGACACCAATAGTGGTTTAAGATAAATAACGGTATAACTGGTAATAATATTTACAAAAAGTATCAAACTTACCGTTTCATCTTCTGACCATTTTTTGTCAATACCTTTGGGGACAGGGCACTTGACTAAACAGGTAAAGAGTCGGAATTATACACTGTGTTGGTATTTACTGTATTCACCATGTTGGTAGTACTTACCAAGTACTTGTAGGGCTTTACCAGGATCATATCCACTTTCATGCAACTGCAATCACAAATACAAATACTTTCAAAGGTCCGAAAACAAGAAGAGGAATTAAAGAGGATTCCTTTATATAGTTGCAAAGTAAATTACGTATTCCAACAAATGCATTAATAGTGCTACACTGAAAAATACTTACCTTGCAAAGTGCGTTAATAGTAATATCGTCTCTTGATGCTAAAACAAAAAGAAAATACACATTCATTAAATAAATTAGGGTTATTAACCATTCTATCGATATTATTATTACACATAAAAATGATTAACATTTGCAGGATCGAGATTGGTAAAATATGGAGAGCTTACCTGCTAGATAACCGTCGTCCGTGGAGGCAAAACCTGTGAGAAAACGACATACGTGTTACATTGTTAAACTTGAGTCGAATATAGTAATGTTGCATGTATTATATTAGTTATTCTTGACCATGATTTTCTTGCCACATTTTATATATTAAATGACTTTTTAAACTAATATCATGCGTTTTGAGAATACAAATATATATGGTCCCGTACCTGAATTAATTCGATCTCCACCATTACACATCCCTGCGAATGCTGTAAAACAAAAAGGCATGAGAAAAACCACAATAGAAAAAATAGGTACGAACAAATTGTTATGCACTTTTTACCTGCCATAGAGCGAGCGGCTCTCAAGTACATCACCAAGTCTGCATCGTTGGTCACACCCGGTTTCCAAAGCAAATCTTCCCATTCTTTCGGGTCTACTTGTGTACCGATTTGCAGTTCTGGAAGACGTGCCTGTGAAGAGGTGAACATAACTTTATCCATTGTTATCAATTCTACTTTCAGTTTAATAAACGTTACTTACTTGGTGGGACGGTCCAAGCTTTAAAGTAAATAAACAATTATATTAATAATTTACAAACATGGATCAGACTTCTCATTGATGTTTAAAGCAAAATTGCTACTTAGGATTAAAATAATTACCCGTATTTCGCCCTGCGTGGAAGCCAGCCTACGGGTTTCCGGGTTATATCCTAATTTAATGGTGATTTAACTTTGTTAATATTAAGTCAAATGCATTCCAGACAAGTTGTCAGATCTCAAATTCACAGTGTAGTAACCATAATCTGTAATAAATACTTACCCAAAACGTAAAAGAAGCAATCTGGTCCAGGTTTAAAAGATTTCACCAGGGATGATACAAAATCTGTTCATGATACGAAACATAAAAAAAATTAATGTAATATAATTCTCACTACTCATAATCTGGGAAAATATAAGTGATAAATAACTCACGAGAAGAATCGCTGCAGTTGACGTGTTCGACACGACACAATCCCCTAAGAATCAAATTTTATTTATACTTGTGTCTTTTTAAAATGATGGAATTATCAAACCATACCTTAAAACTGAGACAGGGTATGTATCAGTCGCGTCAGAGATGAATAGCTCGCGTCCACTCAACTCAGGTAACTGATCAGCGATGCTCTCGGACTTGCAGCCTGCAACGATAAAAATGACGTATGAAAACAAATTGAAAATTAGGGCGAGATTGAGGTTTTAATTTTTCTGAATGGAAATAATGTTCAAACTCTAACCATTAGCAGATGCTTCAAGACTTGTTCTTGAGGTTCTATGTTCTGTAGTATAAAAAATAGCGTAAACATTAGTTTCGTAGTAGTTTAGAATCAATAGTACATTCTGAAATTGACAATGGCAGTATTAGTGTACTTATATATACCTGTTCTATCTTGAATCAAAAGCTGATAAACGGTTTCAGGAACTTCACATGGTCTGAAAACAAAGAGTAGAGGTTAGAGAATAGGAAACTTTGCCAAATCAAGGAATATGGAAGACTTGTTTAAAATTCTTACCGGTAAAACCACTTGATGTGGACCTATTACAAAAAAAAATAATCATACACGTTTTAATAAATTCAATGTATTCACATGCTTATTCATGAAAATGAAATAACTTACCATCAAGGTGTCCCGTTCTCGCTTGTGCTGCAAATTAATAAGAAACCATTTCATATATTAGTCCAGCATAAACAACTCTATAGTAGCGACACAGTTTGTTTCTCAAATAACCTCAAATGTCCTGTCGAATTAACTGTGTATTAATTCAAGTTTTCGTAGATATATTTGTAAAGACACATCTAGCCTACGTATATCATACTTAAAGCAAGAATGAAAATGAACCAAAGCAGCAGCTATTATCACTGCCTTGTTAATATTTATTGCGTGGTTATTTTTGGTTCTCCTCAACTTCACATTTGTCTCTCTCCTTCCAAATTCGGTACGTAAGTACAACTGAGGATGAGCTTGCTACTACTCCCTCTCATTCACTATGAAAGTGCATACTTACAACAGTGAAGAAAAAAGAAGATAAAGTGAACTCAAAGCTTTACTTAATCTCTTATCCTAAGTAGAATAAATTATGCAGATTTACACACTCTTAGTGTTTGTACCAACACACTGACACCGACTGCACGTCACAAAGCAAATATCCGAAAACAGATGCTTAGCAAATAATGATCAAGATCTCGACGCCAATCACTCGCACTTGAGGAATATTATCATCACGGTTTGCGTGGATTGTGTTCACATTCGACTCGAGAAAAAACTCAGAACCACGCAAGTTGGGTCAAAGCGACATTGACATTAAGTAATTTACGCTGTTTGCCAACAATGTGCAAATCTATTTATTCAGTGTATAAACCGTATAGGTGGCTGAATCCTTTAGATTCAAAGATTAAAATTTTTACCCACCATCTACACACTTTCTCCTACTTTATAATAAAAAGTAAATAAATAAACAAAGTATTTAATAATACAGGGATACCAGGTGATGTAACCAAAAATAATAACCTGCGATAATTTTCTCAAGGGCAGAGTTTTGGGAGGAGAGAAAGAGAGAGTGAAAGGTGAGTGAGTGAGGGAGATCAAAGAGGCGACTGATAAATATTGAATATTCAATCCGTGGAGGAGTAGGTATGGTGTAGTAGGAGCTGATAATGGAGTGGATGGAGTGGAGAAAGCAGAGCGAGGAAAGTGGAAGAATAAGACTCTTCCTTCCTCCGCTAATGCTCTTTCCTGCACGGACCAAACACCTTCTTCTTTTCCTACCTACTACCTTTCCTCTCTTCTATCTCGTCGAATTCGGGCGAAATAAAAGTAAACCCGGGTAAGAAAGAAAAAGAGAGAGGCTGTTGTGAGTGAAGGGAGATTTTCCACACGGGAATATAAATACCAGAGAAAAGAGTTCATACATACATGTCGATGGAGAAAAAGAGATCCACCTACCACCTACCTATCACCTTCACCCATAATCCTTTCACTTTCACCACCAATTACGTATGCCCATCATATTTGTTTATAAAAATGTACTTATCAAAACCCATTTTATTATCAGGAGCGGTCAATCCAACTCATTGTAAAATTTGTACTGATCTTAGACTCGGATGCTAATAACTTGTATACTTCCACATACCCATTTGAATTGTTATAATTACATTGGATTGGAAAAGTCTGCGTGTTTATTTTGATGGATTGGCCGCATTGACTGGGTGAACCGTACAACAACGAGATTGTGGTGGTACAACTGCATTACACACTACACACGACGATTTACAACAAGGCTTATTCTTGACTATTTATTACTACTCCTCCTGTTCTGCTCCGTCTTAATACGAGCGAGATGGAGTGGTGGTGATCAGGGTGAAAGGTGAACTGAGAGTTGAGAAGGAGCGCTTACCCTTGACACGGCGACCCATGATTGGAACACCCCTTCCTGGTCCTTTCAAACTAAATTTTCACCAAGTAGTGCTGATATGTTTAGAAATATTTGGAGATTTTTACCAGCTCCGTTAACTCGTGACTCTACACTTCAGCCATTTTCAATTCCACTGACTGTTGCCACATCTCTGTGGCTCCATCAACCCTCTCCTTGGCTCCTCAGTCCCTCCACTCTCCGCGTCCCTCTCTCGCATCGCATATTACCAGCGAACGAGCCACAATGTGAATCTCATAATATAAACTTCCTCTCTCTCTCTCGAAGGGTGGGGTCTTGCAAACAACTCGTCCAAATAAAACACTATTTACCACATCGTAAACTGCATGCCCAGCTACACAGCAAGCACCTCCGTAAAAGAAAATGTTCAGCATCTTGCTTGCTTGGATTTTACAATGCATAGTAGTATCTCTTGGTTTTGTGTTATTGCCGTATAGCATCATCACCAACCTCATCATCATCTCGATTAATAAGCAACTAACCCTTTGCATATTATCTCCTTGCAAGTTTCACCTCTTTGTAGTGTAATGTACAAGCAGAGTGGAATGGATTTGAAAAATGTTTGCTTGGACAATAATTTGTAAATGCTCCGTAGGCTTTCCTTTGCTTCCGACCAACCTTTTTCTTTCTCTCCCGGATTCGGGGAAACCGAGTTCTGTTCCGAGGTTTGCTCCTGGAATGATAGAAATGTGTCCCCCATTTGTGGGTATTTAGTTCGCCTTTAGTTAGGTCGACTGGGGTCAAAATGAGCATTCATTCCGTTCCCACCTCGGGACACGGGTATTAGCACTCGACACAACAGACAAAAACCCAATCTCTTTACATCACACCACCACAACATTTCAAATCTTTTACACCACCACGATCACCATCTCCTCCAACGAATACCCCTCTCGTATCACTAAAATCCTCCTTCCGATAAGGCCACGCTAAACGGTGTGAGTGAAGGAACAAGATGAGAAAGTGGTGCTGGAAGGGAGATAAGTTGTAAACAAAATGCGGATGCCTGCCTTCCTCCATCATTAATGTTACACATGCTTTTACACGCAATTACATGACACCCTTTTTCCTACCTTGGCCATATTTTTTTTGTACTTATTAGTCTTATCTGCATCTTTTGATAAATTGCGCGTGCACGCCAATTTTGACAGCTGCATTATTCGTTTCACTTCTATGAATGTGATGAGTATTCGTAAATACATTAACTTCTCAAGTCGTAAATGTACGTATAAACAAACATAGTGGTCACCTATGTACGCAGAATGCACATGCTAGAATATTTGAGATTTTAAGATAAGAGCAGAAAATGTACGTTGTTAAACGGTTCAACACAAAACTTAATCTCCACTAAATTCTAATGAGTTTCTAATTATCTGCTCAGTCAATGTCAGTACCCATTACTTCTACGACGATGCTGATGATGGTCAAATTTGCCATTTGCACCTTCATCATCCACATTTGTTCTTTTAATGTAAAGAAATGGTCCACTAATACAATGAAACTAATACATATGTTTAGCAGTATATTTGACACTTTCTACATAAAATACTATACACAAAAAAATCTTAAAATTTGAATGAAGAAAATTTCCAAATTTTAGATTTTTTTAAATGTTCGAGGGATGGAGAGGAAAAAGTACGAAACTTTTGCCTAAAACCATCAAAAAAAATGATGACCGTCTCCGAGAAATTCGCTGCAGATAGAGCGAATTTTCCAACTGCGCCCCTCCCACTCCAATCCCACTCCGGGTGATGGGAGGTGTAGAAAGGTAAGGCTGGTACCGTTGGACCTAAAACAATCAGCGCTACAAACAGTACTAATCTTAAAGTCAATTTTTTGTCCGAATTTCGAATTTCATCATTGTTATTCATTTCCTGAATTTCATCCTTTACGTGAGTTTACGACCATGGGATTTTCAAACGAAATTTTTGCTAACGCTGTGACCTCATAATGAATGCCCGTAATGTAATGTCACCATTGGACTGACGGAATCGAGATAAATAAAGCTAAGACGATGCAAGTGATCTTCTCAAGAGTAGGGGAACCTATCTCTCTTTTGTCCCATAGAATAGAAATGACTATAGGATCAGAGAACATGAGATAAATTAAACGGAAGTTCGCGTCAAGGTAGATGAATGGTGAAGGACCCCTGCCGCAGACAAATCCCTTCTCCAAATTAAACTTAAAACCAATTCAGAATTACCCCAAAATCACATTACTAATAGTCATTTGGCTTTGCACATGTTGTACTTTCATATACATACATAAAGATTCATTACATCTTAACAGCTTCATTGATGTAGATTTTTTCAAAAACGGTTATCAAATAACGGAATATGAGACAAGATTGCAAGTATCGTTAGTAGCTGTCTACACAGTTGAACTTGAGGTGTTTGGCTGGTGGCACTACTTGTCAGGATGTAGGATCACATCTTGCATGTATGTCCACGTCAAACAAAAGTTTTTCATCTAATTCCGAGCATTACTACTAGAAAGAAGAAGGGATGGATTTTCTCTCTCCTCATCCTGTAGGAAACAAATGTCCACATTAAACCCAAATGCAGCGAGCGACGGTGTGCGACCGACATCACCACGCCACCATTCACCGCCGACCACAACTCCAACTTAGATACCAGTACCACTGCTCTAGGAAAATACGGAGGAAGGAAGATGAACATTTTGAGAAGAGTTGTTGGATGGAGAGAGTAGTGGGCTTCATGGGAATTCCAAATCTCGTTTCATCAACACTTTTCCACCCAGATAACAATGCGACCGACCAAGCAACCAACCAAACGAACAAAACCAAAGCAGGCAGCTCGATCTCCTTCTCGTAGATTTCACCCTCTTCTTCGGATCCTTAATCAGTTTGAGGACTTATTTTTGCTTGATCAAGGGCGTCATTCCTTCCTGTCACTACTTCAGTTGATGTGTGTGAGCCAAAGTTGTTGCTGCTGTGCTTCCACAATTACACTCATTTTATACTCTACAGAGTATTTTTATTGGATGCTTTATTACTCTCAATAGGCTCGAAATAACTCGCTTATTCGCTCCAGCTAATTCCAGGCTAGCAATGTTTCTCTCAACATATTTGCTCAATTTCAGCCATCCATAGGGCAACTTTTATTCACCTCAAAATCTCTTTAACATTATTTTGCATTGCTTAAAACCAGATGAAGGAATTGGGTTTATACTTTTATCCTTCTTTTCTATATCT